TTATGCATGATAACGATTCAGTTAAAAACAATTTGATTGAATTTGTTAACAACTAAAACCTAAATTGCGTAAAGAGGTAAGAAATCATCAAGGCCCGAGTTGGTGTATGAAAGAGGTATGGCGCATTTGTCAACCTAAACGTGACCAGCAGTAAAATAGTAAAATTTAAAAAAAAAATAGGGTAGCCGAACGTAATTTTCACAGGCCTTCAAAGTTGCTACCTTTAAATATGCAATAAAATATGGGGGTTATCCCCCTGAATTTAATTATTCATTTTTGACACACAGCGCATCCAGGTACCAACGTTTAAGCTGTTGAACTTTATCATTTATTACCAAATAAAACTTCAATCTTATTCTCAAAAAGTGTGTACCAGCATGCACTGGTACTGTAAAAAGATTTGCACTGCTGGTCTCCAGAACTTATTGTTTTTTAGACAAGTTGCTTGAATTTTTAAAATAGTTGACCTGTGACCTTGAAAGTAAGTTTGATGTCATTCATATAAGGAAACTCTCTATTACACCACTCCACTCCACTCCCCGATACCTTGCCGTGTGTCAGGACACTATAAATGGAGTCTTAAAGGTTCCATTCACACTGACGGTGTACACTACGTATCCAAGTATCCTGGCCCTTGACCTTACCGTTCTTCAGATAATTGTTTCCTCCGGGAAATCGGTATAGCACCCCGTTCCAAAATGCAAGGATATCAGTGCTTCAGTTTTTAAGAAATTGTTTAAATGTGGGTGGACAAGAGATGCTGCACCATATCACAAGCCCACCGGCACTTCCTTCCAGGTGGGCTTAAACCAGGTAGTCATAAATTGATAATACCTTTGGATACAAAAAATGTTCAGCAATTCAAAAGATACTGAATAGAACAGCATTACAATTTGACCTTCAAATCATTACTGCGAGTTTGACCTTTGGGATGCAGAACACACTTTCTAGCCACAATAAAGAAATTCTGTTTATCTTAAGTTTGTCAAATCATTGCAACTATTTGACTTATGGAAATAATAACGGCACAGGACACCTTAAGATATATATCCATTGATCGAGTTTCTTCAAACCAATTCAGCAGTCATGGCACAGACAAGAGACAAATAGATGTAAATAGAACATACATCCCATAATAACCCTAAGGCACTGCTAAAGGACTATCAATCTTATAGAAATCTTGTTAATGTGTTTAGGAGACCAATACTAATAACAAAGAAATCGTGTTGAGGTGGTTGACGGAACCAATACTTCAAAGGTCAAAGCAATCTTGTTGAGGTGGGTGACGGGACCAATGGGTCAGAGGTCAAATTAATCTTGTTGAGGTGGGTGACGGGACCAATGGTTCAAAGGTCAAAACAATCTTGTTGGGGTGTGTGACGGGGCAAATGGGTCAGAGGTCAAAGCAATCTTGTTGAGGTGGTTACGGGACCAATGGTTCAAAAGTCAAGGCAATCTTGTGGAGGTGGTGACGGGACCAATGGTTCCAAGGTCAAAGCAATCTTGTTGGGGTGGGCGACGGGACCAATGGTTCAAAAGTCAAAGAAAACTTGTTGAGGTGGTGACGGGACCAATGGATCAGAGGTCAAAACAATCTTGTTGGGTTGTTTGACGGGACAAATGGGTCAGAGGTCAAAGCGATCTTGTTGAGGTGGTGACGGGACCAATGGGTCAGAGGTCAAATTAATCTTGTTGAGCTGGGTGACGGGACCAATGGTTCAAAGGTCAAAGCAATCTTGTTGAGGGGGTGACGGGACCAATGGGTCAAAAGTCAAAGCAATCTTGTTGAGGCGGGTGACGGGACCAATGGTTCAAAAGTCAAGGCAATCTTGTGGAGGTGGTGACGGGACCAATGGTTCCAAGGTCAAAGCAATCTTGTTGGGGTGGTGACGGGACCAATGGGTCAGAGGTCATAACAATCTTGTTGGGGTGTGTGACGGGGCAAATGGGTCAGAGGTCAAAGCAATCTTGTTGAGGGGGTGACGGGACCAATGGTTCAGTTGAGGTGGTGACGGGACCAATGGTTCAGTTGAGGTGGTGACGGGACCAATGGATCAGAGGTCAAAACAATCTTGTTGGGTTGTTTGACGGGACAAATGGGTCAGAGGTCAAAGCGATCTTGTTGAGGTGGTGACGGGACCAATGGATCAGAGGTCAAAACAATCTTGTTGGGTTGTTTGACGGGACAAATGGGTCAGAGGTCAAAGCGATCTTGTTGAGGTGGTGACGGGACCAATGTGTCAGAGGTCAAATTAATCTTGTTGAGTTGGGTGACGGGACCAATGGTTCAAAAGGCAAAGCAATCTTGTTGGGGTGGGTGACGGGACAAATGGGTCAGAGGTCAAAGCGATCTTGTTGAGGTGGTGACGGGACCAATGTGTCAGAGGTCAAATTAATCTTGTTGAGGTGGGGGACGGGACCAATGGGTCAGAGGTCAAATTAATCTTGTTGAGTTGGGTGACGGGACCAATGGTTCAAAGGTCAAAGCAATCTTGGTGGGGTGGGTGACGGGACCAATGGGTCAAAAGTCAAAGCAATCTTGTTGATGTGGGTGACGGGACCAATGGTTCAAAAGTCGAAGCAATCTTGTTGGGGTGGGTGACGGGTCCAATGGGTCAGAGGTCAAAGCAATCTTGTTGGGGTGTGTGACGGGGCAAATGGGTCAGAGGTCAAAGCAATCTTGTTGAGGGGGTGACGGGACCAATGGGTCAAAAGTCAAAGCAATCTTGTTGGGGGGGGTGACGGGACCAATGGTTCAAAAGGCAAAGCAATCTTGTTGGGGTGGGTGAGGGGGCCAATGGTTCAAAGGTCAAAGCAATCTTGGTGGGGTGGGTGACGGGACCAATGGTTAAAAAGTCAAAGAAATCTTGTTGAGGTGGTGACGGGACCAATGTGTCAGAGGTCAAATTAATCTTGTTGAGGTGGGTGACGGAACCAATGGTTCAAAAGTCAAAGCAATCATGTTGAGGTGGTGACGGGACCAATGTGTCAGAGGTCAAAACAATCTTGTTGGGGTGGGTGACGGGTCCAATGGGTCAGAGGTCAAAGCAATCTTGTTGGGGGGGTGACGGGACCAATGGTTCAAAGGTCAAATTAATCTTGTTGAGGTGGGTAACGGGACCAATGGTTCAAAAGTCAAATCAATCTTGTGGAGGTGGTGACGGGACCAATGGTTCCAAGGTCAAAGCAATCTTGTTGGGGTGGGCGACGGGACCAATGGTTCAAAAGTCAAAACAATCTTGTTGAGGTGGTGACGGGACCAATGGTTCAGAGGTCAAATTAATCTTGTTGAGGTGGGGGACGGGACCAATGGGTCAGAGGTCATAACAATCTTGTTGGGGTGTGTGACGGGACAGCAATCTTGTTGGGGTGGGTGACGGGACAAATGGGTCAGAGGTCAAAGCAATATTGTTGAGGGGGTGACGGGACCAATGGGTCAAAAGTCAAAGCAATCTTGTTGAGGAGGTGACGGGACCAATGGGTCAGAGGTCATAACAATCTTGTTGGGGTGTGTGACGGGGCAAATGGGTCAGAGGTCAAAGCAATCTTGTTGGGGTGTGTGACGGGGCAAATGGGTCAGAGGTCAAAGCAATATTGTTGAGGGGGTGACGGGACCAATGGGTCAAAAGTCAAAGTAATCTTGTTGGGGAGGGTGACGGGACCAATGGTTCAAAAGACAAAGTAATCTTGTTGGGGTGGGTGACGGGACCAATGGGTCAAAGGTCAAAGCAATCTTGTTGAGGGGGTGACGGGACCAATGGTTCAAAGGTCAAAGCAATCTTGGTGGGGTGGGTGACGGGACCAATGGGTCAAAGGTCAAAGCAAACTTGTTGGGGTGGGGGACGGGACCAATGGGTCAGAGGTCAAAGCAATCTTGTTGAGGTTGGTGACGGGACCAATGGTTCAAAGGTCAAATTAATCTTGTTGAGGTGGGTAACGGGACCAATGGTTCAAAAGTCAAGGCAATCTTGTGGAGGTGGTGACGGGACCAATGGTTCAGTTGAGGTGGTGACGGGACCAATGGTTCAAAGGTCAAAGCAATCTTGTTGAGGTGGTGACGGGACCAATGGGTCAGAGGTCAAAACAATCTTGTTGGGGTGTGTGACGGGACAAATGGGTCAGAGGTCAAAGCAATCTTGTTGAGGTGGTGACGGGACCAATGGATCAGAGGTCAAAACAATCTTGTTGGGTTGTTTGACGGGACAAATGGGTCAGAGGTCAAAGCAATATTGTTGAGGGGGTGACGGGACCAATGGTTCAGAGGTCAAAGCAATCTTGTTGAGGGGGTGACGGGACCAATGGTTCAAACAATGGTTCAAAAGTCAAAGCAATCTTGTTGGGGTGTGTGACGGGGCAAATGGGTCAGAGGTCAAAGCAATATTGTTGAGGGGGTGACGGGACCAATGGTTCAGAGGTCAAAGCAATCTTGTTGGGGTGTGTGACGGGACCAATGGGTCATAGGTCAAAGCAATCTTGTCGAGGTGGTGACGGGACCAATGGTTCAGAGGTCAAAGCAATCTTGTTGAGGTGGTGACGGGACCAATGGTTCAAAAGTCAAAGTAATCTTGTTGGGGTGGGTGACGGGATCAATGGGTCATAGGTCAAAGCAATCTTGTTGGGGTGGGTGACGGGATCAATGGGTCATAGGTCAAAGCAATCTTGTTGGGGTGGGTGACGGGATCAATGGGTCATAGGTCAAAGCAATCTTGTTGGGGTGGGTGACGGGATCAATGGGTCATAGGTCAAAGCAATCTTGTTGGGGTGGGTGACGGGATCAATGGGTCATAGGTCAAAGCAATCTTGTTGGGGTGGGTGACGGGATCAATGGGTCATAGGTCAAAGTAATCTTGTTGGGGTGGGTGACGGGATCAATGGGTCATAGGTCAAAGTAATCTTGTTGGGGTGGGTGACGGGACCAATGGTTCATAGGTCAAAGCAATCTTGTTACATTTATAGTTATATAGGGGACAAATAATTCCAAAAAAACCGTTTTATAATGTGTCAGGGATGTTTATTTGTAGATAATATAGTAGCATGATCTACATGCTGAGCTACATATGGTATAAAACATGAAAACATATTCATACACAGGTATACATTCCTTAGCACAATGTTGATATAAACACACCAGTCCGTAATTACTTTATCTATAGAAAATGACAAAGACGTTATAGACACACCGACAGATGATAATCTTATTAGTTACGAAATATTGTTTGTATTATATATTAGATAAAGACTCAATATATAACCATTTGATCAACCATACACCAAAATCTCATCGTCAAGTAATAAATTAATAATACCCCACAAAAATGTAATTTTCTAATTTTCTCTTTGAAAATTTTCTTATTAATATCACATGATTTTACAAGTTCATTATTAAACAACAATTTTTTTAATACTGTAGTTGATTTTTTTTAATTACCTAGGGTGAAAAAAAAGGTATATTTAGTTAGATATATGATTAAGAACAGATGAAGATTTGTAGGACGGCATAGGGAGCTGACTAGTGACTACAGGGAAAGGATACTTACAATTAACACTAGCCTAACTGCACTAACTTTAGATCAGGAATATCATAAACACACATCCCTCAATTCCTTGATTTCAACCAATGTACCTCTCACTAAACAATCTCTCTTCATTTGAACGCGAACATCTCTCACCAAACATTCTCTCACTTCCACAATTTGAATCTGTAAACTTCTCACACAAAAAAAAAACCACTCTTAATTTGAACCTGAAATTTTCTCGACAAAAAATCTCTTGTTTCTGCATTTTGAATATGTACATCTCTCACCAAACAATCTCTCTAAATTCTTCATCACATCTAAATAATACACATGTGGCACATCTCTCATCAAACTATCTCACTTAATCTCTTTAAATGGAAGCCATGATTGCCAGCCCACTACAACAGTTAGTGTGTCTGTCTCCAACAGGGTGACTGTATCATCTGTATCAAGACATGGAAGTGACGGGAGCTAGCTGCCCTTGATTTGTCGGTCATTCTAACAGCAGGTGGTGTCAATGAACTTCAATTTGAAACATTCGGAAGTCTACTCTTTGTCTGATCACCCCGGTAAGTATAAACTCAGCGTTATACAAAGCTGTAAAGAAATCAAACAATAATCAATTACCAATATCCTACAAATTGGAACCTATAACCTATTAAAGTCAACATTGTTCTTGTATTGATTTTGCTGTTGTTCATTTCCTGTTAATTAATATACTTATGCACAAAGACACACATATATGCATATGTGGATCAATGGTTTGATTCCCAGTGGAAGCATATTATTCTCTTTCCTGTTACAAATGGTGTTTGTGGCCCTCCCTGTGGTGACAGGGAGTTAGAACCTGGGTTGTGGTGTTCGAGGGTGAGCACATTTAAAAAGAGGGGAGTAGTGCGACAGGTTTGAATTGTACATAGGATTAAGGTCGCCTTCTAGTTTCGAGCTAGAGGGAATTTCCCTTTAGCTCAGTGGTAGAGCGTCCGACTAGGAACCCGGAGATCGAGGGTTCGATCCCCAGTGGAAGCACAATATTCTCTTTCCTGTTACACATATATTTTATGAAAAATATGAATACCAAATACACTTTTATAGCATATATACCTAAACCATAATCATGGATCAATGCCCATATCCTGAACATCAACACTTAGAGAGATTTACTGCCTCAGGGAGATACATGACTAAACATCAAAGGAATCTTGCCATTTGACAATATTGTCGTGTAATTGGTTGTTTATAATTATCTAATTTTTGTTAAATACTGCCATCCGTGTACGATGATGTAAACAAGATATTTTTGTTAACTGACAAATAAAGTGTGCGAGTTACAATGCTTCTAATACTTCTGAATGATAAGTTGTTTGATCTTTAGTAAAGATAATGGATATGTACACATTACTTACCAATATTCTTTGCTAGCAAATCCCGGCATAAATGTATGTCATTTTCACAGGTTATAAGTATACATTTTGGATTTCCCTGAAACAATGAAACAAAATATCAGCATTTATATATATTACTACGTTGACAAAAGATGTAATCTACTTAAAAATTGTTTACAATATTTTGAGAGGCACTATAATGACGGTAAGAAAATAAAGACATGATACACAATATATTTTTCCAAAAATTCTGAGATAAAAAAGTCAAACTATTAGACATTTGATATGACATGAACGAACTGCAATATCTATCATAAATTAGTATTTTTTATTCCATCAAGTTCTGCTATCCTTTTCACTATGTTCTTTACATAAAATAAAAGATTAAGATGCTTGTAAAGAAAGCTGTACATTAAAGCATCAAGGTTACAATGATAATTTGACAAAATAACTGGCAAAAGGACCTACCTGCTCATCCTTCATGGACAGAAACGTTCTCAGCCCGGGTCTCCTCTTCACAACCTTACCACCAGCGCTCTCCACAATGTTGACGAGGTCACCGACCGGGGGATTCACACTCGGAGTGATGTAGAACGTCAAACCCTGTAATGTATATTTCATAGGAAATCATGTAACCAATCCTTTAACTTGACAGATGATTTGAGCCAGACATCCTTTTACTCCGCAACAATCTTAGACTTTTCATGACATTATTTCTGCAGGTCAAGTCAAAACTTAAGGCAATTTCAGACTTAAGATCGTTTAATATATATATAAAAATGATCTCAGGGCCTTGACACTCTCCAGACTTGATAAGTTAGAGCCATGCAGGTTAGATTGTGCTTTTAGAACTTAAACAATTGTAAGAGAATGCATTCTCATTTAAATGAATATTTAAAGTAGGATTAGAATCGCAACATACTCAAGCGTCCCCAATAAGTGGGTTTTGAAGTTTATTTGGCCGACTAGTTTCGCCTCTGAAGGTGAGGCTTCATCAGGACAATTTTACAATGATTTAGACACCTAAAATATTTAAATTTAACGAAGATGCATTACCATAGACAGGTAGCATTTAATCACGTTTTCCATCATGGAGGAGTCATATGGTTGAATGTACATCAAATTGTTCTATGACTAGATTTTCCTGAAATCAACACAGGTTCTTTGAACCCACTAAGACTGGGTCGTACCTGGAATAGAGGTCTGACATGAGCCCGGGCCAGGGAGTCCTGTAGACTACACTGCATCTCCTTCTCTGCTTTAACATCTCGCAGCGCATAGTTTGCCTCGTCTGTAACATATCACATAGACAGGTTCATTATCACCCAATACACAAGGCTGACCTAGGTTAACTAAAGATTCCTCCAGGACAACAGCAAGGAAGGATAACACTTTTGTAATGTTTATGACATTTTGTACTGAACCTTTATTATCAAAATTCAACTGAATGACAAAAGTCTTCAAAACAAATAATTAATTTTATTTTTGAGTCATAGTTTGACACAAGGACCAGTCGGTCTTAAAACTTTGCGACACGTTTAATATGTACATTGTTTGTGTAAAAAGTAAAACTTTGATATCAAATATTTATTTTGTTTTTCTCGCAAAAACTAGACGTGGAAAATCTGACGAATAACACTAGCTTCATTTACTAAATTGATGTTGATATTAAAATTATTTCTATGTTTGCAAACATAATCAAAATATTGCTTTACATAAGGGATGTATCTTTCAACAAATTTGGGTAAAACTATCAATTTTTAGGATACTTTTTGTCCAAAAACCATCATTCAATCAAATTTGAAATACTTTAATAGAATTTTAAAAGAATAAAATCTTCAAACTATTTTACATACCAAGGAATCGATTCTGATCGATGCTGTCCTCAATCCAATTTCGTGTGACCACAAACTTACAGACGTTGACGGCAATAAAGAACTTGAGGGTGCGGGAGAATGTTGGAGTGACCAGGTGTGTACAGTAACGGGGGTTCTCTGTGATGTTGGCACCAAGCTGTATCGCATTCTGTAACAGAAAACAACAAACAACATGCACATGAAATCCATGCATTTTGGTAGAAATTCGCGATTTAAAATCATCAGACATTATAACTCTCTGAAAGTAACAGTAGATTTATGTTTCCCTTTTTGATCCTTTAACAAGAACAAATCCAGCTGGGTTTTTTATACCTACTTACAAACATACTTCTATTTTGTTAGAAGACAACTTACAGTCTGGAGCCGTCTGGCTATGCCACGAGGAAAGCCTGTAAACATGACCCTCGGTCCAGGCTTGTCCAGGATAGACTGGTCATCTTTGTTCAGGTCCATTCTGAAATTTAATCAAATACTAGAAAATTCCTGTAAGATATAATACATTGCCCATCCATATTGATTTCATTTTTTGACCATTTTTCATATAAAGAAATGGTGACTATGACCTTGGAAACCTAATTACTTTAAGGTATTGTCATACTTTTGTATGACGTTTGACCAAAATCTGTTGTTTTTTTCATGAAAAATTGCATTATACAAATGAATATTCTTTTAGGCATACCTTGTGATAATTGTGATATTAATATTATTTCAAGAGAAAAGAGAAAAGTTTAACACAGTCACTCCCTATATTTGATTAAAATGACACATATTCATCACTTCGCAATCAATGTGTAAATAAGATTATAGCAATCCGACATATAATAAATGAAGAAAAAACAAACCTGGCCTTTTTAGCAGGTGGTTCTGCTGTCTCAAGCTTTGGGATATGTACATTCTCCTGGCCGGATGCTGAGGCGGGGCGGGACTTTGGAACACCAGGCAGAAATCTCTGTATGGGAAATAAAAACTTATCACAGTGCCAGGCAATATAACACACAACAAAAACAAACTGAAATATGTTCAAATGAAGATAGAGTAATAACTATCACAAGGATTGGTTTGGTTTAGTATTGTTTAACGTCCTATCAACAGCTATGGTCATTTAAGGACGGCCTCCCCTATGTGCAAGATGCATGCGTGTATAGTGTATGCGTGTGTGTTTTGGGAGGCTGCGATATGTTTGTGTTTGTCTCCCTGTGATAGCACCGAACTGATGACGACTTTATAGTGCTACCTCACTGAAACATACTGCCGAAGACACCCAGCAGGACACCTCACCCGGTCACATTATACTGACAATGGGCGAACCAGTCGTCCCACTCCTAAATTGCTGGGTGTTAGGCAGGAGTAGAAACTACCATTTTTACAGACTCTGGTATGTCTCAGCAAAGGGGACAGAACCCAAAGCCTTCCTCACAGGGGCGAACGCTCAACTAAAGGCCAAAAGTGAGGCATTGTCAAGGGAGACATTAGGAAGAAGAAAATGTTAAGAAAGAAGAGAAAAGATAAGATACCAAATTGAGTCGCCTCTTACGATCATGCAATGGGGGCAGCAGGTACAATTCTTACGCCCTAACTGCAGGGACCTATCAAAAGGAACCAGACAATTTTGTCAGAACAATACTATAGCCAATCCCATGACAGCAACAATGTACCAGTATACACACCTTCCAAACTTCCTTCTGTATCTTCATTGGATTTCTCCAACCAACTGTAAAATGAAGTTGTAAGTCAGTTTCAGTCTAGACCACCACAAAAGGAATGTATTCTTAGTGAAAAAATACTTTATACTGCATGGTCTAGCTTAAAAAATATATTGGCTAGTAGTATTTCCTAAATAGTAAATAATCCATTTGAACCACCTGCTGAAAAATGTTTGAGCCTTTTTTTTCATCAATTCACATGCAACTTGATGAAAAAAATTCAATGAAGCTGTCAAGCAGACTTTGTTTAACAGTAACCCTTTTAACTTATTTACCCCTGAAGACACATTTGAACTCTTTCAATTCAAATGTTGGAATAGTCCATTTTGAAATTTCAGGGGTGAATGAGTTAATTTCTGATGCATCATTGCTCCTGAATTAAGAGTCAGCAGGATAATAAAAGTCCAAACTAACAGGGGACAAATGATCAGACTCACATAGGCTGACAGTCATATTTACATAATCTATGACAACATGTTATCTATTATTAGTGCTCCATTCTACCAAAACATTTACCTAGCATGTGTCCTATGCGGCTAGTGTCCAGTTGGAACAGATCTCCCTGGACCGTTTGGAGGTAGCGAGGGTTGATTGGCAGTTTCAGGGCGTCCAGGTTGCCGAGAACAAGATCACTAAGCCACTGGGCGTTGACCACAGGTAAGTGCCATTCCTTGGCTTTTTCGTACTTCTCTCCCTCGGGTCTGTCGGCAAATATAGGTTTAGATTGTGTATAATAATCAACATTTCAAACAATCTATGATGTGAGTTTCGTCTCATGGTAATACTGAAAAGTACATTTTGAATAGTTACGAAGCAATGGAAAACTGAACATTGATACTGAAGTCTACCTGAGGTAAAAACAAGTTTTTACATGTGTTATAATAACAATGTTATCAAGGATCTCTGGATGGCTGTACCACAAACGTGTAAGTGTTTACTTCTCAACTCTTCATACTTTTCACAACACATACATTTTGACAATGCTGTTGCAATCAATGTTTATCAATATCAGTCTGGTGTGTGTCTGAGTAAACTCACCTCTTACAGACCAGTACCGAGTTTGAATGTGTCATGTAGCCAGTATATTTAGCTCCAATAGCATTAATCATCTGTTTAATACGCATCCTCTCGTCACCCTCAAAGTTTGTCACACATATGATCTGCAAAACAAAATAGCAATACTGTAATTATACACGAATAAACTAGACATTTCAGTGATAAATCGCACAAGAGAACTGGAAAGGTACATGATACTCAAATCACTGATAAAATAACACCAATGTTTGATAAAGATGTGTGAAAACCAAATATCTAACAGACAGAAGTTATTGAAATACAACCAATACTCTGTGGGCATTAAAACACTACTATTATATTACAGTAATTATCAGTTATGCGTAGCCTTATAGATCTGTGTTTATCTGTCTTCAAGACATTTAAATTTAGGGATTAAAAAAGCGTAAATGACCACTTCTGATAAAAAAAAAAAAAAATTGAATCCAAAATGTCTACATAAACAAAATTGTTTTGTCCATAGTAACTTTAAAAACAAAAAAATGAAACTGATGACATGTTACTGTGATCAAATTAAGTGTAATTTATGATCAAATAAAATGTGATTTACATAGTAAGTCAAAGTGTACCTGGTTACAGCAGGGCTTTACATCAGCAAAGATGAGGGGGATGTGTAAGGCCTGCCAGGGGGGAAGCATCCTCTTCCGTAGGAGGACATCATTCAGCCAGTACGCCGTCACAACACGACGCTGGTCCTTCAAACCCTGAAAAATTAATTCATGTCACACCATGAAACTCATAATATTAATGCCTGCAGTTGTGCACAGCCACCTGTTTTTGTCCACAAGAAATTGTATTGACAAATATTCAACATTCTGAAATATTTACACAGCACTGCAATTAACTCATTCACCCCTGAAGACACGTTTGGACACTTCCAATTCAATGGTTGGAATAGTTCATTATGAAATTTCAGGGGTGAATGAGTTCAGAATCAACAGGTAATAATTTGTTAGATTTGGCTACAGGGATTTAGCTCCAATTAATTAGCTCAACAGAGCCTCAGCAGTCACAGCTTGTGACCTCACTTACTCACCAGTGCAAATACGTCACTGTGTTGGTTGGCACACAAGATGTGGGACACACGGTTAGAGTAGGCAGGATCTACCTGGCCTCCATGCTGGCTGATCACCTGTCAATCAAATCAAAAAACCCACATCATAATAATTCCTTTACAAGCATGTAAATAATGTACAATCTCAAATTGACAACACAGATTTTCTCATTATTTTCTGGAAATTTTGGAATCACCTCTTTAATCCATAGCACACTAATGACCAGGAAAAAATCGGTGCAGTTAAACTTTCGCCTTTTTGCCTCGATAATGTCGGACAACTAACTAAATGTGGAAGCTAATATTAGCACATGGAATATCATATATATTGAGGACTTGTGAAGGGCAAAATTGACACTGAACAAATATGGATTATACATTAACTGGGAAAAAGCTTCCCAGCAGGAACCAATCAGAAGACTTGTTATTGGTTTTCTGATTATCTTGAAACACTGATGTTACGAAAGTTGAGAAGCTAGTGATCGTCCCTGTGTAGTTTGACCGACATCTGTCCAGAAGTTTCAGTGATAACTTGCAGATAATTTTTATGACAGAATATGATGAAGAAATGAAGCCAAAACAGTATTCACCCCTACTTCCTATTGAGGACATAAATATCAGAAACAAACGTTATTAAGCTGTTTTAAAATATATCTGACATGATATGGTGGACACTCTTTTTTTTGAACAATGTAAAGATTTCAAAATTTTAGGTAGTTAGGTAAGTAAACAGATCACTGACCTTCTTCCAGTTATCAATCTGATCTGGACCTACGATCTTCTGGTAGTCAGTTATGTAGAAGACACACCCCAGCAAACACATGTCAGCAGGCACTGGAAAATAAAGCCGAAGGTAAGAAAACCAAAAAAATCACCCCGAGGGTTGGAGATTTCTCTGTCACACCCACAAGGTAGGGGTTGATTGTTTTTCTCATATCCTATTATTTCAGTCACAACTCCACCAACAGTAGTGTAAACAAAAACACATTTGGGGTATGAATTTCGTCTTTCACTTTTGATGCCGTCACAATTACCGGTGACGCATTTTAATGACGTCACAATCGAACACGTGCTACTTGGCAAGAGGCTATCTCCCCCTAGGGGGTGACAAGCTGATCTTTCCCGACTAAAACGGGAGACATACCTGTGAAGGATGGGAGGAACATTATTCCCCAATTTCTTTAAGAGAAGTGTATGAAAGATGTGAATTACCATTGTCGGTAGGGTCATGACCCCAGTAAGTTGGCATCAGCGGAGACTGGGATGGGTGTTGCCCTTTCTGTGATCCTGTGGCTGACCCATATCTCGGCGGAGGGTGGCGGTGTGGCACATTCATGTTCAGGCCAAGAATCTGGTTAATCTATTAACATAGAAAAACCCTTATTAACAAATTGAATTCAGATTTGAAACAACCTATTTCAATATGTTCACGGGTAGATCATATATTATGCTTTCAGTTAACAATTCCATGTATTATTTGGAAATCTGAGAGAGATAATTATCCTTAAAAATTTCTTTCTCTCATGAAATAAAATAGGTAATATACATGTTTTTACTGAATGTCTTTTTCATGTCATGCAACTATATTTGAAGAAAAAAAATATTTGAAGAAATTGAAGAGCTGGTAGACCTACCTTGGTTGTATTTGGGCGGGGTCCAGGAGAGGGGTGCTGTGGGCCAGAGTTGGTGATGTTTCTTAATGTTCGTTGTGGTTGATTCTAAAGATGAAAAAGTTCATTGAAAAATTACAACTCTATATTACATCAGCTAAAAAGCATGACTTAGGATTCCAAACTTTGACTTAAAAGGGCTATTCTACAGAATTGGGAAACAAGGGGCAGGATGGCATATTGATAATATATGGATGATTGGGTCTGATATAACTTGCATCAATATCTATCAAGAAAGCCCTAAGAAATCAATTGCAGGCGGAAGGGTCACCAAAACTATCCTCCCTGCCCCCACTCATCTTATTTCTTTAATTTTCCACCCGAAAAACAATTTTGAACATTCTTAAAGGAACATTTCAGAAGACTTATACAGATCAAGTCCTCCATATACAAATACATATGTACATTGCTTCTGAAATCTCACCCCTAGTTGTTTCTGCATTCCCATTGGCTCATGCCCAGGGAAGGGAGACATCCCTGGGCCTGGCATGCCAGCATATCCTCCCAATCCAGCCTGCTGCATCTGATGAGGGGAAGGCATGTTGATGCCACCGGGCATGGCAGGGTGTGGCTTTCCCGGCGACTTTGGAGAGTGACTGGTCCGTGGTTGTCCTCCCGCCTGTGTCAAGATATGTTTATAATATTACATATCACTGGTCACACACATCTACACAGGGAAACACACCATGCTCATATCTCTACAGCTGGGGGGGGATCGCTCATGCTCAACTATTTGTTAATAATAACATTCAACTGGTTGGATATGATTTACAATATTAATCTAATATTTATTTTCGGTTTTTTATAATATATCCCAAATTACACACCAACCATTCCATACATTTATTCAATCACACTTAACAAACCATATATCTCTTTAAGTTGAAAATTGTGATGATATATGAATATTATAGCAAACCTCAAATATGTTTATCTTTCTATCAGAAACATTGCAGTCACAGGATGTTATATAAAGCACAGATTCTACACTTAATACAAGAATGATTCATCTCTGGGTAACCAACATGAATAGGCCATTATCAGAATGTTTACGGCAACAACACAGATGTTCAAATTCAGTCATAAAACTGATAAATAAAAATCATTTAAATCATAGATAAAATCCGATTTTTTTTCAGAGGGTTTCTGGCTCCATGGTCAACAGGTGGAGAAAATGGTGAGAATATTAAATACACATTCAGTCTCATGAAAACCATCTCCTCTGCCGGTCTTCCATCTAATATAACTCAAGCTAGCAAACGATTGTTGCCCGAACAAAAGGATTTGAAAACAAGGGCACAAGGAAGGACATTTACTATATATGTATATGTATTACATAAGTTACCGTAATAAACTTCTAATATAGTTCAGGATCATTCTATTTAAAAATATATCCCCAACCCATCGAAGGTGTCAAATTATTTTCAAGGGCACCACCATGTGAATTTCATTGAATTGATAAGAGTATATTACAGTCTGTTCCTCCAGATACAGAAATACTGCTGAATTTGTTTTATATAGCCTTCCATGGGTGGGGGAATATATTAAATTGGAATAGCTCTCACATCTAGTCTTCATAATCGTTCTAAATTCCAACATTGAATTGCAGCAGAGGAGATCAGTTTAATATGACTGACATACAACAACCATAAATTGTAGGTTACAAAAAATTGTCAAAACGTGTTCACACAAAAACTTCAAAGTGAAATTCACCTTTAAAAACAAATTTTACAGATGTGTTATAACTTTTATAAATTCATTTATGATAAAAGTTTTTATCAGAAATTAACTTTTCATAGGTGGAAAAAAAGAAAATTCACCTATGTATAGCCTAAAAAAACAACTTTTTTTATTATTATTAATTCTAACAGTTAAGAAATAGTTCATGATTGTTGCACTTTTGTGAAAACATGCATGATATGTTGGTGTGAAGTTGTTTCAGAGTCAAGGCTTAGTATGAGTGTAAAATAGCATCAAAGTCAAAATGGTTATTTTGGTACAAATGTAGATTGTGTACCACTAATATCCCAAGTATCATATTTTCAAAGTAACAAGCTGAAATCATGTTAATCTTGCAGTGTATATTGTAGGGTATGTACAATGAACATTCAAATTAGATACGTGTGACTTAACCTTTTAACAGGAGTCGGGTCAACCACGAGTTAGATTAATTCATGGCTCAACTCCAGTCATAAATGTTAATTAATAAGTATGCAGTAAAAGTTCAGAATTAGAAAACATTTCAGAAGTTATTTTTAAAATTATTTTCCTTACTATGAAACAATAACATTCTAAAAGTTGTGTATTTTATTTGTAAGTTGTCGCTTCAATCAATTTGTATTTCAAGATGGTTTTGACAATGTTTTGCTTTAGGCTATATAGCTATCACCCAGTGTTAGAAGTGGAATACATAATTGGTATAGGGTCAATCATAGCTAACTGGCTAAACTACTTAGGTCAGCTTAAAATATATTTATCAAGCTACCGGTACATTGTCTTAAGGTCTGACATTTTTTCTAGGATACACTTCAATGATTGGTATAGGGACAATCATAGCTAACTGGCTAAACTACTTAGGTCAGCTTGAAATATATTTATCAAGCTACCAGTACATTGTCTTAAGGTCTGACACTTTTTCTAGGATACTCTTCAATGATTGGTATAGGGCCAATCATAGCTAACTGGATTAACTACTTAGGTCAGCTTAAAATATATTGATCAAGCTACTGGTACATTTTCTTAAGGTCCAACACTTCACTCCAGAAGTTGACGAGCAGTTCACCTGTAGATAAGTGAACTTACTTTAAAAAAAAATTCCAGATGATTACCGCAGAGGTATCTTCAGAATTTTAAATTTTCATCAGAAATTTACAAAACTGATCAGCAATAACAATCATCGGTACAGCACCAAATGACACCATTAAAGAGTTTAAATTATGCTGATAAATGTAGTGCCACATACAGTTTTTTGTTCAATTTCCCCAAGATTCATGTTATCAAATATCTTTAAAATATATAAAAACATCATACAGTATAATATTTTAGCTCTTTTACCCAGGTAGTAATTGTAAGCAAAAAAGTAAAAAGCATCAGGAATTCAACAATATAGAAATTTGAAAATACAATAACTTTTTTATCATTTGGGGTTTCGAAAGCAGTACAAGTTATAACCTACCAACACAATGTACCAGTAAAGCAGACAGATGGTTGCTATCAGAGAAAACTACAGATTATACAGGGAGGATGGGGTATTCACACAATCCAGTCCGCCACCATAAAAGCTGCCCGCACCAGAAAGCAAAGTTGTCCTTCAATTTTAATGCGGACTAAAGGGAACATAGGTTTGATGTTTGATAATGTGCATTGTAAATTGAAAAAGAAGTCATTTTGTACTTTTCCTCTTATCACACAATGTTTTTGTAGCTTTATAAAAATGCTATGAAATACCAAGAAATTACTAAATTCTACAGGAGAAAATAAACCATTTACAGAAGTTTTAAAAGATGTGCACACATTCCTGTCAAGCTGCCATGTGTTGGGCAGTCCTGACCAAAGTGCAGATTTTTTTTGTGGAATAAATGTTTTTATGCAAACGCATTCATGTTCGGTGTGCACGAGTGAAGAAATTTTGTGAAGAAATATGTACATATATAAAAATAAATGAAATATTTTTTAATATTGATTATGTATTTGTTAAAAATGCATTCTGATGAAAGTAAAAATAAATCTTGCCAAAATATTATCATGACACACACTTACCTTACCGTTCTTTTCTAACTCTAGAAAACGTTTCATGTTAGTCATCCTGTGATATTTATTACGAGTTATTCTAACAGAGGCTTAAGTCTTCTGCATGACAAACAGACAATTAAGGTTTTCTATTTACTATATGTTTGTTAAGTCTGGAATTATTCTGAAAAATTGTTGAGTTGATGGAAAGTTGAGTAGATAAGCAAATTTAATACTGAAGCAGTATACCTTGGTACCATGAATTCCTGCGTGAAATATCATATTAGTAAACACAGTTATGCTACTTAGACTTTCAAATAGAAAGTAAGAGAACTAATAGTTTGATTTAAATGACAATTATCATAACATTTCCAGTTAAAAAGTCTATGAAAGCTTTTCATTATTGCTATGTATATATCATAAAAGAAACAAGAAAAGTAGGCAAAGACAGCAATGAAAAACAGATTGATATATTGAGACGCTTTAGCCTTATAGATGTTAGGATGAGACATTAAAAAGTAAAGAAGCTTAGATTTCAGTTTTAAATCAATGAAAGACTTAGTAGATCTAATTATACATATTATCAAATGTATTCAAGGTATTTTTGCATATTCAGAATAAAAGTTCTTTTTGTAAAACGTGTTTAAATATATTATCCAAGCTATACAGATGTTGGGTGACTTACATATTGTACAATGTGTTACAAATACCTGATCTAAATTGTATATTTGAGTTGTCTATTTTTGCAGATCTTATGTTCTTTTGTACACTCAATGTGTCATTCACATTGAACCTGTATGTGGTTATGAAGCATGCAATGTGCAAGCAGAGAAGCTGCAAGCAAGCAAACCTGTATGCGATTGTTGACCATGCGAGCCAATGCCTCTTTAGCACTAGGTGTAGGTGGCCTTGACCCAGCTGCTGACTCCTCCCCCGACACACGTCGCTCTAAAGCAGCCATGGCGGACTGCTGGAAGGGGGTGTTCACCTGATTTCCGGGCGACCGGGCAGACATCTCGCCACGTTGCCGAGCATGGTTCCCATGGTTACCCATCATGTGTAGATACTGATTTTGCATCATCATCTGGTCAGTTACATCCATGGCCTCGGGGAACATGACTGGTGGTGGGGAGGGCTCTCGGGGAGGTGGAGGGGGCGGCGTTGGGGACTTAGGTCGAGGATACTCAATCAGCTCCGGGTCATAAATCATCTCATCAAGCTTCTCCCCCTTGCTGATGCTGTCAGTGACCCAATCAGGGGTGACAATCTTCACATGATCAACATGCAAGGAGGCAGCTCGGTACTTCTCCTGGTAAAATAATATTTTAGTAATAATACATTTTAACATACACTTGTTGAAGTCAATTTGTTCTGGACATATTAAGGATATACCGATAATGTAAGTCTCTAAAAGATATTCTAAGGAGAATGGTTGACGGAGACACTGAAGTTGAAAAGTGTAAGTGGTAAATTACAGTAAAACATGGGTCATATTTAGATGCTACCAACTCTACAGAATTGTGTAGGTGGCGGAGATAATCAGACAACATAAACGGATTGGCAGTAGGATAACCCCGACTCTACAGAAACTGCTATATCATTTAAATTCTCAAATTTGATGAAAAAATATCCACCCCTGTGTGTATAACTCAACCCGCAAATCAAACAGCACTTTTGGGAAAATACTAGTGACGGAAAAGGCAAAGAAATTATACATTGTGGATTTTTTTTTGTGTAGCAAATGGCCTGGGAATCATAGTACATGTACTTCTAAAATTTCAGAACATTCTAAAATTTGAAGATCATATAATGACTACCAATGATGTTTTATCAAACCTTAACTTAAGTATAAATCAAATATTAAATTGATTGAGTTTTTAAGAAATCGTCTCTTCAATTGAAAAGGTAAATGAATTGCAAAAAAAAATATGAACTCCTGAGAATTTAACAGGAAATGTGATTATTGAAGTTAAGAACATCATTAGAGTTAGAAAGCTTTCCTGATACTGAGGACAGGTGTGGAAAACTTTGAGGTATAATATTCAATGTTGAAGAGTTTGGAAATTCGTACACTTTCAGTATTGTAGGCGATGAGGTGTGTACAGGATTGGTCCAAGCTCTGTTGACATCGACCGCCGTAGTACGTCACCATACCCCACAGTGCCTTGGCATCGTCAGGATCCAACTGAAACACATAGCATTCTGTGTGTATAACTCAATCTGCAAATCAAACAGCACTTTTGGGAAAATACTAGCGACGGAAAAGGCAAAGAAATTATACATTGTGGAAAAGCTTTGGTGTAGAATGAGTTGAGCTAGCTATAACATATTTACCATTCCAACAGTGTAATTCTGACATAGATTGATATAGGTGGTCTTAACAGGTCTTACTTGTGAGGAACAGGCTACAACTCCAGATAACAGGCGCCCTTCCGGTGCAAATATCTCGATACTAATGACAGGTTAAGGGGAACAGTCTACAAACAAGAACTATTTCAAGACGGGATCATCAGATAACTGATTTGAAACAATTTTATTGATACCCTGAAACATAAACTTATTTAAGGTATTCTACACCTGACCAATATGTATAAAGTTTGATCAAAATCAATACAGGGAAGAAGTTACTAGATTGATGACCAAAAATTCTATAAATACTGGGAGTAATGCGATCTTGACCTTAGCACCCAGAAACACAAACTCCATCAAGGTTTTCTCACAATTGACGAATAAGAATGTAGTCCCTAGGGCATCGACAAAGATTATCTGTAAATAGCAAGCTTGAGTGCCGACAAAATGTAAACATTGCATTTATGTACGTACAGAACACTCGATCAGTTAAACGATTTAGTTAAAAGCTTTATTGACCAGTCTATACCTATGATAGATGACCCGTTATGTTGACACTAAGATCTAGAAATACAAACATTTAAGTCAACATATTTTAAATTTTAGTGTTAGCAATATCTTTCCATATCTTCACCTGTTGTATTTATTGTTGTATAGGTACTTTCAGGAAATTATAGAATGCATATGAAAAGCACCAATCAAAACTGTTGGGTGATGAATGGTATTTTATTTGCCCCTCACCTGAAATTAAAAAGGGTGGGACCCATATTTTCTTAACAATAAGATGGTAAAGGACCCATAAATATAAATCTAGATTGATCACCCATTAATATCCATAACAACTGGATGTGGGTGTATGTGTACATGATAAAACTATTTTTTTATATGTTTCAGATTAAAGAATGAGTATAAGTTCTTTAGCTGTAATGATAACTTGGTAAGGATACGGAAGTCTTTTCTTGCATTTTACAGACAGGATCACCCACTGGCTCTGCAAAAGAAAAAAAGAATGACATCTAAATTCTTCTTCTTTAAAGTGACTCGATGCCATCCAATGCGATACATGATTCTAACCAGTAACCATCATATTAAATCAATTTCAGGAATTTTAAATAAGAGTTAATAAGACTTGTGTTCTATATAAAAGCTGGTTGCTTGCAAAAAAAACAGCCTGCTATTTACCGACTATACAATTATGGCTATTATTTTTAACAAATATATCATACCATGTGAACATTCGATCTATCTGGGGTTTTATTTATTAAATCTACCATCTGTAATAACTGTGAGAACTTTGAAGACTTCAGTTTTGAAATACATATGCATCAAAATTTTACTTTTATCACAAACTGTGTAAACCTCCAGTCCGATCCAACAAAATTGAATAACGATCGCCAATCCTGTTCACGTTACATGAAATTAAAGCCGCCAAAATAAATAGTAGATCCAACAATTCAAGTTGACATCAGCAAAAATCTCAACAAACAGTCAAAACAATGTGTTCTAACTTTCCGTCAATTTAAATTAACTGGAGGTTTACTGTGTGCAAGTGTACATATCACAATTTTGCAGAGTGCTGTAAAACTTAAGTACTTTTTTCCAGGCAAATATTTTGTTCCTCTACTGCTACAATTTGTCATAGTCCGAACAACATTTCAGGTCACTACTTGATATGTAACTCTCTCACAGCTTAGAGAGTTGAGCTTTTGTACACCCACCGTGACAACCGGAAGTTCAAACAGTTCCTTGGCCTCCGAGTAGTCATCTTGTGTGTGGTCATCAGCAATGACATGGCTCACCATCTGACTCAGGTATGAGTCTCGCTTTGCTCCTCCAGCATTTAGAAGAGCAAGTACCTGAACAATATTACAGTATTAGTCATTTATGATAGCTATACGTATACCAGTAATTAAACCCTGTTACCTAGGAATGAGATTTCTGACATACTAGTTTGTTGCTCAACTTACTGGGGATGAGCTTAAAAACATTCTCCCAAGCAAAGGCAGTAGGAAGAAACAGGGTGATATGCTCTTCATCCAAGAAAAAACTTATTCTGATCAGGAGCTTGTGATGTCAAGGGTTAGTATACTTGTCAATAATTCATGTATCCTGCGAGGGTAACCAATGTGAAAGAGAACAATTTTCAACATCCCTGTTAGGCAAATGTATGTAACAGAGATAATGAATTTTCAATGTCTCCGCTAGGAGTCCAATTTAACCCCTAGGACCTCTGGCTTACTAGTGTTACCTACCAAATGTTGTACCAAATTGGCTTAAAAGAATTTCTCCCTAGCTGCTTCAGTTGGAAGTGCTCGGCTAGTATTGCCTCAGGGTGACATATATATATCTATTAAACCTTTATTTAGATCTTATTAAGCTCTACTTTGCATTACTGTCAGTTCAATCTGGATTGGGGGTGTACATGTTCTGGTGGGAATCTCAGTGACTGAGTGAGTCTCTTGCTGTGAGTACATTACCTTGACTCACAAATGAGTGATAGCTCAAACTGCTAATATGGTATACATATATCTCAATGAGCCAGTTGACATTTAACAAGGGAAGGCATATTAAATCTAACAAAACTCAATTCCCTTGTGATTAATTTTGTTTTAAGTTTCCTAATTGCTGTAATTATCAAGTCGCGACAATTGATGCTCTGATGCGGCCTCATGTTTAGTGTTTATGTTTAGTATGATTATAAATTTCAACTTGAACGAAAAATTTCATCGAAGAACTTCTTCCCTACAACCGGTCGCAACCCAGTTAGCATACAGGAGCTGAAGTGGTATGCCCTAATTATGAAGCCAACAACAGTTGTCTTAGGTTCACAAAATACCTGTTGGTCGATATCACCGACCACGTAATACGTCACATCTTTAAAAAGATCCTCTGGAGTCTTTTCTTCTTCTTTCTTTTCTGTATCAGCGGTCATTTTGCCCTAATTACAAATCAAAATAATAGATTTCTGTAAACTCATCATATCTCAACTTGCACTATTATGTCGCTTTCCCGCTAACTGATCGGTGAAGGTCATATTTCATGAGGGATTGAACATGTTTGCATCGTAAGAAAAAATTGAGCTAAAGATATTCAAGCGCGTTGAAAACGTCGAGCGACTATTTACAATTCGAGGTTTGTCGTAAACAAAGACATTAAAAATTAGAATGAATGAAAAATAAATATATTTACACCACATTTAAATAAATCCATTCGTTAATATTTAACTAGACGAAAAATGATAATGAGATAAATAGAGGACGTGCTTACCTCAGTGTCGTAAACTAAGCACTAGACCAGTTGTTGATACTTTGTGAAAACGGTATCGAAATATTTTTATTGTGACAAAAACATAATAGCGTCTTTTCTAGGTACAAAAAGCAGGTAATAGTATAGAATTTTGATCTTTTGTTGATATGACGTTCGGATAATATCTTTATCAAATAGCAGTTAATCATATAATATGTGTTTATGAGTGAAGGCCTATCAATGCCACTGCACATAACCCGATAACATTTTATATTCTGTCTATAATAATTTGATATTGATTCTAACAATTTTGTTTGTATATAATCATAATATTTTGTAAGTGGTGATCGTTAAATATTGTTATTTCTTTTTTTCTTGTTGCAAATAATTATACAAGCCCAGGGCTCATCCTGTATATAATAATTAATATAGTCAATTGCACCCACTGTTTATTTATCTTTACAGACATAAAACGGTGGCATTGAAACTGCTACAGAAAATTCTGCAGCAGCACATATGAGCCACTTCTCCACATCACTCTACCAAAAATGCGGAATATTGGCTCCGACATAAACAAGTCCAGGGTGAGCCCTGTATATATATACAGATTATATCGCCTACAGTGCGGTAATCTGTAATATCATCAGTGGATCCGGGTTTTCACTCTAAATCCAGTTTGCAATTTCGCACTATGGGTCATTTCGCCCTAAATCCAATTCGCACTGTGGGTTGTTTCGCCCTAAATCCAATTTGCTCTTTGGGTCGTTTCGCCCTATAAATCCAGTTTGCCAAACCATTGTTTTTAAGTTATGAATATCAATTTAAATGTATTTGATGATTAATAAAAACTTAATCCAAATTTCCAGGGGGGATTTCCATGTGGGGGAAAATTGAGGGAAATGGTGATAAAACATGATTTTTAAAGAAAATTCCCAGGGTGGGGGTGTCCTGAAGCCCAAAAAAAACTCTGGATCTGCCACTGATTTGCATTAGTATTGGGGTTTTGTTCCTTATACAGCCATGTCAGCCATTCTGTTTAATACCTTCCTGGAATGCTGTGGTTTTGATCGAAATGGGTGCATTATAAATGAGTAAAATGTACTGTGTAATTATTAAAAGGTATTTTGTTATTAGAGGATTGGAAACTGAATTAGCTTGACATTGACATTAATGGAAAAAATGAAAAGATTGATGGTTTTATTAATGACATCTGTAACTTGTTGTATCACTGTTTCAGAATTCTAATATTATGGTCCTATGACATCTTCCCTTGTATTAACTAATAACATTCACACGATGTAGTAAGTTTTAATATCATTTCTTTGATAAACATTTAATTCATCAAATGAATTTTCAGATTACATTGCCTATCAGGATCATCATATAGATATATATATGTATAACATTTCAACATCAACTTTTTTGAATCACAAATTCACGGTTAACGTTTTGTTTATGCACATCCTAGACAGTATAGATGTGTACAAAGATATATAGCTACATAATAAACTAAGTGCCTGACTACTGTAGGAATCGAGCACCATGTGTGCCCTGCCATCCTCGCAGCCTCCAACCAAGAGAAAGGAGATCTACAAATACGAGGCACCATGGACAGTGTACAGCATGAACTGGAGCATCCGGCCGGACAAGCGCTTCAGACTCGCCCTCGGAAGTTTTGTGGAGGAATACAACAACAAGGTGATCATTATATATACAGTGTGTGATTTCTAGCCCAGCAGACATAGTTTAAATAGTGTGTGATTTCTAGCCCAGCAGACATAGTTTAAATAGTGTGTGATTTCTAGCCCAGCAGACATAGTTTTAAAAGTGTGTGATTTGTATTCTCCCAGACAGTTTTAATAGTGTGTGATTTGTATCCTCTCAGACACCGTTTTAATAGGGTGTGATTTGTATCCTCCCAGACATAGTTTTAATAGTGTGTGATTTGTATTCTCCCAGACAGTTTTAATAGTGTGTGATTTGTATTCTCCCAGACATAGTTTTAATAGTGTGTGATTTGTATCCTCCCAGACATAGTTTTAATAGGGTGTGATTTGTATCCTCCCAGGCATAGTTTTAATAGGGTGTGATTTGTATCCTCCCAGACATAGTTTTAATAGTATGTGATTTGGATCCTCCCAGACATAGTTTTAATAGTGTGTGATTTGTAGCCTCCCAGACATAGTTTTAATAGTGTGTGATTTGTAGCCTCCCAGACATAGTTTTAATAGTGTGTGATTTGTAGCCTCCCAGACATAGTTTTAATAGTGTGTGATTTGTAGCCTCCCAGACATAGTTTTAATAGTGTGTGATTTGTATTCTCCCATACATAGTTTTAATAGTGTGTGATTTGTATCCTCCCAGACATAGTTTTAATAGTGTGTGATTTGTATCCTTCCAGACATAGTTTTAATAGTGTATGATTTGTATTCTCCCAGACATAGTTTTGACAGTGCCAGAAATGCATGTCTTGTTCTTTTTGACTGGACGGCTGGCAAGCACTGTAAAGCAACAAAAATGTGATGTCAAATGATTAATTTCTATATTTTCAATGATCATTTGTCAAAATCACAGACAAGGAAAATAATTAGTCTTTCTAGACCATTCTGGGAAATAGTTTTAATTTTGTTTTCTTATAATTTTACATGTCAAATTCATTTACTTATCAGCCTGACAACTCGTTACAGAGTATAACCCAACATATCTCTCCTACCTGTTACTTCCTAAACCCAAGTACCATAATTCTTAGCCCACCTATTGTTTAGGTCCCATAAGCAACGTTTTGAAAAAGTTGGAATTGTCCTTGTTGCATATCTGGAGATCTTAACGTAAATGTCCAGTGCATGAACCAACCATGGCATCTAAATATTTAATACTATATATTATTGTTTTTCTTTTTGTTGAATATTTGAGCTTTCTTGATCACAGGTTCAGATTGTCTCCCTTGATGAAGAAACATCTGAATTTACTTCAAAGAGCACATTTGATCACCCTTACCCAACTACCAAGATCATGTGGATACCAGACTCTGTAAGTGACACCATACACACACGCACCTGTCTTTAATGATTAACAGGAATGTCAATGTTACAACACACAAGTATTGAGGAAATGTTGTGTACATGTATGTGATATTAATAATGTAGATCTTCAGAAATTTCAGTATGCCTGCTGTCTGTTGTAGAACAATCTTTGTCCTAGAAATAGTCCAACAGATTTAATGCTGTACAAAACGAAAACAAAACATAAAAGTAAAGTTCTGATATCTTCTCTTTAGATGATTCTGATACAGGATTCCGGCTATGATGATTAACAGTTATCCCAATGCTTCAATTTTGTGTTCCTTGAACTAGACTGGTGTTACAGAAACATGTATTCACTGACTGATTATTGTTGTTACAGAAAGGGGTATTTCCTGACCTGCTGGCCACTAGCGGAGATTATCTACGAGTGTGGCGAGTCAGTAGTGACAATGATACACGATTAGAGTGCCTACTTAACAATGTAAGTTTTCCTTGTACAGTTCTCATTATTCTGAGATAAGCATCCTCTTTCCGTCGCTGATCTGGACATAAAATGAAAGCATCCTTTCTGTTGGGATGATGTGGACATACAACATAAGAGTCGTTTACTCTGGGTTGTTGAAGACATGCAAGGTTAGCAACTGAACATTATTTATCCTGGGCTGACGTAAGCAACTGAGCGTTATTTATCCTGGGCTGACATAGACATGTGAGTTTAGCAACTTAGCGTTATTTATTCTGGGCTGACGTAGACATGTGAGTTTAGCAACTTAGCGTTATTTATCCTGGGCTGACGTAGACATGTGAGGCTAGCAACTTAGCGTTATTTTTCTTGGGCTGACGTAGACATGTGAGTTTAGCAACTTAACGTTATTTATTCTGGGCTGACGTAGACATTATTAAATCCTTTCTGTGTGCCTAGAATGCCGAGAAGATGTTGTGACTACATAGTATTTCATTGGACCAGTCAACTTACTTAATACGACCTCAATAATAGTACTGTTACTATATGTTTAATCAAAGACATTGCTTCTTTTGAACTGTGTACAAATTGTTTAACTTCTTCACTTATTATTGGTGATGTTTTCTTATTTCAGAATAAAAATTCAGATTTCTGTGCTCCATTAACGTCATTTGACTGGAATGAAGTCGACCCTAACTTACTTGGAACCTCAAGTATAGACACAACCTGTACAATATGGGGCTTAGAGGTAAGTAGAACGTATCAGCTTATAAAACTAGGTAATGAATAAATATATATATATATATATATATACCACTTGAAAAATACAGAGTTGTGAATTTGATTAGAATTGGAAAAAAATATATTAACACTCGCGAAAAATAGGAAACCAGTGTACAACAATCCAGTGGCTGTAGTTGTAGGAATGAACCCAATAATTTGTAGTACATAAATCGCTGTTTAAAGATGGAACATATGAAATTTGTTATAGTCAAATTATTACATTTTACATACAAATTTCTTATTTTCCAACTTTCTAATAAAATAAGTAAATGCATTTTAAGCTGAACTGATGAAGTATTATATATTTTCATTTAAAAACATGTTTGGATTGGAATCTTAGTTTCTGCATCAGTCCAACGATTTGCATCAATTACAGCAATTAGAAGTTTGGTGTTGATTTCGATGATGTCTAACTAATCATTGTTAATCCTTGTTTCAGACGGGGCAGGTGTTGGGGCGCGTAAATGTCGTATCCGGCCACGTAAAAACACAGCTTATCGCACATGACAAGGAAGTTTATGATATCGCTTTCAGTCGAGCAGGAGGGGGGCGTGACATGTTTGCTAGTGTTGGTAAGTGAGGTGATGCACAATTTCCCTTTTGCATAAGACACATGTCCCATTTATATCATGTTGTCATAACCTAGAGATATCCCTACTAATTAAATTGTGTAAAGTTGTATGATAACTCTTAAGAGATGTCCGATGTAAGTCATGTGTAGTTGAAGGGAAACTCGAGACATGTCCCATGTAAATTAAGTGGAATCGTAAAATAACTCCTGAGATGTCCAATATAAGCTAAGAATGGTACTACATGTACAATACACATAGCTTGTTGCATATTCATGCTTTTATTTTCACATTCATTTAAAAAAGGGCACAAATTGACATCCATGTATTGTTTGAAGATAAAGGAATTCATCCAGGATTTTTTCATTTCCTACACACACAAAGTTGTGAATATATGAAATATCCCTTTTTGCCTTCTTGACTAATAAGATATTGTGAACAGCTTACTGGACGTCAGCCCGATTTGACTCATCATATAGGCAGAAGACAGTGTATGAGATTATATCTCAATGTAGTTGAAGCAAAATTTGCATCAAAATCAATTACATAGGTGTTAGAAATATTGGTGTGTACCCTGTAGTACCAGTTTCAGTGTATCGTTAGGGTATGATACACTTGTACTGACTTGCCTGTCCAGGTGCTGATGGCTCCGTGCGGATGTTTGACCTCCGACATCTAGAACATTCCACCATTATATATGAGGACCCGCAGCACCACCCCCTGCTGAGACTGGGCTGGAACAAACAGGACCCTAACTACCTAGCCACGATGGCCATGGACTCACTAGAGGTCAGTGTAAATACCAGGCAACGTGCTACAGACATGTCCACTCAAATTATGTCTCAGCTGTTAACCCTTTCACCACTGTAGACCATAATGGACTCATCCATACTCCATACCAATGCATGGTAGAGTCCAATAAAGTTACATAGGGATGAAAGGTTTTAACTGATGCTGGAACATTGAATAACACAATACAATGTCGGTAATCTAATATTGATTCATAAACTTTTCAAATAGATAGCAGAAAATCAAGTACATGTGATGTCACCTTATATAGAAATTGTCTGAACTGACACAGATAATTAGAATTAAAACAATTGACTTGTATCAAAGAGGATTTAAGCTCTTGCTATTAGATATTGTCCATAGGTTCAATATCACCAACAAATAAGGATGTATACTGATATACTTTAGGTGATAATACTGGATGTACGAGTACCATGTACGCCGGTGGCCAGACTCAATAACCACAGAGCCTGTGTGAATGGTATTGCCTGGGCTCCACATTCTAGTTGCCATATCTGTACTGCAGGTAAGTAATACATTTCTGTTATATTGGAGTTACTAGGATTTGGCATTTGACCCCTAGCTGTGACCTTTAGTTTAGGGCTTGAGTGTATTCATGACACCGTCTAGTCATAGGCTGAGGATGCACATATAAAAAAATGTTCATGAAATAATGTTTTGAAATAAACAACTGATGATTCAGAGAAGCATTAAAAGATTTGACCTTTTACTTCCTGCTGTGACCATGACTTTGGGGTGCAGAACTTTGAGTGATACATGACAACACCTTAGTCCTAGCTAGTCATCATGGATCTATCTCTTCTTCATAATTGCTCAGACTATTGAAACAATGCTATAACCTTATAGTATAGGCCTGCGAGTGTTACATCACACTATCTAGTCATGATGTATTCCGTCTTTTAGGTTTCACCAAAAACGCTCATAAGATTTTCAGAAAGCCTCCAATTTATTATTAAAAGTTTAAATGTGATATCCTTCACAGCTTTTAGCTGTCAGCCACTCATGTGATACTGTAAAATCATAAATTAAAAACAAAAATCCCCACGAAAACATACATTTGGTATGATATAGATAGGGGAAAATCAGAAAATTGAAATATAATGTCCTTGATGTATGAAAACCACGAAATTTTAACCCCGTGAAAACAAATGATTCTACAGTATCCAGTAAATACCTCACACTATTAATTTACTTTGTTGCTTTGTTTTATTTGACAATCAATACCTTACATTATTAATCTGCTCTGTTTCGTGTCTTTGACAGCTGATGACCACCAAGCACTGATATGGGATATCCAGTCAATGCCTCGGGCAATTGAGGATCCAATCCTGGCATACACGGCTGGGGGTGAAATCAACCAGACACAGTGGTCCTCCACACAGCCAGACTGGATCTCAATCTGTTACAATAACTGTCTCGAGATACTGCGCGTCTGAGACAGCTAGTGTTAGTTCTTTTTGGCAGCCAGTAGTGGCCATCAAGTGTGTATAAGTGGTCAGCACAAGCTAACATTGATACTGCCTAAGCAATCTCCGACAGCTCCTGTAGAGGTTCTGTCCATATATCTGTAGAAGTACGGGATCATCATCCTTTCAGATGGGGACACTCTACTACGTACTGGCGGGTTATGAACTTTACAGATTACCTCCTAAAATTCTGGCCAATATGCATGGCAGTGGTACCAATATCATTAATAGGAAACTTGATCTGTCAAACAGATTTCGCACGACAAGAAAATGATAAGTACTTGCCCACAATAAGTGTGAAAATGACTCAATTTAGTGTTTTTGTACAGGATAGCCATAGTATCAAACACTAGATAAATGATTAGTTTAAAGATCTTTTTCCTTAAACAAATATAACTTTGATTTCATCAGATATTTAAATTACAATGGAAACTTTTGAGACACTTTGTTTTAATAGGGAAAATAATACCAGAATCTTCAACTTTGTTTTAATAGGGAAAATAATACCAGAATCTTCAACTTTGTTTTAATAGGGAAAATAATACCAGAATCTTCATGCCAGAATTCAGTAGTATGTGTACTATAACGGAAAAGTTTGTTATTTCTGGAGGAAAATCCCAAGAATAACGTTTTCCTTGATTAATGAGACAAAAATTTATAACTTTTGTGGAATAGGATTATCCACAAAATGGCTGATTCAGTGTAAACATAGGTTCCCGTGTTCAGTAAATAGATTTCCAGAAGCTTGTATTCCAGTCAATAAGACTCTGTATCACTGAAACGTTTTCATGGTTTGATTGAATAATTTTAGGTACGTTGTACTATTGTAGAAGGCTGCATGTCTCCATAGTCATGTAAATATATATATATATTTCATCACATCCTCTTTCATACAATTGTCTATGTATGCTGACTAATCCCAAGTAACAATTGCATGTTTATAATTTCCATAATAGACAAGCTTTCTTTAAAAAAAGATATTTATACAAAAATGATCACTTGGACACTCATTTCAATTTTTATGAGGATTTAACATTTTTTTTACGTGTATGGCAGTGAATTCAATGCTGCTTTTTTTTAAAGTTATGTACATAATTTCATTTTCATTTTGTCAGTATTTATGTAATGATGTTCATTTTTTTTATTCTTAGGTTTCTGTCAAGTTAAAAATAAAAAAAAGGCCAAGAGTTTATATGTTCACAAAAATGTTCCGTTTTGGTGACTTTGTTTGGTAGAGGCAGAGAGGCCTCTGGTTGCCGATATAGTAGTTTTTATAAAGCCCTTATCTATTGTTGTTGTTTTGTCTTATTTATTAGTCGTAATTGAGCTGTTCTTCATAAAACCAAAAAACTTGAGAAGTCAGTTTTCAAAATGTGTATACTTTTTTTTTTAAGTATTTGTTGTATTTAAAAAACGTCTTTTATAAATACAGAAATTTTCTATCAGTACCAGGTACTGTAACAATAAAAGAAGCTGTAATATTTGTTGGTACTTTATACTCCTATTACTTCTAAAGGGCTTTTTGAAATCCACACAAATTTGTCTATGGCATAACACTTGTTTCTTATCTACACAAGTAGCAGTCATGTTACAGCATTGTGATCATGAAGATAAAAGTCTATGAAGGCCCAATTGTGTGTTTCACTAGAATGCATTATAGTAATCTCTTTTGATCACAGAAATATTCTTACTAATAACTCTAATGGCCAGTAGAGTTATGATATTCCAAACAAGTTTCATTTTTGCTGTATTTGCAGCTTGAAATTTGTGTTGCCATTTTGATACAAACTTTTTGTGAGAATAGAATTTTGTGAAACTAAACTTATTTTCAAAATCTGCAGTGTATTGTGTTTAACAGTATCAGGGCTGGGTTATATGATCAAAGCTCCCTTCCTTGTTCAGTTTACTGATATTAATTATCAGCTGAATAAAGTGAAAACATCGATTCTCCATTTCAATTTTAGCCTTGCGTGACATGCCATTTGAAAAATAAGCATTTTAGCATGGAACTATGATATACTCTTGAAATGCACTTAAATAAATAATAAAAAAGGGGAGATAAAATTTAGATGAAAATGCCAGATCCCCCAGACATAATCCTTTTGGAAACTGATACTTTGTGTTGTAGTTTAAAACTTTAGGAAAAGTTGAGTAATATTACAATTCATCAAGCTATATTATTTCCTAGAAAGTGTCAAATACATATTATCATGGACTCAATTCATTTCACAGTCATGTACTGGTGTTCATTAAAATGTCATTGAAATAAAAGAAATGTATTTGTTTGTTTATTTCAACTGTTAAATACTAGATGCTAGAAAGTTTACAACAATAGGAAGAAGACATTTTTGAGCAATTAACTGCTTTCAGTTGACAACCATAGTAAATATGCTTTTTGGAAATGACAAATTCCATGAAACCCGCTTTGTTTGTCTTCTGTTGGTATTCATATTGACTATGAACCAGGGAGTTTGTGAGAGAAATAAAACAGTGAAATGTGCAGACTCTTAAAAGGGAAACTTGTCTGCAGCATCGTTGAAACAACCTGATCAATCACTACCATCATCAAATAACAAAGCTTATCACAAATAATGACAAAGTAAGAAAAGGTTGTGAATTCATTTATTGATACAAGACAATAAGAAATAAATACGAAATGTGTATTCCGACAATGAAATGTGCTGTAAACCACAGATAAACGTATATGTCTATAAATGGAACATGACAATAATGACTGCCATGTACCAAATCAGTTACCTCTAATATCAGTTCTGAAACTTAAATGCAACAACGATCAACGTAGACAAAGATTCAACACCCTTGCTTGGCTGTCCTGCCAATGCTGTTTGAGATTACTTATTATCTATTTTATTGTTTCAACTAGATATTTCTTGTTATGGCGTTAGAAACATGCACCTACTGAAAAGAAATCCAGCTTGTTTGAGACAGTCTGTATTTAATTAAAATTTATGAGCCATTTTCATTCTGCTGTTTGAGACTCCTTCTGGCCATCTGAAGAGCACCTTCGTAAGTTTCATTCCCTCCAATAAATCCCCCAGCATGTACAAATATACAGCCAGGAATACCAGACTTTTCTGACAACTCGGCATCCCGTATTCCACGCCATTCCTCTAGGAGAGAAAGCCTGCAAAGTAAACAAAACCGTATTGAGTTATCAAAAGTTCCCCACTTCCTCAACATTTTAGTATCCAAAAAGAAGGCTGGTTTAATTTGTAACTCTGTATACTGGGAGTTGGGGCACAAGACCTGATTCAAGTAAGTGAGTCTGCAATGATCCAAAGAAGCATGTACGTATGGATTTGTATACAAAATTCTGGAATTGTTGGTGACAAAGCATAGGAGGTATTCCCTGGATAACGTGACGCTGAACAAAGGGCATGGATGGACAGACTGAGTGCAAGTCTGTAGTCCATACCGTTAGGGGTCTAACAAGCACACAGGAGTATTGATAAATTCCTTATTGTGACACAGTCGTCCAGTCATAATACATTGCATGTTCCTTATTTGGATACAGTTTATAATCATGTTATACAATACTCATCTCCTACTGTGACACTGTCTAGTCATGCTACAATACACGTTCCTCATCACAACCCTACCTGTCCTGGGAACAAATTTACCTGTTTTCAAAGGAGCCTATCTTGAGTGGAACACATTGTATCCTCCACTTCTGACTGTTGTCTGTGTATAAGACATATTTAAGTTTTGGTGACAGCTTCATTTCCTCCTCAATGTTGAACAGATGGTCCTTCCATGGACATCCACCGGACTTCAGGACAACAATCTCTCCACTGGGATCAACCTTGACAGAACGACGGATAGTTAACAACAAGACCTGATGAAGATATGTCTCCAGTTACATTATTTTATTTCATCTCACATTTAAAAAGAATAATGATATTGTCATTCAGATATCCTGCCAAACGAAACATAAAAGACAAACCAAATTTCCACGGTGGAGGGCAGGTGGACAGAATAATTGAGGTGCGGACGGCTGTTAAAACAAGAAGCCCAATGAGATTAATAGAATCTTCCCCTACCTTGAGGGTGTGATAGAGAAATCTCCAACCCGAGGAGTGATGTTTTTTTAAGTTTTTGTTTTTGGTATAAAGACAATAATCTGAGTATACGTATCTTCCTTGAATCAATTGTTTTGTTATTAACAGAACAAATAGAGGACCTGCAAACATAATCGAACATAAACACCACATTAACGAAACAAACTATACAATCCAAAACAGAAGATGTCTACACTGGAATCTTGTTAGTATGGACATTTAGAAAAATCAGTAATTCTATTCTAAACATTCTGTTGAGTAATGACAGTTGTATACTGGACAGTGTACTGATGGCATGCAGACAGTACCTCCATTCTCTCCTTAATGGCCTTTTCTATTAGCTCCCGGGCAGGAATCCACGCCTTTTTATAATACAGAACTCGGTCCAAAAACTCTGCTCCAACCATTTCATAAGCTTTTTTGAACTGGACCTAAAAACACGAACAACAATAATGGCAACCATAAAATCGTTACTTCATTTAGTAGCATAGGCATTTGTGAGAGATTGAATAACATTAAATGTAAGAAAATCTGGTCACCTGAAGGCAGGAGTTTAAATTTAGAAATCTTCTTTGCAATTAAACATGTAACAAGATCACTGATATTTATATTACCATGACAAAAGAGATAACAAAACTTCAATAATATTTACATACCTCCTCGTCAGCATCCTCATTCCAGTTCGGGTTGAGGTGTCGAACTCGATTGCTGATAGTTGTACTTATTTGGTACCTGAAATTTCCATATAAAAAAAGTTAAATTAAGTCCTTTCTTCTGTTTTAAAAACTTTCAAACATTACATACCCTGTTCATATTTTCCTAGCGAAACTTTCCCCCATTTGGTTCCACACTATATATTTACACTTTTATGTTTCCTATTAAACTATCTTCAATGTGGAAGTTTTTGCTAATATTGGTTTTGTAAATCTATGGAAACAATTTTATATTGCTTTAAGCTTGAAGAATCAAAATGCAAATTTTTTTTTGGCATTTTGACTCAAAATTTATCATTTATCAGATAACTTCCACGTTTCGCAGTAAATACACTGTTGTCATACTTTTTCCTAGACTATGCAGTATAACCCATTAGAATGAGGATATGACATTATGATGTCACAATGAAAACGATTATCATGAAGTCATGATTATGGTGTTGAAGATTTGATTATCACAGTCCGAGAAAACTTTGTCCCTCTGAATATTTATACATATTCCTGGTAATGAGATAAAAAGGCTCTTAGTTACCTTGAGAGATGGTCTAGTTGTGTGTAGGTCTATTCTACAGTTTCCCAATAGAGTAGAATCAACCTAAAATCCTACTACTGACAACCTACTTAACACATTTTTCCACTACAAAATTATAGGAATTTTTCAGATAGATAACTAATACTTCATCACTAAATATTACAGCTGAACAGCTAAGAGTTTTTACTTACCTTGCATCTCCATCAAACTGATTAATACCATTGTCCACAGCATCAATCTCCTCCACAAAGTTTTCATAAACTTTATCATAGACTATGTCCAAGACCGGGTCATCCCTGGCCAACTCTAGGATTTGCATCAGAACCTCGTGCCCGAAGTGAAGGTAGACCAGTCCAGCGCTGCTCAGTTTGGTATTCCAACTCTTTTTTGGAATTAAGCTGTTCATCGTTTCCTTGAAAGTCCTGATAGAGATCCATTATTATTGACATTATTACACATACAAATCTGTTTTTACACAGGCATCTATATCTGACGTAAAACATCTATTAAAACATATATATCCATTATTGTGCAATACCATACGCACAACTAGAATTAGTGTCTGATGTACGGAACATAACATCATAACATTTTATATATATCCATTATTGTGCATTAACAAACGAACAGATAGAATTTGTGTCCAATGTTTAACATTGATTTATAATATATAATGATCCTATTTTTCTGTATAACATCATATACTTATTACAATGTTAACAGATGCATCTCTTGCCAATTCCTATGATCAAGATCTGACATAATAAACAATTAGCAAACCTCATTTTCAATAGGTATAATAGAAGTGGAACCAAGTCCTGGATCTACATCCATCAAAATCTTATCAACCGAACGTGTAACACTCTAGACCCGACAGCCAACCCAACCAAACTGTCAAAAATATACAGCACTGTTATTTATGGCTAGAGTACTTTTGGAAAAAAACTTGGCTAAAAATAGGATTTTTTTCCCCATTTACACTGTAGCTACAGGTTCAATATCAAATACTTTGTGAAAGAAATGACAACGAATGTTTGATCAAGTTTCTCTGGTGACATTCCATTTGTGGTGTAAGAATCACACTTTATTGCATGCTGGAAGAAAATTATATTGATCAAACAAATCAATTTTGAAACGAAGTCTCTCTTATCCCAAGAGATATTTGAGGAAATCAATTCTATCCAAGGGTTTCCCTGAATTTGTTTTATAGCTTTTTTTATATACCTTTGGTGGTGGTCGAATCTGTTTTTATCTGGATCAAATATCCCTCCCACGTCCACAACTATATCACATGTGTCGAGCACTGCAGGGTCACGAGTTCTAAGAACAAAAGTTAACACATTTAAATAAACCAATCCTGTCTCCATTTTTTTACATAACAATGGTAAAATATATTCCATTATATTAAAAATCATCAGAATATCCCACGTGACTTATTAAGTATAATTTGCAAAATGTTATTGTTATGAAAGTTAAATGAATTAATATTTTCCAACAAATTTTATTAGCCATGCTTGCTTGATTTCATATTCATAATTCTTTTCTTTCCCAGACATTCCTTTAAATGTATTTATATATTAGAGTTGTCTTTCCTTGTGATCTTTGTACTGTACGGTTTGTCTTTCCTTGTGGTCTTAGTACTGTACGGTTTGTCTTTCCTTGTGGTCTTTGTACTAAAGGAAATGTGTTACCTTGAGATCTTTGTACTGTTAGAGTTGTCTTTCCTTGTGATCTTTGTACCATACAAATTGTCTTTCCTTGTTATGTTTGTACTGTAAGAGTTGTCTTTCTCTGTGATATTTGTAATTTAAAAGTTGTCTTTCCTTGTGATCTTTGTACCATAAGAATTGTCTTTCCTTGTGATCTTTGTACTGTATGGTTTCTTTCCTTGTGATCTTTGTACTGTAGGAAATGTGTTACCTTGAGATCTTTGTACTGTAAGAGTTTTCTTTCCTCATGATCTTGTAGTTTAAGAGTTGTCTTTCCTTGTGATCTTTGTACTGTAAGAATAGTTATCTCGAGATCTTTGTACTGTAAGAGTTGTCTTACCTTCTGATCTTTGTATTGTGAGATTTATCTTTCATTGTGATATTTGTACTGTGAGATGTATATAATTATCTTACAGTGATATTTGTACAGCAAGCTTTGCCTCACCTTGTAATCTGTGCATCTTTGTACTTTGGTAGTTGTCTGAGGAGGAAGCAGGCCAAGACCTCGTCACAATGGAAGGATCCATTGTGTGTTCCGATCTTCATGTCTACCCTGGCTTTCTTTGCTTGAGGACTACCAGCAGACATTTGTTTTACACCAGTGGTAAGTGAAGAGGATAACAACTTTAGCACCTTAGCTGCAATAAAAACAGTTGTATGCAAGGGAAAGAAAAAAAATCAATCAAGTGTCAAATCTATATTTGGCGTTTCCTTTTTTCCAGTATCGTATTGCTGGGTATTATTATAATCCTCTGATCAGTGTGTCAGGGACGACATGGTTTGATTTTGATGCTGAGGTAGTTGTGCGATCAGAAAGTAAAGGAAGTGTTTTCAGTCAGAAAGTAGTGTAAGAAGTTTGAATGTTATTGGCCCACTTGAGCTACTCACTTCAGTGCAGAAATTTCAACCAATTTCCTGTTCACAGTAACAGTAACCTTGACAATAACCTTCAGAAATATGAGAATCAGATACAAATGTCAAAATATTTTGCTCAATATATTTTTGTATTTTTGGACTGTAACGGTATCACAATATATACAGTATGTGCTATAAATAGAAAGGAACAAAAATTGGCCATGCAAAATAGTTTGGCATTGTTCATTGATGATGACAGAACTCGCTAGTTGTGATTTGGAGGAAAGGAAAGCGCATCACTACAAAATGAATGTCCTGGTAAAATTACAAACTTAACATTGCTGACAAATGTGAATCTCATTGCTCAAATTTATTCACCAATATCACCTTAACTCATTCACCCCTGAGATTTCATAATGGACTATTCCAACCCTTGAATTGTAAGAGTTCAAATGTGTCTTCAGGGGTGAATGATTTAAGGACTCAGAAACTGGTTATGGTGATGCAAAACATCATTGGAATGGCATTTTTTTTTTTTACCAAAAGTCGATTTAAACCCCCAAAGATATCAAATATATCTGAACATCATCATGTCTGCTTATAGGTCCAAGCATAGCTAATGTAACAAAGATGTTATAAATCTTCCCTACGATCTCCAGGAAAATAAACATTATCTGTCGTATTATTGTTAATTTGTTACAGGAAAGGGAAAATGCATGGCCAGAATTTGAACTCAATACCTCAAAATTCTAGACAGACGTACATTCTAATTGATTGAGCTACCTAGGCCTGGTCACCAGCAATTGACTCAATCCAGTGAATTAAAGGTGTCTGCACTGCCATTCTATCAAGCTGTACTTTACGACTATGTGACCTGCTGTCAACACACAGGGATATTTGAGACATTTGCACATCATCTGTTTACTGACAAAATTAACAGGAATTTTGCCTGGAGAGTGGAAAACCTTAGAATATTTTACTTATATCGAAACATACATAAATGTTCATTTGTGCTTAATACATTTTTTATCTTGCTCAAAATGAACCAATATCTGAAAAAACAATGATGCCTTTTTTCCTGACCAAGTGACTGTTTTTCTGTTTTATGTTGTTATATGTAAATGTTCATGTTCCTGTCTTGATAGAGGAGCAGATCGCCATGAAAGTTTGACAAATTTCTGTGTCTGCACTGTCGTTATTAATTCTTTGCCCACATATATATATGTTTATATATAGTTATTTCTAGCTAATTTGATCATATAACCAAGTCTAAACAAGTCCCTGTGGTCACCATCAGTCCAATATTAATTAAAATGACTTCCAAACACAAAAAGTAACAAAGCTCAATCGTTTGACAGATTCGAGAGAATCTAGATTTACATAGGCCTACCGTTGAAACTCCAACCACATGGGCTTGTATAGACTTATATGATAAAATTAGCTATATATGTATATCTAGCTAATTTTATCATGTAAGTCTATACAAGCCCATGTGTTCCAACCATAGTGAAAGTTCTTACCTGTCGATTTCCAACCACGCGCCAAACTGAGCATTCCAAAAACGCAGATCAACCTTTCCGGTTCAAAGTTGTTTCGCCCCAAAACCTGTCGTCGAAGGATCAGCTCGTCCTATTACGTTTTTGTAGTAAATGTACATATCAGACGATTTTATTGTCTGTACATATTTTTGGTTTCTACTGGGTATTCGAACACAAACACTTTGGGCACTTAGTTAACCCTAAATCAATTATAGAACAACTAAAGCATGAGAGGCAAACTGACCGATTGGCAATAGGGCGAAATGACTCGTCATCATCGGCCACATACGGTATCACTAAAACTCTTTGATTTGTAAAGGAATTTGGAATTTTAGAGGGAGACACTGACATATCAGATAAAAGATGAAAATGCTCTTTTTTGGTCATAAGTAGGCTTGTATAGAATTGTTCATTGCTCTACTTGTCCTTTGGGTTTTGAGTTTACCTATGTTGTAATTTCTTTCACAGATTTATGATTCTTGTTGGATTTACTTTTACTTTCGTTTTCACTTCTTGGATTTCGTTACACATGTCAAATACACATTAGCCAAGTGAGATTATGCCGTGGTACGGCGTCTGTCGTCCGTCCGTCATCCTGCGTCAATAATTTACTTTAAACAACTTCTTCTTAATAACCAAAATGTCTAGGGTGATGATATTTGGCAAGAAGCAAACTGGGATGAAGGGCTACCAAGTTTGTTAAAAAAAAATGACCTTCACCAATTTTCAAGGTCACAGGGGTCAAATATGTTGAAATATTAAAACAACTTCTACTGAATAACCAAAATGCATAGAGTGGTGATATATGGCCAGTAACATGCTGTGATGAAGGGCTACCAAGTTTGTTCAAATGAATGACCTTGACTTAAATTCAAGGTCACAAAGGTCAAATTTGTTTAAAACCTGTAAACAATTTCTTCTGAATAATTAAGAGTCTTAGTGTTATGATATTTGGCCAGTATCATGCTGGTATGAAAGGCCACGAAGTTTGTTCAAATGAATGACATTGACTTATATTCAAGGTCACAGGGGTCAAATATGTTAAAAACCTTTAAACAACTTCTTCTGAATAACCAATAGGCCTAGGATGATGGTATTGGGGCAGTAACATGCTAGGATGAAGGGCTACCAAGTTTGTTAAAATGAATGACCTTGACAAATATTCAAGGTCACAATGGTAAAATATGTTTAAAACCTTTGAACAACTTCTTCTCAATAACAGAGAGTCCTAGGATAATGATATTTGGCCAGTAACATGCTAGGATGAAGGGCTACCAAGTTTGTTCAAATGAATGACCTTTACCTATATTCAAGGTCACAGGGTTCAAATATGTTTAAAACCTTTTAACAACTTCTTCTAAATAACCAAAAGGCCTAGGATGATGCTATTTGGTCAATAGCATGCTGTGATAAAGGGCTTCCAAATTTGTTAAAATGCATAACTTTGACTTATATTCAAGGTCACAGTGGTCAAATTTGTTTAAAACCTTTAAACAACTTCTGAATAACTAAGAGGCCTAGTGTTATGATATTTTGCAAGTAGCATGCTGTGATGAAGGGCTACCAAGTTTGTTCATATGAATAACCTTGACAAATATCTAAGGTCACAATGGTGAAATATGTTTTAAACCTTTGAGCAACTTCTTCTCAATAACTGAAAGTTCTAGGATGATGATATTTGGCCAGTATCATGCTGGGATGAAGGGCTACCAGGTCTGTTCAATTGAATGACCTTGACATGTATTCAAGGTAACAGGTATCAAATATTCATCGTCTTTTTCAAGCTACTTCCCACAAAGCATATCAAGATTCTATGCTTATCCGTTCTTTAGAAGTAGTCGGATGAAGTTTTTGACCTATGTGACCTTGAAAGTATGACAAGGTCCTGTTTTGTTTTGCAAACTTTATCAAGATCCATTCCTTGAATGAATCATCCAGCAACATATCATGACTTTAGGCCTTTTGGTTTTTCAAAAGAATTTGTTGAATGAAAAAGTTGACAACAGACAGAAGACAGACACCATGCAATGTCATAAGCATAGGCTAATAATTAAGATTCCCACCAAATACAAACATGGCAAGCATGAAGATTTGTATACATTCATGCAAATAGTATTGACCCAAGAGTTGTGCCCTACCTAGAATTTAAGCCTTGAATCATAACATGAAAACAGTAGAACACAATCAAGCTACCAGGATCAGTTACAGGGGTCTGGCCTTACCCCTACATACTTGGCCCCTGTGTCATTACATAAAAACAATTGAGATCCCAATCCAATAACCACATTCATTGCTTGGCATAAAGCAACAAATACACTCATGCTTCCTCAATTGGCCCAACCCCTGGGGATTTAGTCTCCGAGATGATCATATATGGAGACACTTGGAATACCCACCCATTAACCATACATAGTAATACTGTGCATGATGAAACATACACTCATGGTACATGTACTAGGATTAGTTGTTGGGTCTGGTCTCGCCCCTGATGACTTACTCCCTGGGTCATAACTGGAAACAAGTCGAGATTCCCAACCTGTATCCATACAAACATTTGCTGGTCATTAAGATATGAACAATGTACCATGACTTAAGTCCTTTTTGTGTCGCCTGCAACGCAAGGCACCATATAGGTATTACTTTGTCAGCCTCACAAGGTTGCGTCATCCGAAACAAGGTTTCCATGCGATAACTTCGAGTTACCTTGGGTTGATTCACTGAACTGAAACTTGATACACATATTACATAACTCACCGTTGTCGACGTCATACCATTAGTCTTCGACTACTACATACCAATATAGCGTGAACGAGTTCGCAGTTCAGAAGTTTACATGCAGTTTTTGGTGGAGTTATGCCCCTTTTTTTGCCAAATTAGGGCATTGTGTAGTAAATGCAAAACTGTGATTGGACGGACTGTCACATGCTCCCGTACCTGGTTAGTATGTTGTCGGCATACTGTGATTGGAACACTTTTTTATTTTTTAATCAATTCCTTTCAAAATTTGTACAGTAATACTAGAAGCAATAATGTTCAACATTTATTACAGGTTTTTCTGTCGAGTTTCAACTTTCCACGTTTTGGCATATCACATTTAACATAGCAACGCTGTTAATCGTTTTTGCCGTTAATTTTTGCTTGTTTACGCGATAACTCCAGCCAAAACACTTTTCTCACTAAAAGCGCTGAGCAGGCGACACATCCACTCCTATGGAATTCTTGTTTTAGATGTTCTCGGCTTTCATTTCTTTTAATCTTTCAGTGATGAACAGTATTCAACAGGTTTTAGATTAAAATAGAATGACAGTTAAGGTGTGCCCTGGCCTCTTGTTCTTTATGTTACTCAAACCTCAGCATTTAATGTTCTGTATGTTTTATCAGTAATGACCTTAGAAGAGGTTATAAAGGCTTTCCTGTTTACTGAGTGTTATAACATATTACTCTTAGTGTTATATATCATTTTAGGATGTTGGGAATCCCTTCAAAGTTCATCAATGATTATTACTATTTCTTTAACGATTATTAATTGGTAATCAATCTGTCATAGAAAGAAAGGAAATACAATGTACCGTAAATCGGGACATTTCTACGCCGATTAATTTTTGCAGATTTCTTGAAAAAAGCTGTAGTTTCATTTTTACTGGTATATTATTTTTGCTAAATGGGGCTATGGGCAAAAATAGTCTGGCACTCTGATGTTAAATATTATTCTAGGGTTATTTTTTACAGTTGATAAATGTTTATGTATTTATATTGCATTTTATTTGTGAATTTGAATCTTGCACAAAATACGCAAAAATTGACCACAGTAAATATGTACATTTTGTACATCCAGATTCATAGTACTACACAAGCATTCATCAAAATGGATAAATGTTGTGCATGCATTTTTAAAAACATGTACCTAGCTATAATTATATAGGCAGAACTGTTGTTTTAATGCAGTTTATGGTAAAACTTTTAATATAATTGTTTAATCAACTTTCAGGTCTTAGTCAGCTGGTGCAAATGTTAGTCAAAGTAGTCAAACTCTGATTGATCATAGAAAATGATAATCAATTAATTCGAAAGAAAAATGACTATTCATCACTTAAATTGATTAATTTGAACATGATATTTTATCTGGGGGCAGAGGGGCGGGGCCCAGGTTTTAAATTGAAAATAAAATACCAGGTGAGCTATTAAGGCCCCTGGGCTTCTTGTTTTTTTCTAGTGCCTTGCTTGGCAATACCTGTCTTTTGGCCTTAGTGTTGAATGTTTGCCCAAAGGGGATACTAATGCAATCGGTTCTGTCCCCATGCTGAGACACACCAAAGTCCTTAAAAGTGGTAGTTATTCTCTGTTTAACATCCAGTGTCTAGAGTAATCACAACAACTGGTTTACCTGTTGTCAGTAAAATATGACCGGGTGGAATGCTGTGCTGGGTGCCTTAGGCATGGTATTTCAGTGAGGTAGCACTCAAAATCTGGCATCATTATTAATTAGGCCCCTTTCACTTTTTTTGCATTGTTTTTTTTTTAAAAACATCCTTGGCTTATCAGGTGAAATGTTGTAAGATTTATTTTAAGTTTAAGTAGCAAGGTTTATTCCATTAACGATAAATTAGATCTTGATGGATCTTGAAGCTGGTACAATCAAATTCAATACATCACAGGCTATCTTAATTTGAATTGTTACTTTTAGGCACTGGCAGGAGATGCAATGCATTATTGTACTGGGCATTTAACAATAAACTGGTTGTTTTAAATGGGACAGTACAGTTGTTGAAACAAACATATCTACAGGAATTCAATTATAAGACAACAATATCTTATAAATCATTTATTCATAAAAGCAATCAAATATCAGTCGAAAAACAATTGTTTAATATATAACAAATTTCAATTTTCTTTATTCTTATTCAAAAAGAAATACAATGTTGTGTACATTTAATAAATTTTCAAGATCATATTTTACTTCAAATCATACAATTTCGGATAGCGCCTGGTATTGCTGTACATGTATTCAAATATTGAAAATTACAAATGTAATGTGACATTACCAGTACAATACACACACATGTACAACAATGCACATTGCCAAATTATTTCTTTAAAACTATGCTTGGTTTAAACAAGAGGCCCATGGGCCTAAACGGTCACCTGAGTCTACAGTATTTATTTTTGTTGTTGAAATATGTACCAATTTGAGTAAAAAATAGTATAATGTTAACTTAACTTTGTCAGGACCATGAGCTGATCATTCCTAGACCAATTTTAAGTGAGATCGGCCTATTAGAACTTAGTAGCAAAATAGCGGCCATGGCAGCCAAATTGTATTTCTGATTGACCCGAAAAATAACAACACTTTGTCAGGACCATGAGGCGATCATTCCTACCAACTTTCAGTTCAATCGGTCCAGCAGAACTTGACTTTAAGTTTGAAATAGGTTTTCAAAATGGCGGCCGTGGCGGCCATATTGGATTTCTGATCGACCCGAAAAATAACAACACTTTGTCAGGACCATGAGGCGATCATTCCTACCAACTTTCAGTTCAATCGGTCCAGCAGAACTTGACTTTAAGTTTGAAATAGGTTTTCAAAATGGCGGCCGTGGCGGCCATATTGGATTTCTGATCGACCCGAAAAATAACAACACTTTGTCAGGACCATGAGGCGATCATTCCTACCAACTTTCAGTTCAATCGGTCCAGCAGAACTTGACTTTAAGTTTGAAATAGGTTTTCAAAATGGCGGCCGTGGCGGCCATATTGGATTTCTGATCGACCCGAAAAATAACAACACTTTGTCAGGACCATGAGGCGATCATTCCTACCAACTTTCAGTTCAATCGGCCCAGCAGAACTTGACTTTAAGTTTGAAATGTAAAATGTTAACGGACGACGGACGACGGACGACGGACGACGGACGACGACGGACGAAAACGGATAGCAATAGGTCACTTGAGCTAAAGCTCAGGTGACCTAAAAACAATGTAAACGGACCACTAATATTCATTGATAAAAATCTAATTATGAAATAGTTTGAGTGTGATAAATTTTAAGGGGAAAAAATCACAGAAAAAGAAAAGAAAAATGAAACATTACAATATTGACTGTCCAATAGTACTAAGTGTACACATTTCATTGTAATATGTGTCTGTGAAAACACAAATCTGTTTCGTAACATATACATGATAACATATCCTACATATGCTACACTAACTATAAAGTACAGACTTAAAATTTGATACAATAAATGTTTCCATGACTTTATCAGCCCCTACATCCCCTTATATCTCGACCATGGCCAGATCCTATATTTTATCAGCCCCTACATCCCCTTATATCGCGACCATAGCCAGATCCTATATTTTATCAGCCCCAACATCCCCTTATATCTCGACCATGGCCAGATCCTATATTTTATCAGCCCCTTTAGCTACATCCCCTTATATCTCGACCACAGCCAGATCCTATATTTTATCAGCCCCTACATCCCCTTATATCTCGACCGCGGCCAGATCCTATATTTTATCCCTGTTATCACATCCCTTTAGAATACATTGGATCCCATTTATCACATGACTGGACCCCTATTGTACCCTCTCTACCGTACTCCTTTGGACACCTCTGTAAGACCGGCCCTTTGTACACCTCTATAAGACCCCTTTGGACACCTCTATAATAAGACCCCTTTATCTCATTGCTAGATCCTTATCGTACCACAGTCGTTGAGGTTTCGTGTGAATACAACACAAAAGTAACAATAACCCTACAACATTTAGTAACAGTTAACCTACTGCATTGAGTTACAATAACTCTACAGTATTTATAATTACAATAACCCTACATCATTGAGTAACAATAACTCGACAGTATTTATAATTACAATAACCCTACAGCATTGAGTAACAATAAGTCTGCAGTATTTATAATTACAATAACCCTACAGAATTTAGTAACAATAACCCTACATAATTTAGTAACAATAACCCTACAGAATTGAATAACAATAACCCTACAGAATTTAGTAACAATAACCCTACAGAATTTAGTAACAACACTAACCCTACAGAATTGAGTAACAATAACCCTACAGAATTTAGTAACAATAATCCTACAGAATTTAGTAACGATAACCCTACAGAATTTAGTAACAATAACCCTACAGCATGTCAGATTTTCCGTATAAAGAAGTTCTAGATTTGTATAAAAATGTAATAGATTTACTAGGCTATACAAGGTGTAAAATGTCATCTGAAAGTTAACTATATATATATTTATATACTAGCACATTGTATTATTGTACTAGATTATTTACACAATCAAATATTGGCGAAAAATGGTAACAGCAGTGAAAAAGACAATCAACATATCACCTTCATAATATAACACAAGCCAAATGATAAATGTTACATGATACCTATATACTAATCAAATTTAACCAGCAGTAATGAAAAACAGTTAAATATAATTTGTACACCAGCATGCAGTAAAGATGCCTTTATGTAAACAGTACACAACAGTGAAGATATGTTATTATTGACAGTTAACCATTTGTTTCTATACATAAAACAGTGAAATGTTATCACCAAAATGGAAAGATATTTTTTATGTAAACAAGCAGTATACATTTCAACAGCTGTATATCAAGTGTTTTTCAATTTGTTTGCTTGTTTTATGCTGATTTCAACTGATAGAGCTAGTAGACCACACACAAAGTTTATAAAATATCACAATTTGTATAAAACATCACATCTCTTCGTAGATAAATAAATGGCAGGTTATTAAATAGCTTCCTGGTCTGTTAGTAACAAAGTGATGTTACCACCAGTAGTCGCTTAACACTGAGAACTAGCATGACTCAATGCTGCTTGAGAAATTGTATGTTAATTAACAGTCAGAACTCGTAATAAATATATATAAAATCTGCCTTGTCAAATTTTTCTTCACAATTAAGCATTGTTCTTGCTAAGTATCAAACTGGTGGTTAATTTTCTAAAGTAGCTGGTTCAATGCTGACTGGTTATAATTATAATTAAACAATTAATTTTGCATAAAAAAAGCTGACTGATGGAAAATGAAAGGCAGGCTATTTCACCTTCAAACATCAGATTATTTCACTACATTATACAAATCTAGATACTTATGCAGTTGAACTTGCACACCTAGAAATATAAATCTGATTTACCAGTAAAGATAAAGAATGAAAGTGATAGTTGAATTATTTTTTTGCAGTTTAAGTTTGTTGTTGGACATAATATTAAAGTGAAATAGATAAAAAAAAAAATGAAGTGAAATAGGTTAAAAAAAAAACCGACTATATTTAAAAATAGTTAAATGTACAGTTGAACAAGGCAATGTATTAAGTTAATCCAATCCATTCATACAGATGCCTTGACTCTTGGCCTCCTCCCAAAAGGCCTCGACTATTAAGGCTCTATCTTCACTAACTGCCTGAGCAGGAGCCTGGGCTACGCCAACTGCCTTTGCGAGTCTCCTTCCTCCACCATTGCCTTAACACAAGTCTCCATCGACAAGTGCCTCAGTGCGATGCCACTTCCACAATTGCCTCAGTTTTCAGTCCCAGTCTACAGCTGACTCGCCTCTCAGTCTACAGCTGACTCGCCTCTCAGTCTACAGCTGACTCACCTCTCAGTTTACAGCTGACTCACCTCTCAGTCTACAACTGACTCACCTCTCAGTTTACAGCTGACTCGCCTCTCAGTCTACAGCTGACTCGCCTCTCAGTCTACAGCTGACTCACCTCTCAGCAATAAGTTTCACAGATGTCTGAGCTTCCAGCCTAAAGATCCATAGTTGCTTCAGCTCTCGGTCTATGATATTCAGAGCTGCCTTAGCTCTCGATCAGTCTTAAACTCAACAGCTGATCTAATTCAGGTCTTAGTGTCACAAGTTCCACACAGTACCCATTCCTATCTGATTTAATACTCAATCAATCATTGCGGCACTGTTTCGTGCATTTCTGTACCAAACTTTTGTCGCAGCTGATGATAAAAGCAATGACTATACTGACATATCAGTCTCCATCAGTGTATAGCTGACCCGATAAGTCTACTGGTTTTAAGTCACGTGATATCCAGTCCAAATCAATGGGCCAGGTAACATGTTTGACTGGTCCAGCACCCAGCAAGAGATTAATGCCCAATACATCTACAATGGTCTCACGTCCATCAGAATCAAAATGATTCATACAACCGAGTCAACGTTAATCAGTTTAAATTTGTCACATTCCTACATATGTACATGTCTTTCATCAGTGGAATGAAGGCTGATTCACCCAGAGTGTCCATCACGAGGTTACTACTGCGTAAAATGCTTGGTCAAATCTAGGTACAAGTTATGTGAAATTTCTTCTTCTGATACAGACTTATTGTATATCTATACTTGTTAAGGCCTAAACGGTCAACAAGAGAAGCAGATGGTCATCTACAGATAATACAATTTTCATCAGGCATCCACTATCTCAGTGTGGACAAATATTAATGCCTGAGGCAGCTGGTCACCGGTCTTGTTGAACAATGGAAAATGGCGGTACCCTGAAATGGAAGCAATTTTTGTTTTAATCTTGTTATGGTACTGTCATCATAAAATTATCATTGAAAATAATGTCTGAAAGGAGTAACCACCTGAATCTCCAGTAAGAACTTTTTATTGTTGAACATGGTGACACCAAAGAAGTGCCCGCTAACTGTTCCCTATGAGATATTACACTGCAATTATCCATTAACGCAGATACAAACAGCAGGGCCGGTATTCATGAAACCATTCTCATGCTCAAGCATGGATTTTGTGCTTGAGCTAGAGAACGGTTTCATGATTACAATTACGGGCCCTGATATTTTCACCATAAAACGCATATTCTTCAAGAAAATATCGATCTGCAAAATTACTGAAACTATTTTAAGTATACGATGTTGAAAGTCATACCAATGCCTTTTTCCACATCTGACCTGGAACACTGTCCAACACCCTAAATCTCATGACGGTTGACAAATGCTAGTCTCTAAACCAATATACTTTCAAATCCTAGCAATAACTGTGAGTACAGGATAGACATTTGGAACTCTTACAAACCTTTCCAGAAGATGTCTACATTAACAAAACTTTATTTATTTTTTATGAATGGCAACTGGCTTGGTAAAATATTATTGATGGCTTATAAATTGTAAAAAGAACACGGAAATACATTCACTTATAACATACGATAGCCTAGCCTAGGTATCTTTTTCAATGGAGACAACTCTTAAATAACAAATTCCAGGTAAAATGTGTAAGGTAGCATATACCCTTAAGGTAAATGATATTTACCCTGCTGAAGACAGGAGAGTGGCATGACGTAGTAGCCGATGAAATCATCAACGTATCTGTCGCTGTCGTACACAACAAACCGCAATAACACCAACTCGGGGGAGTTCAAGTTGAAGCTCACCGTCTCGTTCCACTGGGGGTTGAACCCTACAATAAACATCAAATTATATGAAGCCTTGACAGAGTGCAGATTGTATACGGTGTTGAATTCACAGTTCTATTAATTAGTTCTCCTTAAAGTTCTCCTTTCATTGTAATGTAACTTCACTGGTTTCCATGAAAATCAAACTGCTGCGATTTAGTAACATACTGTAAAATCATAAGTTTTCGTGGGACATTAAATTTCGTTTATTTTGTGGATAACAAAAATCCACGAAATTAAATCACCACGAAAACATAAATTTGGTATGATATAGATAGGGAAATATTTGAAATCAGCGAAATGTAAAGTCCATGAAACCCCTGAAAATAAATGATTCTACAGTATATACATTTTTTACAATATTTACAATATTTGACAATAGATTCATTGAATTTACAAGACATAAACAAGTATATACCTGGTATGTAAAACAAATCATTGTTCTGAATAACAAACCATTGTTCTGTATAACAAACCATTGTTCTGTATAACAATCATTGTTCTGTATAACATACCATTGTTCTGTATGACAAACCATTGTTCTGTATTACAAACCATTGTTCTTCATAACATACCATTGTTCTGTATGACATTGTTCTGTATAACAAACCATTGTTTTGTATGACATACCATTATTCTGTATAAAAAACATTGTTTTGTATGACATACAATTGTTCTATTTAACATACCGCTGTTTTGTTAACACACCATTGTTCTGTTAAAACAAATCATTGTTCTGTATGACATACCATTGTTCTGTATGACACACCATTGTTCTGTTATAACAAATCATTGTTCTGTATGACATACCACTGTTCTGTATGACATATCATTGTTTTGTATGACATTGTTCTGTATGACATACCATTGTTCTGTATGACATACCATTGTTCTGTATGACATACCACTGTTCTGTATGACATACCATTGCTCTGTATAACATACCATTGTTCTGTATAACAATCATTGTTCTGTATAACATACCATTGTTCTGTATAACATACCATTGTTCTGTATGACAAACCATTGTTCTGTATTGCAAACCATTGTTCTGTTATAACAAATCATTGTTCTGTATGACATACCATTGTTCTGTATGACAAACCATTGTTCTGTATTACAAACCATTGTTCTGTTATAACATACCATTGTTCTGTATGACAAACCATTGTTCTGTATGACAAACCATTGTTCTGTATGACACACCATTGTTCTGTATGACATTGTTCTGTATGGCATACCATTGTTCTGTATGACATACCATTGTTCTGTATGACATACCACTGTTCTGTATAACAATCATTGTTCTGTATAACAATCATTGTTTTGTATAACATACCATTGTTCTGTATGACAAACCATTGTTCTGTATTACAAACCATTGTTCGGTATAACATACCATTGTTCTGTATGACATTGTTCTGTATAACAAACCGTTGTTTTGTATGACATACCATTATTCTGTATAAAAAAACATTGTTTTGTATGACATACAATTGTTCTGTTATAACAAATCATTGTTCTGTATGACATACCATTGTTTTGTTTAACACACCATTGTTCTGTTATAACAAATCATTGTTCTGTATGACATACCACTGTTCTGTATGACATATCATTGTTTTGTATGACATTGTTCTGTATGACATACCATTGTTCTGTATGACATACCATTGTTCTGTACAACATACCATTGTTTTGTATGACATACCATTATTCTGTATGACATACCATTGTTCTGTATGACATACCATTGTTTTGTATTACATACCATTGTTCTGTATGACATACCGTTGTTCTGTATGACATACATTTGTTCTGTATGACATACCATTGTTTTGTATAACATGCCATTGTTCTGTTTAACATACCATTGTTCTGTATAACACTTGTCTTGACTTGTTGGTTGTCTGCCTTGGATCCGTGAACTTCAATCTTGATGAACGGATCAATGACTTCCCCTTTCTTTGAATCTTTAGGCTTAGGAATCTGGTATCCACTTATCATCTGTAACCAAGATACAGGGGTGAGCCATTTCTAAATTCAAGGACAATGTATGGAAAATCCCAAGGTCAAGGTCATAATAGTTACAACATCCAGGTCAAGTTTTGTATTTCGGATGTTTTCACTGCATCCACCAATTCAAGGATACCAGTCCCTCTTCACTGTGGTTTTTGTACATACAGTAACCTCCCTTTAAGGAGCCTTATCCCACAGCACTGTGGTTTTTGTACATGCAGTAACCTCCCTTTAAGGAGCTTTATCCCCCAGCACTGTGGATTTTGTACATACAGTAGCCTCCCTGTAAGGATCCCTGTCTCACTGCACTTTGGATTTTGTACATACAGTAATCTCCCTTTAAGGAGCCTTGTCCCCCAGCACTGTGGATGTTGTACATACAGTAGCCTCCCTGTAAGGATCCCCGTCTCACTGCACTGTGGATTTTGTAGATACAGTAACCTCCCCTTAATGATCCCTGTCCCACTGCACGGTTGGTTTTGTACATACAGTAGCCTCCCTTCAAGGATCCCTGTCCCCCTGCACTGTGGATTTTGTACATACAGTAGCCTCCCTTCAAGGATCCCTGTTCCACTGCACTGTGGATATTGTACATACAGTAACCACCCTTTAAGGATCCCTGTCCCACTGCACTGTTGGTTTTGTACATACAGTAACCTCCCTTTAAGGAGCCTTATCCCACAGCACTGTGGTTTTTGTACATGCAGTAACCTCCCTTTAAGGAGCCTTATCCCCCAGCACTGTAGATTTTGTACATACAGTAGCCTCCCTGTAAGGATCCCTGTCTCCCTGCACTGTGGATTTTGTACATACAGTCACCTCCCCTTAATGATACCTGTCCCACTGCACTGTGGTTTTTGTACATGCAGTAACCTACCTTTAAGGAGCCTTATCCCCCAGCTCTGTAGATTTTGTACATACAGTAGCCTCCCTTCAAGGATCCCTGTTCCACTGCACTGTGGATATTGTACATACAGTAACCTCCCTTTAAGGATCCCTGTCCCACTGCACTGTCTGTGGTTTTGTACATACAGTAGCCTCCCCTTAAGGATCCCTGTCCCACTGCACTGTGGATTTTGTTTATACAGTAACCTCCCCTTAAGGATCCCTGTCCCACTGCACTGTGGTTATTGTACATACAATAACCTCCCTTTAAGGATCCCTGTCCCACTGCACTGTGGTTTTTGTACATACAGTAACCTCCCTTTAAGGATGCCTGTCCCACTGCACTGTGGTTTTTGTACATACAGTAGCCTCCCCTTAAGGATCCCTGTCCCACTGCACTGTGGATTTTGTATATACAGTAACCTCCCCTTAAGGATCCCTGTCCCACTGCACTGTGGGTTTTGTACATACAGTAACCTCCCTTTAAGGATCCCTGTTCCATTGCACTGTGGATTTTGTACATACAGTAACCTCCCTTTAAGGATGCCTGTCCAACTGCACTGTGGTTTTTGTACATACACTAACAGTATCCTCCCCCTAAGGATCCCTGTCCCACTGCACTGTGTTTTTTGTATATACAGTAACATCCCTTTAAGGATCCCTGTCCAACTGCACTTTGTACATACAGTAACCTCCCCTTAAGGATCCCTGTCCCATTGCACTGTGATTTTTGTACATGCAGTAACCTCCCCTTTGTATCACTTTGGAAATAACTGTAGCAAAGTTAGTTAAGAAAACTTCTGTTGACCCAACAGCTCAATTTGTAAGAGTAATAGTATAACAATCTGAAGTCCACGGTCCCAATCCCGGTCTAGACCCACAGAATTTTTACAATCACCAGAACATTATCGTTATAAGGTAATGCTCTCATTCCAAAAATACAAAAGCTAAAGTCAGTCCAGAAAAAAAAACAGTTTCAATTTCTTAGTTACAGTTTTGGCTATTGTACAAGGATTCTTAGGCAATAAAATTCCTTGTTAAGTAATTTTTTGTGCTTGCTTCAATTTATAGCATGAAGGACTATTAAAACAAAGTCAGTTTTTTGTAATAACAATGAAAATGATTATGACAATCACCCTGTTACAATGTTATCTAACAACGAACAAACTTACCTTCATTACCAGCTTCTTCTTCTTTGTCGGTTTTTCCAATTGTGAAGAAAACTTCTCAGCTGTAAACATGATAAATTGCAATTCCAGTATTAATTTCAAGTTACAAAAGGCAAAAAATAATTCATTCTAATTGGATGGATTTCATGTTTGATATTTTCTGGATTAAATATTGGATTCAAAAAAATAATGTCAGAAAAATCTCATTTTTATTTCCTACATCTGCAGAATGGAAGCAACTGATTTCAAATTTGTAAAATTCTGGAAAGAATTTTCAGGATTGTCTGTGATTATTTAAAAAATAAATAAAAAAATCCTGAAATACATAAACAACAACAACAAAACTTTCTGTTTTCAGAAAAGTCTAGCAAAATACTGAGAGCTTCAGTCAATACTTTTTATTGCAGCTTGAAAACTGTTCTCATGTGAACTTGACAATGATGAGCAAGCACCCTTTGTTAAAGGAACCTGTGTATTCAGATCATCTTAATATTCCAAAGACTGGTCTGTATCAGTCAGTTTACACAGGTTTTGCCCTATCACGTATCTGCCCGACATAAATATGTTTACCTGATAACATAAATTCAGGTTTCAGTACATATCCCGAGCCTCCGTTGTCCAGGAACTTCCCGTGTAGTAACTGCATCGGTTCTGCACCGGTCGTCTGGAAGTTCAGCGCAACTGTCGGAAACAATATATCACTCAAATTATACATACGTATGTTGGTTCCAGTTTAATGTGACGGCATAACTATTTTGTACAAAAGAAAACAGCAGGAACAGTCAAGAGATACCAAAACAGAAATACAGACATCATAAACACGATGCCGCCTATTAAAAGGTTAGGACAGAAATTGCAGTCTTTCAGATGATGATCTGGAATTCATTTACAAGTCAATTTTTAATTACGACATAACATGTTTTGGAAATATGATAGATTTACATTGATCATTAAGTTACGGTCTACAGGTGGTATAGTTGGAGAACAATCGTTATATTTAGCTATAACTTGGTGTATGTCTATCACTTGAAAACATTACAGTGGTAGAATATAACATTTTTTGCTTACTTTGTATATTTCACAAATTATTATGCAGCGCTTCAAATTATTATGTAACTATATGATCTAACAAAATAACCTAGTTTCCATCAACTTAACAAAACTGTTGCTTAGCGATGGGCTGACGATCGATCATAATCGAAAATCGATCGGTTTGACCTTTCCGATTCCGATTATTGATTATTACAAATTCCATTATCGATATAATCGGTTCCTTATTGATATCAAAGTGTTAATGTTTTCAATGTAAAAAAATGAATTGAAAGTCATATATTCTTACGACTTTTATCATATGATTGATAAAAATTGCTTGAAATCCATTCATCATTAAAGAATGTAACCTAGTGTATAGTTAACAACTCTGTCTATTGATCTCATGGTAGTGTTCTCACTCTATTTGGATATTCAGTCCCATAAAATTATGAACTGATTATGCAATCGATCATCGATTGGTTTACTACTTCCGATTACAAACCGATTATCGATCATGATTTTAAACCGATCGCCCATCACTATTGTTGCTGTCATCTTAATATACTCGAAGTCAAGATTGATGTAGAGTGTACATGTATATAACCTACCCACTTGACATCCAGCTGCCCACATGGGTACAGGGTTATAGTTACTGGAATCGGTGCGGGACCCTGAAGGATACGTTCTCACCAGCATCTGTTGACTAAGTCTGTTCACATCTTTTATATCATTTCCGATCATCTTGAGAACTTTGCTCTCCCCAAGTGACACAAAAATACCATCTGTAATGGAACAGTAATGACTAAAGTGAAAATCACAGATTTGTTTCTCTATTGTCCAGTAGATATATGAAAAGCTAAAAAAACACACCATGAAACACAATCATCTGATGATTTAAATTGAAAGCACTAATACCTTACAGATCTATGTGTTTCTGATTTTTAACTGTTCATGCCGGTATATATATATGTCTCGATCCTGTGATATCTGAACAATCTTTACTCCCTTTGAGCAAATACTTAAAAGTCTGGCCCTTGACAAAGCCTCAGGCTAGACATTTAAGAATCTTACCCCATGGGTTGAGATTTTTCTGTCTTACCCCAAAGGTGGGAAAAGATTATATTGATCCCAATACATGGACAATCCATAGATCACAAAACATTCATACAATCTATAGTCCATGCAATGCCAGAGGAGAAGATTGTTACTTGCACCACTATCTCTTCAACTAATACCAAACTTGTTGGAGAAAAAAAAAGATAAGTTGACGAAAATAAGATCAGAAGGAAATTGCCAATTGCAGGTAACAATGTGGTTGACTTTGTAAGTTATATTATGTGTAAAAGGATAATAGTTTGTATAATAAGGTCTATATTATTAGTTAAATTATGTGTAAGAGGATAATAGTTTGTAAATTAAGGTCTATATTATTAGTTAAATTATGTGTAAGAGGATAATAGTTTGTATAATAAGGTCTATATTATAGGTTATATTATGCGTAAGAAAAAAAGGAAACAATTCTGATATCAAAAATGTTCAACATCGTTATGTCCACAATTGGTAATTCCTATCTTACTACATTGAGAGAAAGAGGTTAGGATTAAAGAAATTCTAGTGAAATCAAAAGTGTCTTACTTGATGCGATGGCCTCGTCTGTAGACTTGAAGCTAATAGCCTTCATGCCGACGACATCTGAGAAATGTCTGGAAAGTTTGTGCTTGCTTTTATCCTTGCTCTTACTCTCCTCCTGGCTCTCTGCTGCCTCATCCTCCTCGTCACTCACCTCTGCTTCTTCTGTACTGTGACTCCAAGGCAGCTTCTTACCCTACAGTGTATAAGTAATGACTTCAGGGGAGGTTCACATAACATTGTATCTACCAGCCTGTAGCTTGTAATCGGGGGAGTTTCAAATAACATTGTATCTACCACCCTGTCGCTCATAATCGGGGGAGGTTCACATAACGTTGTATCTACCACCCTGTCGCTCATAATCGGGGGAGGTTCACATAACATTGTATCTACCTGCCTGTAGCTTGTAATCAGGGGAGCTTCACATAACGTTGTATCTACCACCCTGTCGCTCGTAATCGGGGGAGGTTCACATAACATTGTATATACTTGTAATGTAAAAGAAAAGACTTTAGGGGAGGTTAACATAACATTGTATCTACCACCTTGTAGCTTGTAATCGGGGGAGGTTCACATAACATTGTATCTACCTGCCTGTAGCTTGTAATCAGGGGATGTTCACATAACATTGTATTTACCATCCTGTAGCTTGTAATCAGGGGAGGTTCACATACCATTGTATCTACCACCTTGTAGCTTGTAATGTACAAGTAATGACTTCAGGGGAGGTTCACATAACATTGTATCTACCACCTTGTAGCTTGTAATCAGGGGAGGTTCACATAACGTTGTATCTACCTGCCTGTAGCTTGTAATCAGGGGATGTTCACATAACATTGTATCTACCATCCTGTAGCTTGTAATCAAGGGAGGTTCACATAACGTTGTATCTACCATCCTGTAGCTTGTAATCGGGGGAGGTTCACATAACATTGTATTTACTTGTAATGTAAAAGTAAAGACTTTAGGGGAGGTTCACATAACGTTGTATCTACCACCTTGTAGCTTGTAATGTACAAGTAATGACTTCAAGGGAGGTTCACATAAAAACGTATCAACCCTCTTGCAGATCTTTTTAACTCATAATGAACTGAGGATGAGTTCAGTAGAATTAAGCATATATGTTTTTACATATTTTATATATATTTCACTTTTTTGGTCAAACCTAAGAATACATTTTTGTTTGAAATGTGATATACCTTCAGGACAATTTTGCCCATCAAGTCAGCAGGGGATGGAATCTTGTTTGGAAGTTCTGTCGGTGCATACACCAGATCTGAAAAATAAAAATAAAAGTGTAAGTTAATACACAGTGTTATATATAAAGGATTGTTTGATACAGACCTACACAAACAATGTCATAAATATCTAGAAAATTGATAAAAGCTTTAATTTGTAACATTCTAATTTGATCATGTGATTACATATTAGAAGTTTCAAGTGAAGCTATTTAAATTCTCACCTCCTAGAATGTTGCGTATATGTTTGCCCATGACCGTCTGCTGCTTTATAGAACAATGGTTTTCTATGGACAGGATCACAGGGTAACTGAAAACAGAAAAAAAAAAACATTTTACCAGCTAGTTCCTGATATAAATTCATTGGAATATTTCCTAGCGCACCGCTGTCTTGAGTAATTTGCCAATGAAAGTTTCACCAAATAACCGTTCTCAACATATCTGTACATTATTTTTTGTGACTCATATTGTAATACCAAGTGCCCACTTTTTTATTCCTTATAACTGTTAAATATATAACGCTTCCTAAACTAGATTTACTGTTAAGATGGTAAACTCAAGGAAAGATTTTGACACACTGGTCGAGGCCCTTAGACCAAGAGTTTCATAATCGATGTCATAAATCATCTCTGCACAGAAAATACCAAAATATGGGACCACTGAAATCATATAAAAAATATAAATGTTCCTTTGAACAGAAAAGTGTTGTAATCATCTTATTTCTACTAGCCTAGCCCACCATTATACCTGGTGGATTCAGGTAAAATTTGGAGGATTTTTAGATTCCATTTATTCACTCACCATATATCAATATATGTAAAACAAAGTACTGTACTGTTTCAGTTTATTTTGTTTTGAAACCTCCTTACAGTAACCTCAATCTTACCCTCCTCTTCAGAACTATATAGTGGTAAACTGGTCATCACTGTATCATTTTATTATATATCAGCGGAATAAGCTATTTAAAATAAAGAGTTGTGTCGCAGTCTTAGAGGTTAGCAAGAGACACAGCAAATCATTATAAAACAACAACAATGAAGTGACATTAAAATGGAAAAAAAAGAGAAAAAGATGAAAATGGTCAAAAATGGTGTAAATTAGCATACAGAACCAAAAAAGGGTGTTGTTTACTTCAATTGAGATTAAAGTGAAATTATTGTTAAGTTGAATCCCGTAATCCCCGATCAGATAATTTAGGAAACTGTATTTGAGAATTATTCGGTAGCCATTGTAGAGAATTCTCATCCAAATCCTGAATTATCTGCCCTTGACTAATTTGGATATGACAAATAAGTCAATTAGATATCAATTGAAAAATGGTAAGGCATTACGCTTTTGCAGCTTGATTGCAGAAAAAAAGATAATGCAGGTGAAATACGAGTGATATATCTGTGAAGATTTGAAAAAAAAAAGCTACACACATGTTAGTCTCATTATTTTCTTAACTTGTTGAAAAATATTCGATTCCACATATTCGGATGTGTCAGCTTAAGTGGAATAATGATTGATTTTACAATGAGCTCACGATAAAGGAATGAAATGATTGATGTATAATTGATCAAATAACATTTTAATGTTTTATTTGTTTTTTTTGTCAGTTTTACTTGAAATAAATCAGAAGAAAATAGATTTTGGCTGATATTGATGAAATATCAAATTTTATGTCAATGGACAAATGTTTCCACCTGTTAACATAAGTTTGTATTATGATGGTTGTATAGATATATAGCACTCCATTAAGTGTGTGTCTGCAGCACAATGATAGAACTGTTCTCAAATTGTGCCCATTATTAGGTAAGGGCACAATTATGGTATTTGTGTCGCCGAACTCTCATGAAAGTCTTATATATATATATTGTCTAAAACTGTACATACAACATCAATCTTGTGATACTAGGACAAAATCAAACACACCAAATATGGAAATACTACTCAAGGTAATTTTAACTCTTGTTTTTGTAGAAACAAGTGCTAAAGTAAGATCACACCAAGCTCTACGTATTATTTTTAAAATGATCTACTTCTAATATCAAGTGTTTTACAACTACCCGACGTCTTAAGTGTTAAAACTTGCACAATGACAGAACAGCCCACACATGTGAGAGGAAAACAACAGGTAGAAAATGGCTGTAAAATCAAACATGGCCGTGTGTTTACCTTCTGTCACCCTGATCCCTTCTGCAGAGTAAAAAGCATCCACAAAACATGTGATGTTATTATTTAGATGTATTGTCATGTCACAGCCCTGGTGTGTCACAAAACTCAACAATGTTAGTAAATATCTATATACACCGGCAACAGGATTCTAGCAGGATTCTCTAATGAAATGGAGGTAACAAAAAACTACCTGTACTTATATTAGGAAATTTAAGTTTAAAATGCCATAAAACAGTCACAGAAATTATGAGGTTATTAACTCTTATGACTGCTGTTTCTTTTTCACAAATGATACGTTAAAATAAAATTATAATTTAGGATTACCTAAAAGAAAGATTACAATAAAGTAATAAAGTGCTGAAAATATTTTGTTCAGAACTGATTTGTTTTTTTATTAAATATAATTATATATATATATACATGAATATATAAATTAATTGCTGTACAGTATTTACATAAAAGAAACATACACAGCTTCCAGGTACTTTCTGGTTATATTTTTGTGTGAAAGTCATCAGGAAAAAATATTTATCTATGTATGTGTATATAATAGATTATATATTTATCAGAGAAGGATACAGATTTCAAAAATGCAAAATTCATGCTAACACTTCAAGAAAATTTGCAACCAATGTGAGAGATTATTTAACTCTAAAATGCGATGGTAACTGTAACCTTGTGATTCATATAACATCAACAAAGTCAAAAACAATGTTGTTCTTTCTAAAAATACACACTGTGGTGACCTCTACCAGATATCCTCAGAACAGAGGTGACCTCTACCAGATATCCTCACAACAGAATTGACCTCTACCATATATCCTCACAACAGAGGTGACCTCTACCATATATTATCACAACAGAGGTGACCTCTACCATATCTTCTCACAACAGAGGTGACCTCTACCAGATATCCTCACAACAGAGGTTACCTCTACTAGATATCCTCACAACAGAGGTAACCTCTACTAGATATCCTCACAACAGAGGTGACCTCTACTAGATATCCTCACAACAGAGGTGACCTCTACCAGATATCCTCACAACAGAGGTGACCTCTACCATATATTCTCACAACAGAGGTGACCTCTACCAGATATCCTCACAACAGAGGTGACCTCTACTAGATATTCTCACAACATTGGTGACCTCTACTAGATTTCTTCACAACAGATGTGACCTCTACTAGATCTCTTTACAACAGAGGTGACCTCTACTAGATTTCTTCCCAACAGAGGTGACCTTTAGTAGATATCCTCAAAATTGTTGGCTAACTAAATGGAGTATCTTATAAGTTTTAGTTTGTGATATACTAGAAAGAAATTGAGCTTGATTCTTGAAAGACTTAAAAAGTCAATTGTAACAAAGAAAGCATGGTTATCAACTGTCTGTAAATGTATACCTCATACAGCTGATAAGCACTTTCATGCACCCAGATTTAACAGAGCAGTGCGAGGTGACAAATGATCTTCTAACATACTGTATAAGGACAATTGTAGGATACAACTAAGGTCAGTCATGCTATATCTATTTCCGTCAGTATTAAACCATGTTTAGACATTTTATTTGAAAGAATTCGTTTTGATGGTCAAGAACTGTGATATATTTTATGATGGTTTAACAAGGCCACCTCACAGTACTGTGATGTTAGTAAATGTGTTAGTTAGGGATATATCATGCAGTTGTATGTATGTAACTGATATCTACAGTGATCTGTGGTAACCCACACACTGATAATAGCAGTTTATAAAGATAGGAATTTCCTACAGTATATAAACTTGTGCAAAAAGCTTCCCTGATTGGACAGGATATTTACTATTTGAATGGAAAGTGCACTGTCTACACTATATACAGGTGAAAGTCTTATACATTGATAGAAGCTTCCTTGGTAGTCAAAAGATTACAGTGGTAGCCATGGTGACCGGGTCACATGACGTTCTTATGGTAACAAGGGTTTCAAAGAAATTTCATTGTAACTCATCAGTTTCCATGGTAACCATGTAAAATGTTCCCATGGTAACAAGATATACTAATTCAACTTACGGTGAAGAGTGGAAGGCATAGTCTTTAATGGCACCAATCACGTCACGGAACAGGATCTTAGAGGTGAGTGTGTAACCATGGTAAATAACAGGCTCATCGTCTGGGCCGTCCCAGCAATCAACTGGAAATATATATATATATCAGTAACAAATAAAGGGCCCGCCCAGCAATCAACTGGAAATATCTATATCAGTAACAGATTAAGGGCCGGTCCCAGCAATCAACTGGAAATATTTGTATCAGTAACAGATTAAGGGCCCACTCAGCAATCAACTGGAAATATTTATATCAGTAACAGATTAAGGGCCCGCCCAGCAATCAACTGGAAATATATTTATCAGTAACAAATAAAGGGCCGTCCAGCAATCAACTGGAAATATTTGTATCAGTAACAGATTAAGGGCCCGCCCAGCAATCAAATGGAAATATTTGTATCAGTAACAAATAAAGGTCCGGTCCAGCAATCAACTGGAAATATTTATATCAGTAACAAATAAAGGGCCGGTCCCAGCAATCAACTGGAAATATTTGTATCAGTAACAGATTAAGGGCCCGCCAAGGAATCAACTGAAAATATTTATATCAGTAACAAATAAAGGTACGGTCCAGCAATCAACTGGAAATATTTGTATCAGTAACAAATAAAGGGCCGGTCCCAGCAATCAGCTGGAAATATGTATATCAGTAACAGATTAAGGGCCCACTCAGCAATCAACTGGAAATATTTGTATCAGTAACAAATTAAGGGCCGGTCCCTGCAATCAACTGGAAATATCTATATCAGTAACAAATAAAGGGCCGGTCCCAGCAATCAACTGGAAATTTTTAATCAGTAACAAATTAAGGGCCCGCACAGCAATCAACTGGAAATTTTTAATCAGTAACAAATTAAGGGCCCGCCCAACAATCAACTGGAATATTTATTAGTAACAAGCAACTTGTTTCTAATAAATATTTCCAGTTCTTGATGTTTTACGTTTGGTAATAATTAATTGCCCTGAGATTAACAATTTCTTAAGTTATTTTCAGAGTTTATTTTGAGATGACAATTTTGAAGTGACTCTTCAGATTCAATGAGTCAACTTTGATGGTAGAGTTATATATACCAATACAACCTGATAACTGTGTCAGTATAATTATCATTACACCCCTTATGTAACCTGATTCTGGCATAAACTCATCATCAAGTCCAATTCAGGATAAAAAAAAGGGCAGAAAAGTCATAAGGACAACGATTTTAAAGTTTACTGCAAGCAGAACATGAAAATTTATAATTTAAAAGATTTCGGCACGTGTGTAATTTCTTTACAGCAAAACTGAGTGTTTGGTAGTCATAGTACAGTTTCTGTGATAACATTGAGCCCCAGGACACTTTTGTTGTGTATACTGATAAATTAACATACCAATTAAGTAGCCACAAGAAATTTACATAATCCCTGCTATTGTTATGTGGAGAAATCAATGCTTATAATTATGTAGGTTTAAGGCTGCTAATCTGATTACTTGTTCTGTAAATGTGGAACAGATATCAAAATCTATGTGAAATTTAATTCCCGTCACTAAAATCTCTCTGGCTACCCCCGGCTAGATTGACTGTGATATTGACCTGCTGCTAGTCTCCTCTCCCCAATACCATTTATAAAACGGGGTGCTTAATGGTTCTGTCAATACACCTGTACCGTTTTTCCATGGAAATGTTTGTACAAATGACAGGGTAGCAGGTATTTTGTTGAATTTATTGACAATTCATGAAGTACACATTGATCTCGGTGATGTAATCCTGGCGAGATTTCTGTTCACTGCTAATGGTGAAATAAACCATTCGAATCCTTATAGTTAAACAAGCATGCACTTACGTTCTACACAGCGACAGCCGCGTGAGAGGGCAGTGATGTAGGCCTCGACACGGCTCGGGCCCTTCAGCTGATCCTCCACTAGGTATCTGTAAATACATCAAGACATGGTACATGATGAAGAAATAAAATCTCAGGTGTAATTATGATGACTCTTAACGAGGTTTATCTCATTCTGATATGTAGGTAACTATCAGGTGTGTCACTTAATTACCTAAAACCAGGTTTACCTGATTCTGATACTTTCTAACCCCAGTGTCATAATCATCCTCAACTTTAGGGACCTGTCAACTTTCACCACATTATTCTTGATAATTTACTAAAATGGTCCCATAAATGAAAATTTCAGTTTTATAAAATTAATAGGAGTGACTAATGTGTTATGAGATGGGGAGATATAATACACACTAAGATGGGGAGGTATAATTCCTGGCTTATATGGGATATAGAACAGGACATACATGTTATGAGATGGGCAGATATAATACCTAATTTGCGAGTTATAAGATACAGGACATACGTGTTATGAGATGGGCAGACATAATACCTAATTTGCGAGTTACAGGATACAGGACGTACGTGTTATGAGATGGGCAGATATAATACCTAATTTGCGAGTTATAAGATACAGGACATACGTGTTATGAGATGGGTAGATATAATACCTAATTTGCGAGTTATAAGATACAGGACATACATGTTATGAGATGGCCAGACATAATACCTAATTTGTGAGTTATAAGATACAGGACATACATGTTATGAGATGGGTAGATATAAAACCTAATTTGTGAGTTATAATATACAGGACATACGAGTTATGAGATGGGCAGATATAATACCTGATTTGTGAGTTACAAGATACAGGACGAACGTGTTATGAGATGGGTAGATATAATCCCTAATTTGTGAGTTATAATATACAGGACATACATGTTATGAGATGGGTAGATATAAAACCTAATTTGTGAGTTATAATATACAGGACATACGAGTTATGAGATGGGCAGATATAATACCTGATTTGTGAGTTACAAGATACAGGACGAACGTGTTATGAGATGGGTAGATATAATACCTAATTTGGGAGTTATAATATATATACAGGACATACGTGTTATGAGATGGGCAGGTATAATACCTGATTTGTGAGTTATAAGATACAGGCCGAATGTGTTATGAGATGGGTAGATATAATACCTAATTTGGGAGTTATAATATATATACAGGACATACGTGTTATGAGATGGGCAGACATAATACCTAATTTGTGAGTTATAAGGTACAGGACATACATGTTATGAGATGGCCAGACATAACACCTAATTTGTGAGTTATAAGATACAGGACATACATGTTACGAGATGGCCAGATATAATACCTAATTTGCGAGTTATAAGATACAGGACGTACGTGTTATGAGATGGGCAGATATAATACCTAATCTGTGAGTTATAAGATACAGGACATACGTGCTATGAGATGGGCAGATATAATACCTGATTTGCGAGTTATAAGATACAGGACATACGTGTTATGAGATGGGCAGACATAATACCTAATTTGTGAGTTATAAGGTACAGGACATACATGTTATGAGATGGCCAGACATAACACCTAATTTGTGAGTTATAAGATACAGGACATACGTGTTATGAGATGGGTAGATATAATACCGAATTTGCGAGTTATAAGATACAGGACATACATGTTATGAGATGGGCAGATATAACACCTAATTTGTGAGTTATAAGATACAGGACATACGTGCTATGAGATGGGCAGATATAATACCTGATTTGCGAGTTATAATATACAGTACATACGTGTTATGAGATGGGCAGACATAATACCTAATTTGTGAGTTATAAGATACAGGACATTCATGTTATGAGATGGGTAGATATAAAACCTAATTTGTGAGTTATAATATACAGGACATACGTGTTATGAGATGGGCAGACATAATAGCTAATTTGTGAGTTATAAGATACAGGACATACATGTTATGAGATGGCCAGACATATTACCTAATTTGTGAGTTATAAGATACAGGACATTCATGTTATGAGATGGGTAGATATAAAACCTAATTTGTGAGTTATAATATACAGGACATACGTGTTATGAGATGGGCAGATATAATACCTGATTTGTGAGTTATAAGATACAGGACGAACGTGTTATGAGATGGGTAGATATAATACCTAATTTGTGAGTTATAAGATACAGGACATACGTGTTATGAGATGGGTAGATATAATACCTGATTTGCGAGTTATAATATACAGGACATACGAGTTATGAGATGGGCAGATATAATACCTAATGTGTGAGTTATAAGATACAGGACATACGTGTTATGAGATTGGTAGATATAATACCTAATTTGTGTGTTATAATATATATACAGGACATACGTGTTATGAGAGGGGTAGATATAATACCTAATTTGTGCGTTATAAGATACAGGACATACGTGTTATGAGATGGGTAGATATAATCCCTAATTTGTGAGTTATAAGATACAGGACATACGTGTTATGAGATGAGGAGATATAATAATTAGTGATGGGTTGTGTCATGTCCTGGTACACGCGGCGACATGCTGGATTGAACATCTGTTGGTCACGACTGGTAAGGAATGTCCTGAAACCTGTAAATGAAGAAAATATTCCCAATATAAACTGTACCACTGAGGATGTAGTATTGTTTAAGGATTGATACACCTGAATCTTGTAGACTACCAAGAATATTTGTCACAATGCCTGTTCTGGAATTCACATTTCATGATAAAGTTTTTGCATCAAAAGCATGAAACCTATCTCCCTCCTCTAGAAAGATTGCAGGACCGCTAAATCCTTTATCTATGTAGCTAATATGGTCTCATATTTCCCTTATCTATAGAGCTCATATGGTCTGATATCTCCCTTATCTATAGAGCTCATATGGTCCTGTCTCCCTTATCTATAAAGCTCATATGGTCTGATATCTCCCTTATCTATAGAGCTCATATGGTCCTGTCTCCCTTATCTATAGAGCTCATATCTCCCTTACCTATAGAGCTCATATGGTCCCGTCTCCCTTATCTATAGAGTTCATATCTCCCTTATCTATAGAGCTCATATGGTCCTGTCTCCCTTATCTATAGAGTTCATATCTCCCTTATCTATAGAGTTCATATCTCCCTTATCTATAGAGCTCATACGGTATCATATTTCCCTTATCTGTAGGCCTTATATGGTCATCTGTCTCCCTTACCTATAGAGCTCATATGGTCCCATATCTGTAGGCCTTATATGGTCATCTGTCTCCCTTATCTATAGAGCTCATATGGTATCATATTTCCCTTATCTGTAGGCCTTATATGGTCATCTGTCTCCCTTTTCTATAGAGCTCATATGGTCCCATATCTGTAGGCCTTATATTGTCATCTGTCTCCCTTATCTATAGAGCTCATATGGTCTCATATTTCCCTTATCTGTAGGCCTTATATGGTCATCTGTCTCACTTTTCTAGAGAGCTCATATGGTCCCATATCTGTAGGCCTTATATGGTCATCTGTCTCCCTTATCTATAGAGCTCATATGGTCCCATATCTCCCTTAACTATAAAGATAAAATTGCCCCATATCTCCCTTATCAATAGGGCTCATATAAACCTCTATCTCCCTTATCTATAGATTTCATATGGTCATCTATTTCCAATATGTATAGGGCTTATATGATCTTTCTTACCTATAAGGCTCATATGGTCATCTAACTGTAATTGTTTCTGAGGCTCATACGCTGCGATGACCTCGTTGACATCGTCCTCCTGCATGGTCACCTGGAAATAATCATGTGGTTAGGATTTTATTGTAATGATTGAAGGAGATATAAATAACCCATTCCACCTTTGCATAAAACCTCTAAAAAACTGAAGTACATTCAGCTTAAAACAATGTATCATTTACACTTTTCACAGAACTTTTGAGATACCAGAGTACATTTAATTCAAAACATTTGAAAGCCTCACAATTTGCTGGGCATCTAATTTGATTTTCATTGATTATTGCAATAAAAGCTATATGGATCCACTTTTCAAACAAACAGGAAAACACACAAAGACAGAGACACACAGACAGACAACACCTAATTCATATGGTCTCATATATCTCCCTTATCTATAGAGCAGAGTTATGGACAGTACAAAGGATACAAATATTAAAATGCTTAACTAATTTCAAATGGAATACAAGGTTGCATTTTTAATTGGATATTCTAAACATGCTGATTTCTGTTGATGTTACATTGTCCAAGCAATTTCTAGGCAACAGGTTCAATGGTTTACAAGAGGAATTAATATTTCCCAAATCTCCATGAGCAGAGGACAGAGGTATACAAACTACTGATTTGTTGATTTGTGTATTGCCCCCGCCCCTCCCTACTTCTAAGAGTGGTTATTCATGTAATTATAAGAAATCTTGTAACAAAACTACAGCACCCTACCTTTTGGTCATTTTTGAGGAAGCGCTGGAGATCTAGGCAGTCCATATACCCTTTACCGCCATCATATCTGTAAGGGTCAAGGTAGTTATACATGTAAAGGTCAAGGTGGTTATACATGTAAAGGTCATGGTGGTTATACATGTAAAGGTCATGGTGTTTCTATGTGTAAAGTTCAAGGAAGTTATATGTGTTAAGGTCAAGGTGGTTATACACAGAAAGGTCAAGCTATTTATACATAGACAGGTCATGCAATAGCCATTAAAGGTAGTTATATGTGTAATGGTTACATGTGGTTATGCATGGAAAGATCAAGCTATTTATACATGGAATGGTCAAGCTGGTATACATTTAAAGGTCAAGGGATTATAGCAAGTACTGGTCAAGTATGTCTATTGAATAGGAACAGGTATGACTGTAGCTCCAAGGGTGATTTTATCAGATGTCACTTGATTATAAGGACCCAAAGGTTGACGGTCTCAGTCGACACCAAGGGTGATGGACAGTACAGAGGATACAAATATCAAAAGGCTTGACTTATTTCTCGAATGGAATACAAGGGGGCATTTTTAATTGGATAGTTAAAAGATGTTTATTTTTTTTAATGTTTCATCGTCCAAACAATTTGAAGACAACAGGTTCAATGATTTACCAGAGGAAAATTTCTCCACAATCTCCATTAGCAGAAGACAAAGTTATACAAACTAATACCTGAGGAACATTTTCTTGATCACTGGCCCTTTGTCTCAACTTTGAACATACCTTTGAGTAGATGATAAAACTGTACAAACTTTTACCTAAGGAACTTTTCTGTTTTGGCCCTCTCTGTTACTAGTGTATGGAACAGTAAAAACTATTACCTGAGGAAAATTTACTCTATCTCCGAACTCTTTGTTACTAGAGTATAGAACATTACAAACTATTACCTGATTAATTTTCTTTGTCCTCTCTGTTAACAGAGCATAAAACAGTATAAAACCTGAGGATTATTTTCCCTATCCAACCTCTCTGTAAGCAGAAGACAGAAGTGTACAAACTATTACCTGAGGAATATTTCCTCAACCTCCGCCCTCTCTGTGAGTAGATGATAGAACTGTACAAACTCAGCATTGTCCAGGCGAGACCTGCCTTTACCAGACTTCTCTGTGTCAGCTTTCTGGAAAAAATAGAATTTAAATTTGAATTGACAATTATTAAATATTGTTACAAAAATATGATTAAGGAAGTAGCTTTGTGAACCAACTGTGTCAGCATTTCCTCAATGTCAACACATAATGACAAATCAAATCTAGAAATTACTAGTTATCATCTGGTGACCATAGTTTTCTCCCCTTTCATAATGATCAGTGTGACAATCTGGTGACCAGAGTTTTCTCTCCTTTCATATGATCAGTGTGACAGTCTGGTGACCCGAGTTTTCTCCCCTTTCATTAAGTCAGTGTAACAGTCTGGTGACTAGAGTTTTCTCCCCTTTCATTACGATCAGTGTGATGGTCTGGTGACCCGAGTTTTCTCCCCTTTCATTATAATCAGTGTGACAATCTGGTGACCAGAGTTTTCTCCCCTTTCATAATGATCAGTGTGACAGTCTGGTGACCAGAGTTTTCTCCCCTTTCATAATGATCAGTGCCACAGTCTGGTAACCAGAGTTTTCTCCCCCTTCATAATGATCAGTGCGACAGTCTGGTGACCAGAGTTTTCTCCCCTTTTATTATGATCAGTGTGATGGTCTGGTGACCAGAGTTTTCTCCCCTTTCATTATAATCAGTGCGACAGTCTGGTCCCATTCATTATGATCAGTGTGACAGTCTGGTGACCTGATAAGAGTTTTCTCCTGTTTCATTATAATCAGTGTGACAGTCTGGTGACCAGAGTTTTCTCCCCTTTCATTATGATCAGTGTGACAGTCTGGTGACCTGATAAGAGTTTTCTCCCCTTTCATTATAATCAGTGTGACAGTCTGGTGACCAGAGGTTTCTTCCCTTTCATTATAATCAGTGTGACAGTCTGGTGACTAGAGTTTTCTCCCCTTTCATAATGATCAGTGAGACTGTCTGCTGGTGTCTATTTCATACTGTAGAGATTAAGGTGTTTAGGTTTGAACGCGTGTCTAACAGCACCATGTGGTTAACATACAGACCTTGACATGGGCTAGGGAGAAATAAATCTCAACAGAAAATATATACTAAGTATATGTATATACAAATGTATATCATATAGACTGCCTATAAATAACTTAATATAGGACACAGGTGTAAAAATATGTACCTCTGTAAATAATGACCAGGTACATCACAAAGGGAGACCTGTACGCTGTTGTTTACTGCTGTGGCCTTTAGTCAGCCTTGACACTTCGTCCTGTTATACACCTCAGAACAAATAACATTATTGTTTATGTAGAGAAGACTATGTCAGGTGACTTTAGCTTGTTGAATAATGTTTTTGTTTTTCGTTTTTGTTTTGTGGAATTATTTAAGAGTTATAGCCGTAAGTATGTAAGGGCCAATATTAAGAATACAGGGATCCCTTATGACTTCAATTAAAGATTGTTATGCTAGGATCTCTCCTACACTTCTCTGATTTAGTGCGTTAAGCATCCATGTTGCTTTGCTTACCCTATACATAGCTTTGGTAGATTTTTTTTCCAAAACACAGCATTTTCCAGCCACAAGCTATTAATTTTTACCCAGCCTTCTATTCTTTTAAAGCTAGCTCCACAATTTCAATTATAGTAGTTATCAGATCTTTGAATCAAACCTGAAAGGCGGTACTGTCTAATTCAAACATTTTGTCTCCAGGTCTGAATCAATAGATTTTGTGTAAAAAGCTTGCTTTTCTCTCTTTGCTACAGGTCAGCTAGAGGTCAAACCTTCAACTACAAATTACTAGTTTTGTGCTCTACTGACTGAAATTCTACCTTACAAGTGACTAGATAGTTCTTCACTGTGACATACTCCCTCCCATTCCCTGGAAAGGCAAAAGACCTTCCAAGGTGCCACCATGATAAAAAGAGAAAGGTTTAGAAGATTATTATCTTAAGTACCAAGGCTTCTACATGGGTGCCAAGGTAACCAAGGTCACTTTTCCTAAGTGCTTTTGTTAGGGGTTACACCCAGGACAATAGAATACTAAACCAGTGCTCCACTGATTGTGCTACAGGAAAATTCCCTCTGGTGGAGGCAGTGAAAAGCGACTGGATGGGGTTCACTACTGTGATATTAGCTGAAAAAGTTAAACATTTTGTGACAAAAATGTCTAGTTTCAAAAATCAATTCAAAATAGTTACCAACAGATAGGCTTATTATTATTTTATGAACTGAATATGTTTAGTTCATAATAGACAGGTTAGCAGATTTTACAATTTTATACCAAAAAGCATTAAAGAATAAGCTTCATTTGATATAATGTAATGACTCAAAGCTTAGTAAACATAGTTATAGGATTAACCCTATCACCACTGTAGACTATAATGGACTTATCCATATCAATGCATGGTAGCAGTCTACTGAAGTTACATAGGGGTGAAAGGGTTAAAGGACAACTCTGGAGGGTGACATTGTGATGGATACTTTGAAATCTAGATAAAACATCCCAGCATGACAAAGCCTAAATACTTTTTTTTGGCTATCTATGATTTACTTATATTCTACATTAAAGGTGCTGTGATGCTGAAATTCTGTAGGTCGTAAGACTTTCCTCAAACAGTGCCATACATTAGGTAGGACAGAAATTCTCCCCGGTCTAATCACATTTCTGGTCCATTTGTGGCCTGATACCAGTGTAAATTGGATGCCTACCACAACACAATGGTGCTAACTTATCCGATTATTGGACATAGACAAGACAGAATGGACAGAAAGACTCGTGTCAGCAGCCAAGCTTTGCTAATGTAACACGGAATGAATGAATATATGTCGTTTGTATTTGACTACTGTCGGCAGTCGAGCTTTGCTTATTACACAGAATGAATATATATCGTCTGTTTTGGAAGTGGAAGCAGACATCTGTTAAGTACGCTTTCAGGCCAGCCTTACGAGAGCTTTCTTTTTCCGATGACCTTGTAATAAGCTCACTCCCAATAAAAAGCCCACCTCTTTGTTAAACAAAATTTGAGTTTCTGTCTAGAAATACGCCCTTTCTGTATCAGAGATCGGAGTCAGGGATCCATCTATTCCAGTTTATCCTCATTTCCACTTAATTACATACCCCTTCATCACAGAAGTCAATTACATCAGTGTCATCATATTTGGAATAAAAACCCACTACAACCCCTATAACCTAAGGTGACATCTACCCTGACATAATACATGTTATATATATGTATAGTCACTAAATAATTTAGTTAATTTCACTAGTGAATAGATACCTAGACAAGGTAAACACAAAAGGAAATCATTGATCAGGTAAACACAACCGCTAGACAAGGTAAACACTATATCTCAAGTACTGGATGGATCTTTCTGAAATTTCATATGTACTTACAGCACCTACCATGAAGTGCTATATCTTTACTTCATATCAGTTATTTTAAACATATTCAGATACAAACTACAGGTAATCCAATCACTTGACCAGGTAATAGAAACACAACCACTAGACCAGGTAATCACTACAGGTTATCTTATCATTGTACTAGGTAAACACAACCACTAGACCAGGTAAACACTACCACTTGACCAGTTAATCACTACCACTAGACCAGGTAATCACTACAGGTGATCTTATCATTATACTAGGTAAACACAACCACTAGACCAGGTAAACACTACAAGTGATCCAATAACTTGACCAGGTAAACACAGCCACTAGACCAGGTAAACACTACCACTAGACCAGGTAAACACTACCACTAGACCAGGTAAACACAACCACTAGACCAGGTAAACACTACAGGTGATCTAATCATTATACTAGGTAAATTAAACCACTAGACCAGGTAAACACTACAAGTGATCCAATAACTTGACCAGGTCAACTCAGCCACTAGACCAGGTAAACACTACAAGTAATCCAATAACTTGACCAGGTAAACCCAGCCACTAGACCAGGTAAACCCTACCACTAGACCAGGTAAACACTCCCACTAGACAAGGTAAACACTACCGCTATACCAGGTAATAACTACCACTAGACCAGGTAAACACAAGCACTAGACCAGGTAAACACTACAAGTAATCCAATAACTTGACCAGGTAAACCCAGCCACTAGACCAGGTAAACACTGCCACTAGACCAGGTAAACACTACAAGTAATCCAATAACTTGACCAGGTAAACCCAGCCACTAGACCAGGTAAACCCTACCACTAGACCAGGTAAACACTACAGGGGATCTTATCATTATACTAGGTAAACACAGCCACTAGACCAGGTAAACACTGCCACTAGACCAGGTAAACACTACAGGGGATCTTATCATTATACTAGGTAAATTAAACAACTAGACCAGGTAAACACTACCATTAGACCAGGTAAACACAACCACTAGACCAGGTCAACACTACAAGTGATCCAATAACTTGACCAGGTAAACACCGCCACTAGACCAGGTAAACACTACAGGGGATCTTATCATTATACTAGGTAAATTAAACCACTAGAACAGGTAAACACTACAGGTCATCCAATAACTTGGTCAGGTAAACACTACAGGTAATCACTACCACTAGACCAGGTAATCACTACCACTAGACCAGGTAAACACTACCACTAGACAAGGTAAACACTACCACTATACCAGGTAATAACTACCACTAGACCAGGTAAACACTACCACTAGACCAGGTAAACACTCCCACTAGACAAGGTAAACACTACCACTAGACCAGGTAACCACTACCACTAGACCAGGTAATCACTACGACTAGACCAGGTAAACACTACCACTATACCAGGCAATAACTACCACTAGACCAGGTAAACACTCCCACTAGACCAGGTAATCACTACCACTAGACCAGGTAAACACTACCACTAGACCAGGTAATCACTACCACTAGACCAGGTAAACACTGCACCAATAGACCAGGTAAACACTGCAGGTGATCCAATATTTAGACCAGATAAACACTGCAGGTATTCAAACCGCAACTTACCCATGAAAAATTTATACTCCCTGTTACATAATATGTGAAACAAAGGGCCTTTGATGAGGAATTGTCTTTCACTCAATACATATGTATTGCACGGAAACATTATGATAATCGCTACCTGTACATCTAATGGGCGAGTATGATTGGTTGGATACAGGTGAGACTCCTGAGTTTGAGTCAGTCATCAAATGTCAGTTGTAAACTGTAACAATGCTTTAAGTGACAACAGATTACCATGTCACATTTTAACAGTATATTTACCGTATGAACACCATAGGGATGAAGTAGACCGACACTGTTCATGAATATTGATGACATCCTTACACCTACAGCCTTAATGGTTGGTCTGTGTGGTGAATAGGCAGAAACGTTCCCGATCAGCTTCCCAGGAAAAATCACGACTTTCACTTTAATGCAGTCGATAGAGCTACAGATTTACTAGAGCGCTGCATATGTTTTAGCAATAATAAGCCGTGTTAATGTCAGCATTTGTTATTTACATGTATTAAGTATGTCTTCAGTCATGGAAATAAATTCAATAATACTTTTACTATAAGCTATACTAATGTAGCGAAACTGGACTGGGTCGATTGTCGGCGACCCGAGTTACTTAGCTAAATTGGTAGAGCGCCCGTCTAAAGTTCTGAGGGTCCCGGGTTCGAAACCCCAGTCTGGCAGTGCAATTTCCCTTTCCTGTTACAGTGATGCCTGTGACTAACCCTTTTTTCAAGCATTGGGTGAAAGCTTGGCAAGGGTATGATAATATTATGATACACTGTAAACTGGGAAATATCATCGTTAGTGTTTCACCTTTTATAAACTCTAGCAGTAATGATTATGAGGGGAAATTTATCGTGACAGCAAATACATATAAGGAAACAGCTTACTTTATCTAGTAATTGTATGTGGACGGCAGAATTTAACTCATTGACCCCTGAAGACACATCTGAACTCTTCCAATTCAAAGGTTGGAATAGTTCATTATGAAATTTCAGGGGTGAATGAGTTAATTCAACACTGGGCAAACAGGGACTTTACCAGTGAAGGGTAAATATTTGATTACGTAAAAGTTTCCTGGTCTGTTGTGAGTTTGATTTGTGTTATCTCAGCAAAATGTCACGATAAAAAGTTATCACGACACTGAAACAAATAACAAAGTATAATTTCATAATAGAAATATAATATTTACAATTCTGACATTGAATAGTCATAATTATAAGGGACCGACACAGCCTGCTAAAGCCTTCGAGCTAACTCATTCACCCCTGAAGACACATTTGAACTCTTCCAATTCAAAGGTTGGAATAGTTCATTTTGAAATTGCAGGGGTGAATGAGTTAAACATTAAACTGTGGTGAGTAGCATAGCTCTAAACTTCCCATTAACAGAAGCTTCATGGCACCTACATTTGTATTTCCAAAGATAAGCTATTAGATATCTTGGTGTTTAATTTCCTCCTTGTTTCCTGTATAAGTGATTGTGACTTCCTCATAGATCAAGCTTCGGGCCATTACCATGACCTGACAGCTATTACAGAGCCCATGTAATCAAAAAGTCAGGCTAGAACCTCCAAGGCTATACCACATCCATGAATACACTATACATTGATTTATAATCTTGAATTTTCATTTAAGCTGTAATTATTATGTTCTAAGTATAAATTTCTATTACCTGTACAATATTTTTCATTCTGAACTAAATGTTGGTGTGAATTATATTCAAAAGTCATATCCTAAAAGCAGCCATATTTTGATGGAAAACATTAAGTTATGTTTCACGATAGATATTTCAGACTGCTAAGTCTGATATTGTAAACTTGTTAATGCAAAACCAGTGTTCTCATTAAAAGGCATTAGCCTGCTACATTCATCAACTCTGAACCAGCTAATTTCTTCAGAATGTGTATAGGTTAACTTTATAGCATGTAGATGAGACCCAACCATCTATTTTAAAACTTAGTTAGAAAACTGGTTTAAAATTTATTTAAATTCCAGACATCATAAAAATCAATAGGAATATTTTCATTCTTAAAATAATTTAGCTCATTATCTCATTCTCCCCTGAAGTTTCATAATGAACTATTCCAACCTTTGAATTGGAAGAGTTCAAATGTGTCTTAAGGGGTGAATGAGTTAAAATTAATTATTCAGTCTACAGGTTTGATCTTCCTTATTAGATTTGTCTTATATTCACCCAACTTAACACTTAATTTTCAACAGATCTGATAGGCACACAAACATATATATAGAAACTGTTTTGAATTGAATTCAAAATCTTAATTAACATCTAAATAATTTACGTTGCTGATTGCCTAAAGATTTGACGGTAACCAAAATCTTGATTTGTGCATACATAGGTATTTATCCACACAGAGTAAACTTCCCACATGTCAATATTAAAGGTTTGTAAAGGATTGCCTCATTTACAATCGATTCTGTTACACTGAGAGGAAGCATTGATGCAGAAACTATTACAGCACAGAATCATATATAACGATCACAGAGTAATGATTTTTCCTAGAATTAGGTAAATTATCGCCCTGTTATTAATAACTAGTCTTATAGCCAGAGCAGTAACAAAACAAAGGATATGTGTGACCTGTTAAAATGAAAGTTGTGTCAGTCCTGTAGGAACGGGACGACCCAGCTGGATCAAGTAGCTGTACCACTGCAGGTTATTTTAACCTAGATATTAATTACTGTCGCCTCAAAAGCTTTCCGCATGAATTACTTTTTACAACATGTAATGAGAGAAAATGTAGATGTGACTTGTACCCTTCAAATCCATAACTTATATACATTCACAGAGGATCTCTCTAGTTTTAATTATTTTTCGGAGACAAACCTGAATGTTTCAACAAATTCTAAAGATTTTTCCTTGAGCGATAACTTACATCAAATAAGGCTTTGACGTATTTTTTATCCATGTCGGCATTCAACTGCTTCAGAAGCTTCATGACTTCCTCAAAGTCCAGACTGCCGTCGTTGTTTTTATCGGCCATATTGAAGGCATCTTTGATCCATGTAGATCGTGTTAAGGAAATTTTATACATAAAATGTTGAAACCAGCAATAAACTAGAAAATCTACTTTAAAGTGTGGTTTAAAACATAACAAAAACAAAATGGACATCACCTAAAGAAAATTGACAGTTCTAAACATTTTAAGGTATTGCTTTCTTTCTGACACTGAAATATTCTAGAAAGGATTTGTAAGTTTGGGCCAGAAAACAAAAGTGAAACAGACAGGGAGTAAAGTTAGGACTATGATCAGACACAAAAACTAGACAAATTGGAAGTAAATCAACTCATTCACCCCTGAAATTTCATAATGGACTATTCCAACCTTTGCATTGGAAGAGTTCAAATGTGTCTTCAGGGGTGAATGAGTTAAGGACCAAGACACAACATAAGTGCAGATGGGGACTAATGCAGGGCTAGGACACAAGAGTAATTGTAGATGGTATGTTGGGTGGGGGGGAGGAGGTTGATGTGTCCTAGCCCATCATCCTTCTTCGCTATATAATGTACACAAGTGTAGGACATCAATAGTAAGTAAACATTTCTAGGCACTATCTACATAATGATCAATTTGTTATTGCCATTACAGTAATGAATCAATATACACAGCCCCAGACAACTACCCTGACGAGTCCAATAAAAACATGTCATTAGACATTATACCACTGATAACGCATCTTCAAAACCTAATTATGTATTCTCCACGTTACTATCACCAGTGTATCATAATGAATCCATATCAATGTAATATAAATTGATACTAATTAAAACTCCAGTCAGACATGAGGAAACTATCCTAGGTCTACTGGATTTCATAACTAGCCCTGAAAAAATATAAAACGGAAATTTCCACTGCAGCGAAGCAAATTTGTAAAATGATATCCTAAACAGGTTTTTTTTCATAGTTGTTTTGAAAGCTATGAGATCTTTTATCTACCTGTACTCAAAATCTAATGGAATAGGAAACACAAAATACTTTTTAGTTTATTGAGCCTGACTGTGTAGCTGCAACTTCATGTGTTAAAGATAAATGAAACCTGTCTATAACTAATGTTACATTAAGGATCTTTGTGTATATAAACTTAAAGTAAAAAAAAAAGGATATCTGTCTGCCTGCTGTTTCTGGTCCATGTACTGTTCCATGTGAATGGCGAACTGGATGCCCTTGACCCACATGTCCCGCTCGTATATGGAGTTGGAGTACAGGTACAATACCTCATGGTTGGCTCCAAATATCACTGCGAAGCAACGCCCTCTCTGTCGAATACAAAACAACAAATACTCATGGTCAGTAAAATGCCATGCCTCTTCAGTCAAATACATGATAAAATATTCAATGTCAAGGTCAATACAAAGCAATACCCCATCTACCAAATATATAACAAAAATATTCAAGTCAAGGTCAACATGATGAGCAGAATATACTGCATCGCTCTTTGGAGGAAGTTGATAGTGTTTCTAATCATTTGATGTAGGAGTCAATGTGATGACAGTAGACCTAATGTTAAATATGCAGATTTGGATATGGTTCTAGGAACAGTGTTCAGACTTCATTGATAAGAACCATCAATGTTCTGATGATGGTTGATGGTTCTGTATACTATTTCATCAGTGTCCCGCTATGAAGAGTTCATAAGGTCATGAACTGTGATTATAAGATAACCATTGAAAACAGATGCCAAACAAACAAAAAGAAACAATATATATATATATATAATATATTTGGAATAAGATATGTAATATACATTTGCTTTCGAACACTACCAGTTCTATCAAAAATCTGTTCAAAGTAACCCCGTTCAAGTAGTAATTATCTCCCTTGGTGCCACTGAACAGCCAGTTTTTGTATTTGATGGTCATAGTAACTATAGTAAATTTTACTGACAGTTTCTAGTATAATAGCACATTTGTCTCAATATTTTTCCTTAAAATTTTCTTAAGTCTCTGTCAATTAGAAGAAATATACAAAAAATATGTGTGAATTGTTGAATATTTGTATCGCATTTCTTCATGATGATAAGTAAAATATACAGCGATATGATTTGTTTCTCTGATGTGAATAATGTACAAGTGCTTCTGTTACAGTGGGTTCACTGGTGCCCTCCCTTGTAGAAATACACACCGACAGGTTTGTGAAGTCAACATTGTCAGACATTTAATAAGACTTAACAGCCACTATTAGAAAACACTTAGACCAGATTGAGTCATTTATTTGACAGATGTGGTAAATACTTTTGTCAGCGTACACAGTAAACTCTCTGTGTTACAGACCAGCCAGAAGTAGGAGATATGGTGACAGCCTCCAGCTCACATGTCTGGTATGTTCCATTCCCCCTCTCCCTTTTCAGCCCCCTATACCCTCTCCCTTTTTGGCTCCCTCCCCTCTTCCTTTCGAGCCCCCTCTCCTCTTCCTTTCCAGCCCCTTCCCCTCTTCCTTTTTGGCCCCCTCCCTCCTTCCTTTCTAGCCCTATCCCCCTCCCCCATCCTCCACCCCCATCCCCCAAACACACACCCACACATAAGTAGGGTGTTTCCAGTGTAAGGAATTAAGTTATTGAATAGTGCTTATTGCATGAAGACAATCTTGAAAATATTAGAAGGTAACTGGTTGAATCATTATCATGTAGATGTTGGAACATTTTTCTTACATTCCAGTAGACCTGTTACAGATAAAAACATTGTAATTTCATATTTTAAGATTACAGACTTTTAATTTTTGGTGAATATGTGGTTATATATGGACTTCATCTCTGTTAATATTGCTTTTTCAGGTTCATATAATCACATATTCACCTCAACGAAAGTCCACAATTGACCAATCATTATGCTGATGCATGTTATTGTACATGTAATATTTATTGAACATACATATTTATTTTGAGTGATTGCTTTCCTCTCTAATATTTGATCTATGACAACTGGACTGTATACATCAGAAATATGAAAATTCACCTCTTAATTATACACAGTGAAAACCTGTCTAAACTTAACAATATGTAAGGATCAAACTTTCCTCCAGATTAGGCAGGTTTTCAGAATAGTCAGTTTATACAAAAATGTACACACTGAGGCCTAGGTTTGGAGGCAATCAGACAAGTTATAAAAGTATACAGCTTATTACATTGTATAACCCAGTGTTACATAGCAATGTATAAAGTGAGACCAACCTGATGGTCTGAATTATAGAGGTCACCAGATTATATAACCCAGTGTTACATTGAAATGTATACAGTGAGACCAACCTAAAAGTCTAGATTATGGAGGTGACCAGTGTATACAGGTTATATAATTACCAGATTATATAACCCTTGTTACATAGAAATGTATACAGTGAGACCAACCTAAAAGTCTATATTATGGAGTTGACCAGTATATACAGGTTATATAATTACCAGATTATATAACCCCTTGTTACATAGAAATGTATACAGTGAGACCAACCTAAAAGTCTATATTATGAAGTTGACCAGTATATACAGGTTATATAATTACCAGATTATAGAACCCCTTGTTACATAGAAATGTATACAGTGATACCAACCTAAAAGTCTATATTATGGAGTTGACTAGTATATACAGGTTATATAATTACCAGATTATAGAACCCCTTGTTACATAGAAATGTATACAGTGAGACCAACCTAAAAGTCTAGATTATGGAGGCGAACAGTTTATACAGGTTATATAATTACCAGATTATATAACCCAGTGTTACATAGAAATGTATACAGTGAGACCAACCTAAAAGTTTAGATTATGGAGGTGACCAGTGTATATTTACATTCTGTGTTGCATTTGCCTATATGTCATTAATAAACCAAATTGCATTATATGAGACTTTATTATAAGCGCCATTCTAAATACAAAATTACCAAGTTTGTCAACGTCATCACACAGGGGATCGGTTTCGTGATTTTGAGTTATGCATCACATCAGTGAATAACCACAACACTAAAATTCAGCATTTCTAAAACCTTGTAAAAGTCGAGGGTATCGACAAGGTTTTAAAATGTGTATAAATACCTTTTTAAATGTTGTGTTTTTTCAGTGATGTCATCCATTACTCAAAATCACGAAACCGAGCCCCTGTGAACGTCGTCTGCTAGCGATGCTAATCTGACCGATTAGACTTGGAATCTATTTCAAACGAAATGTCCTTGGAATCATTATCACCTACTGAAAGGACCACTTTAATTAAACGTTTCCGAGTATATATGCTTCTGAAAATAACGTAATATTCCAGTCGAAGGAAACAAAAGCGTTTCCGAGGAAACCAATCAAGTCCGTTCAGCGCCGCATCACTTCAAAATACATGTAATCTATCAATGCACGAAAAACAGCTTTAATTTCAAACAAGCAGAGGTTATGTAATCATTAACAATTTTTCAACATATACACACTTATATGAAATAAATAATAAAGTTAAGTTTGTGTTCAAACCATTTTATGTGCATGTGATTTTCAATGACACGAGGGACTATATTATTTCTTCTGGAAATGTCGGCTGTTCTGAATTTGAACTTACTGACGTCACTGATATGATAAGTGGGAAATTCAAATGTATTTTTGCTTCAGTTACTATACAAAACAAACTATATACATATAAATGTAAATATTAGCATTGAACTGTTACCAGATGCATTATACAGTCGATATGAATGCAATTTGGGTGACAGATAAATAGAATGTCGCCCGTTAGGTAATACAGGTTATATAATTACCAGATTATATAACCCAGTGTTACATAGAAATGTATACAGTGAGACCAACCTAAAAGTCTAGATTATGGAGGTGACCAGTTTATACAGGTTATATAATTACCAGAGTATATGACCTGTGTTACATAGAAATGTATACAGTGAGACCAACCTAAAAGTCTAGATTATGGAGGCAACCAGTGTATACAGGTTATATAATTACCAAATTATATAACACCCATTGTTACATAGAAATGCAAGCAATGAGACTTAGTGGAGGGGCTGATTAATGAAAAAATACTTAGGTGTCTGGGTAATTGTAGTAACTGCACAATGGTATATATAACTGAAGATTTGGTTTCGTTTTATTAGGTTAAACATCCCTTCATAAAGGATGTGCCTCATGTGTGTAATACATGTGGTTAGGTATGCTGAAGGTGATATGTTGGTGCATTTGCCCCTTCTGATAGCACAGACCTGGTGCCAACTTTAGAGTGCTATCTCACTGAAATACCATGCTGAAGGCGGCCTGCACAGTATTCCACCCAATCGCATTATACTGACAATGGGTTATCCAGTTGTTGCAATCACTCTAAATGATGGACATTTAGCAGGGAATAAAAACTAACATTTAAAGGACTTTTTTATGTCCCAACCTGACAAGTACTTGATTGAATTTAAAAATCTACGACAAAGTTTGAATCCCATTCATAAATAATGAGTAAGATATGTTTGGGAAACCCGTTATACACTGTATTTTCGGACTCAAGGTAAAGGTCAAAGCGGCAGAGATATGCAACCGGAAACCATTATTTTAGTTCTAAAGGTCACAGTCAGGGTGCAACACATCGCCTTCCCATGATGTACCTATGTGCAAAGTCTGATGCCAATTCGTGAAATAATGAATGAAATGTGCTCCACAGTAAGAACGAACGGTTGGATGGACACATGACGCAAATACTATATAGCCCTGATCACTCGGGGGTATACATTGTAAATATAAGTAGCATTGGTATATAACATGGAGGGTCAAGACTGTGTATTTACAACACTCAGGCTGGATCTGACAGGAAGGCTTCCTCATGTGAAACCAAATGATGACAGCTGACATTGTAAAGCATATAACACGGACCTTGACCCTAAACTGACCTTTCACTGGCTGGTGAGAGGAACTGAGCGCAGCTTTGACAACTGGACAGTTTATACAGGTAGTTAATTCCATGCTGCGATATAGGTATATATACCGTACATGTACCTGTACTATTAGAGTGAATGGTGCATACCTACGTAATCTACATGTACCTATAATGTCAGAGTGAAGGACGTATACATATACAACCTGTCAGTTTCAATATGCAACAATACCTAACACCCAGTGTGCTATAAAACCTGTCCCTGTATATGTGTCCCTGTATATGTATCCCGTGACACTTTACAAGCAATACAATGTACAAATACTCTTAATACAGTGATAAAGGGGATGTTGGATCAGCTATATATATATATATATATAGTGTAGTTTCACTGTAATGTCACCTCTTATTCTTCACGGTAAAGTGAGGGTGTAATAATGCTTCAGTTCTTGTATTCTGAGAGGGAGTCAGTGAGGTTAACCCTTTCACCCCTAGGTAACTTGAGTAGACTCTACCATATATTCATCTGGAAGAGTCCATTATGGTCTACAGTGATGAAAGGGTTAAACCAGTCCTTGTGTTCTATAGGGGAATATATAATTAGCTTGGACAAGCTATGTATATATACCACACACACTACTGATGTTATTGTAACTCATCTATGTTACAGTGTGTCTGATTGGTTTAAACACATCACATGACAGCTGGGGATGACAAACTAACAAATCTTCCCCACACACTTCTTCACATGATGCCTGCAAGTAATCCTGATAATCTTTTCTGTTTTGTGAAGACAACAATTAAGTGAGATATGAATGAGCAAAGGGAAACAAATAAAAATGCTTCCCTAGTACAAGGAAATGTATTGTACATGTATAACTAAGAATTAGCATGTAAGCAGCTCCCCTTCTACTCCTGTAATTATTTCCTCAAAAAAGGCATTAATTAAAATTGGGGAAAATAAACAGTGCACAGTGTATATAACTGTTATAGCTGATATCTGAGTTTTGTTAATGTGGAAAATAAAAAAGTAAAGATAAGCCATTTAAATTACACAAGACTTAAAAGTATGGAAAATTTGCTCCATTTGTGAAGTCGAAGGTGTTTAATTTCCCCGATTCATAACATATTTTCAACACTTTCCATAACAGTGACAACCTGTTGGATTTTCATGTTTTAATTCTTTAAATATATAGCCATTATTGGAAAGCGGTGAAAATTTAAAATTTAAAATGCGAAAGTTCAAATGTGTTAAAAAAACAACATAAATGTCCTCAGTTAAAATTCCTTTTAAACACAGACACTGCAAAAGTTGTGTGCGGCCTAATGTTAACGGCACATTATAGTTAGTGATATCAGTAGATAGAATTATTAGTTGAAGCTAACAGTGTAACTGTATCATCAAATAATCAAAAATGTTTCGGGTATAACAGTGACTAACAAGGTCACACAGAGACCAGGTGGTCATTTATACAGCTACAATCTTACTTACCAGTGCTGGCGTCTACACAAAATAAAGGTAAAAAAAAAAAATCACTCTATAAAGTTTTTGTGTGGGTCCATACATTGTGTGATAGGCTGAGTGTGGGTCTATACATTGTGTGATAGGCTGAGTGTGGGTCCATACATTGTGTGATAGGCTGGTTGTGGGTCCATACATTGTGTGATAGGCTGGCTGTGGGTCCATAAATTGTGCGAAAGACTGGTTGTGGAACCAAACATTGTGAGATAGGCTGGTTGTGGGTCCATACATTGTGTGATAGACTGATTGTGTGTCCATACATTGTGTATAGACTGATTGTGGGTCCATACATTATGTATAGACTGATTGTGTGTCCATACATTGTGTATAGACTGGTTGTGGGACCAAACATTGTGTATAGACTGATTGTGGGTCCATACATTGTGTATAGACTTAGTGTGGGTCCATACATTGTGGATAGACTGATTGTGTGTCCATACATTTTGTATAGACTGATTGTGGGTCCATCCATTGTGTATAGACTGAGTGTGGGTCCATACATTGTGTATAGACTGATTGTGTGTCCATACATTGTGTATAGACTGATTGTGGGTCAATACATTATGTATAGACTGATTGTGGGTCCATACACTGTGTATAGACTGATTGTAGGTCCATACACTGTGTATAGACTGATTGTGGGTCCATACATTGTGTATAGACTGATTGTGGGTCCATACATTGTGAATAGACTGATTGTGGGTCCATACATTATGTATAGACTGATTGTGGGTCCATCCATTATGTTATAGACTGATTTTGGGTCCATACATTGTGTATAGACTGATTGTGGGTCCATACATTGTGTATAGACTGATTCTGTGTCCATACATTGTGTATAGACTGATTGTGGGTCCATACACTGTGTATAGACTGATTGTAGGTCCATACACTGTGTATAGACTGATTGTGGGGCCATACACTGTGTATAGACTGATTGTGTGTCCATACATTGTGTATAGACTGATTGTGGGTCCATACATTGTGTATAGACTGATTGTGGGTCCATACACTGTGTATAGACTGATTGTGTGTCCATACATTGTGTATAGACTGATTTTGGGTCCATATATTGTGTATAGACTGATTGTGTGTCCATACACTGTGTATAGACTGATTGTGGGTCCATACACTGTCTATAGACTGATTGTGGGGCCATACATTATGTATAGACTGTTTGTGTGTCCATACACTTCGTATAGACTGATTGTAGGTCCATACACTGTGTATAGACTGATTGTGGGTCCATACATTATGTATAGACTGGTTGTGTGTCCATACACTGTGTATAGACTGATTGTAGGTCCATACACTGTGTATAGACTGATTGTGGGTCCATACACTGTGTATAGACTGATTGTGGGTCCATCCATTATGCGACAGACTGGTTGTGGGTATTTTTGTTACAGGTCAACCATACTTTCGTAATAATGTAGGTAAAAGCCCAAGTGTACATTTTTCCCGTATATAAATGTGTGAAGGAACTGACAACACCATACAGCAAGCCTGTAATCATATCTGATGTGACACAGATAAAGTCAGCTGACTTCTATATGACAGAGTATAAAGAATCAGAGCAGTGTCTTATGATATATAATAAATAACTCCTTGTTATATAGACATTCTAACCTAGGAAGATGTTTTAATGTGATAAACCAGACAGTTGAGAGCTACTTAAATTTCATAACAGTTGTCAAGGTCATACACGCCGACAGCGACAGAACACCGGCTTCAGTCAGTGAGATGTAGGCTTCAGTCAGTGAGATGTAGGCTTCACTCAGTGAGATGTAGGCTTCAGTCAGTGGGATGTAGGCTTCAGTCAGTGAGATGTAGGCTTCAGGCAGTGAGATGTAGGCTTCAGGCAGTGAGAAGTAGGCTTCAGTCAGTGAGATGTAGGCTTCAGTCAGTGAGATGTAACCCGCATGGGTGGAATCATGTAGGTGAAAAACCCGTAACCAAACAAACAAACAAACAAGGTCATATAATGTGTACCACAACACTGCAGGTATCAAACATAATATGTATATACTTCACACAGAGGTCGTATCAATGTCAAACTAAAATGTCACCGGTAATAGGAGTGTCAATGCCAGATAATGCACATCTTACTTTCAATGTAATACAACAAACTGGATCTAGACATAAATATTGTTATTATATGCATGAACATTTCTCGCAATCATATTGGTTGGATCCTCTACACGTGACCAGTCCTCAAAAACTCATGTAGACTGGTTATCCGGTGAATATCAATTTCTAAATATAGCCTCTGTTAATATCACTCTTTCAGGTCCATATCACATCATATTCACCAGCACAAAAGTCCATAATTGTTTAATATTGTATAATAGGTTATTAATTATGTGAGGATAACCGTCCTGTAGTTAATTCTAACATTGAGCGCCGATACGCATAATCCCACATGTGTCATTCTCTACTTTCTGTTTTGGTACAGCAAGTCACTTCCAGTTGAAGGAACTAAGGTTTTGCAAGATTGAGGTATCGTCATATCATAGCTTTATTAGAGTGGGCTTAAAATTAGTTTTAGGGAGATAAAAACAAGTAGTGTTCCAGTCCAGGACGAAATGGCCATTAATATCACATCTTAATTATATATCAACTGGAATATCTGAACTGCATTCTACAAATAGAGGTACAGCTTCATATCTGAGTTAAAGAAATAAAGCTTCATGTATTAAAACGTAACTCACATCAAAAGGGTCCAATCTTTTGGAGTAATCCTTTTCTCCGTCCCGAACTTCACGGATCTTGGAAATTTGCCCTGAAAAGAACATCAAACTAGAATTATGGTTCAATCCAGGTATAATTCATAATCATTTACAGAACCAGCAATTTGTCTGAGAAGTTGGTCTAACACATCCTAGGCTGTAGCCTAAAGGTGGTGCATTCATACAGGTGGTTTTGATAAATATTGTAGCACATTTCTTTTTGCAGTTTTGCTAGAAAGATCGTTTTCATCTAATGTGTATTCACGGTACAATGAACTGATACCTTGGGTATGTAGCTCACATGGATAAAGAATACAGTTTACCTCTACAACATATACAACAGGTACATGTACCCTGACAACACATATAAAAGTTGATATTGTTCTATCACCTCACATGACAGTCTATGGGAAACCAATACTGGTATGATACCTGAATGATCGATTATCTAAGTATACTCAGTTATCTCCCCTAAAAATACCAGTATCCTTGTTTTGATGCAAAAGAGAGCTATATTACAGACCACTTATATCATCAAACAGGACATCAATATATACAATGGAGTCAGTCATATCGCATTTCTTAAGCTGTCAAAACAATAAAAAAAATCTTGTTTTAAATTGCTTGTTGTCTTAATTAGTCTTTTGTAAAATTATTCACTGTATCTTCCATACTCGATCATAATAATTTTGAATTCCAAGCAAGGCATATTTTATTTTCAGATCCAATAATTAGGAAATCACTCCTGTTATTGTGTACCTGTAATAAATAATGTATGTCAGTCACACAATTGACATTGAGAGCAGGTTCAGATAATGATTCATACCGCACCTATCCATCAATTCAAGGTGCCCAGGTATGTCACATTCAAACCTATTTACCTGTAAGTATTTGTCTACTTTATACCTGAAATCATGCAGAGAACCACACCATAGGAACCAACACTTAGCTAAAACTGATTAAAGAGATTTTACTAGTATATATATCCTTCAGGTAGAAAACACTCCCATTTGTTAAATGGAATATAAATACACTTTCGGGTATCTATAATCCTCTGAACTTATTAATGAATCATACCACTGTTGAAGTTGATGTGTTATAAACATCATGTGTTATATGAACCTATCAGTCCTGAGATCATTGGAACTATGCCTCCTTAACCCATGAATGAGAACTATATGTCAGCAAACACTAATAAACTTGTCAATAGAGTGCAAATATATGCCATAATGGCTTTTCACAAATTTGTGTGGGCACAAGGTCCGGGAGTATTTCACCTTTTATATCAAATAATATTTGTTAGGTCGTGATAGTTGTAAGCTATTTTGGACACCCCTCATTTCTTATTTAAAAGGTGCATGTCTACGTACAATACCCGTAAAACTTAATTTGGACTCGTACTGAGGAATGATGGGATGAGATAAAATTATGTCAACTACTGCTTCATGGATCAAACTAGCAACTCAAAGTTCCCCCAGTCTGCTATTCTACCAGCTGACTGAAGGGAAGTTTCCTCCCACCCAAAGCTGTGATCCTATGTTCAAATGAAACCCACTTCACACGTATATATAATCACAGCCACTAAATCACTTCTGAACCCAAGTTATTTAAATTTCTACCACTTTGCCGTATTATGGAAAGGACACGGTTATTTGAATGGTGCCTTTCCCAATGAGTGAGTTTCAAAATACTCTGAGAGCAGCAATGTTGAGTGAAGTTGGAGAAGGTTTTTATATCCTGAGGCGTCCCTAAGGGTTTATACCTGAGGGGTCTACCTTTGTGTCACAAGTGATAACTTATACATAGACATGTGGTACATTTGTAGTTTTTTTTCTCTCAAAATAATTCAATATATGTTTTGTAGACAAGTGGTACAGATATTATCCAAAGGAGCATCAATACATGTTCCTTAGACGAGTGGCACAATAAAAAATGAGTTTTAAACCTAAACAGTATTTTAACATGTAGACATGCAGCCAGCAGATTTAATTAGGAGCAAGATTTGAGAAGACACAGGTGTTGGTCTACAGATGCAGGTTTATCTCTGAACAACGATCCTAACTTTGAAATAATGCCCACGTTTCACCATTAGTTCAAAATTTCCTGACTTTATGTGCACATTAGTAAATGAAACACCTGTTGTACATTTTTAAGATAATTGCATATCGGCTTAACCCTTAAACCCCTATGTAACTTTAGTAGACTCTACCATGCATTTTTATGGTTGAGTCCATAATGGTCTACAGCGGTGAAAGGGTTAAGTAAGTGCAGCAGACAATGCATGTGGACACTTCAGATACTTGGCATAGCAGTCCCTATGTCTCCTTACAGCACTCGGCAGTCTTAACTTGTACCCCCTACCATCCATCAAACTTCAAGTCTCAAGCATGTTAAATAGATGGCCCAGAAATAAGACGTCCATTTTTGCTTGTCTGTTAAAAATGATTTGTTTTAAGTGATGACAGCACATGTTATAGTTAAAACTGATAACCTACAACTATCTCAGTCGGTAGGAAGGAATTTTTAAGTCAGAGTTTGTTTATTGTAATTCTTTCAACACTTGTGGAATTAATCATGTGTGTGAAAAATGACCTCCATGGGAAAATTATCTGTTTAAACTTCTATACACACTCTTGTCCCTGTTACAGGTAACTCGCATTGTACAATAATTAATATCTCGTATTTAAAGTCACAGTCATGGAGAAATTGTTGACATAATTAATTGCCGAAGTAAGAGGTAGTATCCTTGATGAAAGATAGTTATCACCAAATCATGCAGATATAAATATACTGCTTTTACATGGACTTGGGCAAGTCTACAATTCTAAGTGAAGTACATTAATTGGATAGCGTTTACCTCGTCATCCTTTTCAAAAGATCTCAATGCTAATAATTATATAATTATACATTGGGCAGATCGGTCAAGTGGTTAACACTCCGGCCTTCTATGCAGACGGTCAGAGTTCGATCTCCGAAATTCGCCGTATGCATGGAATATTTAAAAAAAAAATCTCCTGCCCACACAACTCCAACAACCCAGGTGGAGTATAAATTGGTCTGGGGTGGATGTTGCAGTATCTGTGCTGTAGTATTCAAGTGAGGTGTCACTATAAATGGTACCATTTGAAGCACAGTCCCACTACAAACATCTCCAACACACATGGAGGCATACACACATAGGGAGATATGAGCCAGGTGGCATAGGACTAGTAGCTATAGTTAGCCCCTGATAAGGCAGCACCTGTGAATTCCTCAAAAATTGCATCGATTGTATTAATTGTATATATCTATGTACTGTAAAGCGCTTTAGAGTGGCTTATTCTAGCTAGATAGGGCGCTATATCAAATGTTGTATATTATTAAGAATTAATTATTGATCTACAACCCAAAAACTCTTATTTTAGATATAACCTATATAAAACATTGTTTTTAAAAGAAAACTGAAAACAGCTGGTATTCAAAATGTACATTAAATATTGAACATGGTTTAAATAAGTCATTTTCAAATAAAAGGATATGTATCGTTCAAATGTTGGAAATGAACCATTGTTCAGTAACAATAATGTCTATAATATAGGAATGTTTATAGGAAATAGATCTATTGACTTTTATCTGAAGTTTTCCACTCGACAGGTATACAACAGTGTAGGAATTCCACACTATTAATTACACATTGACTCCACAGAAGTCGACGTGCTGCCTACACAGCTGGATTGAGATGATGTCAGATTGCAATTTACACATGATGAAGGAATAAAAGGCTACACACACATGCTGCTGTGTGATTGATCAGATTGCAACAGCCTCATTAAATATCACTGAATTTTGCCAAGCGTATAATTTTAGGAATGACTTTGATTTTAAGTATAAGGCAGATGTCAATGAAAGCTGACTTTTCCTTCAAAACCACATCATCCAGAAACCATCAGCTAATCACCCTACAACAGCCCCGTGAAAGCATTAAACATTTGTCAATTTGGCTACAGAAATTGAGGGACTTAGAAAGTATAATGTTTCATTGAAACTCAATCATTCCTTTAGAAGATGTCTTCAATATACCATCAACCAATCAGATAGCACCAGCCTAATTAAATATGCACAAATTTGACAGAGCATTTTAATCAACATCTGATAATTTCCCAGAAGTTATTATCTGGAAGTAAATCTGTATGAAATCCAAGATGACCTCTGCCATGGCAACCATATTGAGTTTAGGATCCAACTTATTATTAAACTTGAGTGGGTAATTGATAGACTACAAGTATTTGTAAGAAGTTTCAAGGAAAATCATGCATTCCGTCAAGAATCATTGCACGGAAACCACTTAAAAGTTGTCAAAACCAAACCATGGCCACTGGTGGCCATATTAGATTTCAGATTCAGGTCAATACCAGGATGAAGCACCAAGTAAGATACCTTAAGTATTGGGAGTTTCATGACAATCCAACCATTTCCTGAAGAGTTATACTGCACAGGACCACTTCAGGAGCCACTCGTAGCCATGATTAAATCAGATCAAGGTTTGAAATAGGGATTGGAGTGAGTCATTCAGATACCTGAAGTATTTGTGGGGCATTTCATGAAATTCAAATCATCCCCCTTCCCCCCCAACACTTAATGCACAGAACAACTTAAGGTGCAAAATTCCCAAGATGGACACTGGTAGCCATGTTGTATCTTATCAAAAATTTAAAATATTTAACTTGGGCACTATAAGATTTTGAAGCAAATTTTATAGGAGTGATACCTATAGGTCACAGTGTCAGCCCACACAAAAAGGGCAAAGTCGTATCACATGTACGTTTATTTGACAAATCCTGATGTGTATTTCACTACATAACACATGAGTCAGGAGCAAGCAAATAGGTCTTCTTCCCACACTGGTTATAATATGTAAATTAATTTTTGGTGACACCACCTAGATAGAGTGTACCGTTAGGTAAAGTCATATGTCAACACATAAAACATGTTACATTGGCATGGCTTATAAACATCTCGGGGTTATAGGGCTTTATTGGAAGTATTACTTTTAATAAATATATTTACAAAATATGATATTTGCTTCCGTGCATCAATAAGTTATAAAATCATCATACACATTTCCTGTCAATTGCCAAACAGTTCAATTCAAAAGTTAAAGATTTAAATTGGCATTCAGAATATATATAAGAGGCCTGAGAGTTCCTTCATCCCACACCAGGTTTATAACAAAAACCAGCTGGAATTTTTTTATCGACCAAGTCAATACTTTAGGTTTCATATATTATTCATTAACTCATTTACCCCTGAAGACACATTTGAACTCTTCCAATTCAAAGGTTGGAGTAGTTCATTATAAAATTTCAGGGGTGAATGAATTAATAAACAATGTCATTCTTTACAAGGATTTTTTCTATTTTCTGTTCTGTGTTTGTAAAATGCTTGTAAACCACCTAAATAGGTTCTGTATGAGGTAAAGCAAGCTTACATATTCTTTGTAGGTTAATGTCTGAGGGACAACAAGGCTACACAGGAGGCCCGGTAGTCTAGTGGTAGGACGCTTGGCTTGTGACCGAAGGGTTGCGGGTTCGAGTCATGGCACTGTGTTGTATCTTTGAGCAAGATACTTTACTCCGCTTGTTCCAATCTACTCAGCTGTAAATGAGTGACGTGGTTGGGCAGCACTAGAATTGTTGAATGCTAGCTGTAAGCGCTGAAATGGCAGCTCCGGCTGTATTGCTCCCCAGGGAGTTGAGAAATATATTGGCTGGTTACAAAGGCCCTATATAACCACGGATAATAATTTGTGAACCGCTTTGAGACGACCTAAGAACTAGGTTGTGATCAAGCGGTAATTATAAGAACCTCAAATTATTATTATAATTATTACTACACAAAGATCCGTTTTAATTGGTCACTTATTAAATAAGGTCTCAGACACTACTTTGTAGACTGCGCTAGGGAAAAGGTACAAGTTTTTAAGAAATATCCGTGTATGGACTTCTGGCTTCAAATTTACACAGATTTTCAATGTAACATTTGTATAAGGACCATCACAATTATGCTGTGTTCACATTGCAGTTGTTAGTTACTATAGAACTTAACAATATTTAATATTCTTTAGAAAAAAAGGTCCCCACTTATATTATACACATGCTTTTTTTTACAAGTAAAATTTTGGTCGATTGTAGGGGAGTGCAAACTTCCCTTTTCATTCAAAAATGAAAGAATACAGGCATGCAGGCAGTTAATTTCAGATCTTAATGGCGCTCTGTTTTGTTGTTACTATGTCAAATGTCCTGACTACAAAATATTCAAAATGGAAGTAGTGGTGGCATTTCAGCAGATAATGATGCACACCACATTGAGATACCATCCACTTATGGAATCCTGTATATCTGATGACTTATCAGTTCAGGGACACCCCAGGTTTACACACTCCTGTCTTCTTCCATTATCGTAATACATGACAGATATAATGGTCATACATATCTCATTAAACTCTTCAATTAAACAGCTATATAATGTATACTGTTATATCTACAAGCTATGTATATAGCTAGTACTTTCAAATTCAACAGGATATTCATCAAGCTTCATGACAAAGCTCTGTCCAAACAAACAAAGAGCAGGAAACAACTCAAAGCTTGAGTTTCTTAAACCCTTTCAGCCTTAGTAGACTCTACCATGCACTGTTATGGATGAGTCCATTATGGTCTATGGTGATGAAAGTGTTAAATTCTAAGTAAAATTAACATAAATGTCTGCTAAAAGAGCAATATAAGTATTTTCAAGATTGTTTCTATATTTTTTGTTTTCACTGTAAAATCAAGAACTCAATTAGTGTTTTATTAAACATTTTACTTACATGAAAGTTTCTTTTTACGGAAGCGTTTCTCCGAGCCCGTGTAGCGTAGAACCATGTCTTTTGTGTCTAAGAAGAACGTACGCGGGTACAACATGCCCCCACTCTTGACCTTGTGGAGCAAGGTGCCACGGGACAAGTCGCTGAGAACTCGGTCCACTGAAAAAACAAAACGGGGTTCAATTAAACTAAGGCAACATACTACACAGAATCAAATTTTGATAAAACAAGCAACATGCACTAAAACAGGAAATGTTTGTGTCCTTATTTTTTGCCTTTAAAAGAACTGTCAAAGCATCAAACAGTCCCCTGAATTGTCGACCGAGATCAGCTTTATTTGAAGACACCGCAGCGTGGATTAGTAGTTAGGTGAGAGCATATTAACAGAAACATATACTAACATTATACCACCATGATAAAGTCATTACATTTTTATACATGTTCATTATGACAAATTTGGGAACAACTTGTTTATCACGAGACCTTTTCAGACAGAAAGTATTTATTATGACACCTCAGTTTATTTTGACAATTTGATTATTCAGATATTTGGATAAATGTCATGCATGGACCCTGCCAAGCAAATTCAAGTTTATATCAATCACTTCACAACATATGACTGTTGACAAAATGCCTTTGATACTTTAAACGATGTCCATAATATCATTGTAGGAAAGTAAAGACCATCATGAAATATCATCTAATTATGTCTGTAAACTGTCATATATATCAAAAACTAAAGTAAAATGAGGTTACAAAACTATTTACATGTACAATGTGTATGTAAACATTAAGGCAAAAAAAAAGTAAAATGTTTAGAAAATACAGCAATTTAAATGTCCTTTTTGAGTAAAAAGGCGCCTTCCAGGTTATGTTGCCTTTAGTAATAAATAAAGACACATTTTACTGTTTCAAAGTTTCCCTGATATGTAAGAAAAAGAATAAAAGGCTGACCTTGTTGCCTGTGGCTTTCATACACAGGATGATCCTGGGCTGACATCTCTAAACCTTTATCAGACATGATTACTGTACGCGAAAACCACACAAATTAACACTTGTAGGTAACACACACCAAATCCTTACAAGTTATCTTAAAACACGGTATAGAAGACAAGTCTCCCGGCAGATGCACATATCCATTGAAACAGCAGTGTAGACTTGAGCACAATCTACAGAATGGTATTTCTCCTTTTACACTCCAGTGGTACATGTAACTGCTATTCACCTACATATAAGTAGGTGGAAATCATACTCAGACAGTTAAGTGTTTGGGGACCAATACAGATGTATGTAAAATCATATCTCAATCCGTAGGGACAGCTAGTGTACCTGTATATACACAGGCGTTACTGAACCCAATGCCCGTGACGCCCCGGCTTTCTTACCTAACGCTATCTCCTCATCATAATAAACCGCTGTTAGCTCCAATTAAACATTGTTTTATGTCTGATGTTGTCCCCTGTGACAGGGCTCCTCTCCTATAGTCAAACAACAGGTAGAACCAATCTGTAGAGAGTAAGTTACTCTGTATTGATATATACTTCGACGTAGGTACTGATAACAAACTAATTACATTTTGTAGGTTTAATAATTGATAGGAAATAAATCAAACTATTGTAGCAAATATTGGATAGCACTGTGCCAACATGGTCAGGAGTTATATATATATATCAATATTTATGTGGACCACAAAAAACTCCTCTGGGGCCCCTCACTTTCTGGGGGCCTGCACCCTCTGGACTGGTCACTAAAAGCATGGTCAGCTTCAAGAAAAATTGTGTAAAAATCATTACCTTATGCAAGAAAATTCAGTCTAGTTATGCGTGGTGCACAACTCAATCTAGCTACATACATGTATATAGTTATGTGTGGTGTACAACTCAGAGTTGTCTAGTTATGTGTGGTGTACAACTCAGAGTTGTCTAGTTATGTGTGGTGTACAACTCAATCTAGTTATGTGCGGTGTACAACCCAGAGTTGTCTAGTTATGTGTGATGTACAACTCAATCTAGCTATGTGTAGTGTACAAATCAATCTAGTTATGTGTGGTGTACAACTCAGTCTTGTTATGTGTGGTGTACAACTCAGTCTTGTTATGTGTGGTGTACAACCCAGAGTTGTCTAGTTATGTGTGATGTACAACTCAACCTAGCTATGTGTAGTGTACAACTCAATCTAGTTATGTGTGGTGTACAACTCAATCTAGTTATGTGTGGTGTGCAGCTCTGTATAGTTATGTGTGGTGTACAACTCAGTCTAGTTATGTGTGGTGTTTATTTCAGTCTAGTTATGTGTGGTGTACAACTCAATCAAGTTACCGGTATGTGTGGTGTACAACTCAGTCTAGTTATGTGGGGTGTACAACTCAGTCTAGTTATCGGTATGTGTGGTGTACAACTCAGTCTAGTTATCGGTATGTGTGGTGTACAACTCAGTCTAGTTATGTGTATTGTACAACTCAATCTAGTTATGTGTGGTGTACAACTCAGTCTAGTTATCGGTATGTGTGGTGTACAACTCAGTCTAGATATGTGTATTGTACAACTCAATCTAGTTATGTGTGGAGCACAACTCAATCTAGTTATTTGTGGTGTACAACTCAATCTAGTTATGTGTGGGGTGCAGCTCTGTATAGTTATGTGTGGTGTACAACTCAGTCTAGTTATCGGTATGTGTGGTGTACAACTCAATCTAGTTATGTGTGGAGCACAACTCAATCTAGTTATATGTGGTGTACAAACTCAATCTAGATATTTGTGGTGTACAACTCTGTCTAGTTATTTGTATTGTACAACTCAATCTAATTATTTGTGGTGTACAACTCAATCTAGTTATGTGTGGTGTACAACTCAATCTAGTTATGTGTGGTGTACAACTCAATCAAGTTATGTGTGGTGTACACCTTAATCTTGTATTTTATCTTATTTATCCAGTATATTATATTACCAATAGACAATTGTATTGGACAAACATCATTTTAATCCCCTAGTACTTAGTTTCACAAAACAATATACAAGTACATTGTACCTCATCTAAAGAGTGTGTCTAGTATAATTTAGAGTCATTGGATTGTGCATGGCACTCAATCATGTGTGGTCTTCCTGTTCACTGATGTGTGATGGTCAGTGAGGCATTAATACCCCCAATCCCTCTCCAATTTCAATAGCCTGAGATATTTTCTGTTTTTATATCAAATTCCTATGACGACGATTACATGATAAAGTACTGGTGCATGTTCCATCACTCTCTCAAGAAGTGGTAGACCTAAACGTAGATATAATCACTGCCTTATACAGCCTTCAGTGGTTATACAGCCTGCAGCCTGCATTAATTTACTCACCAAAGTATCATTGAAATTGTTGTTTATGAATATTGTAAAGACAATTGAGAGACTGTCATTTGCTGTTGAAATGGTAAAAATGCAATAACCTCAATCATTACTCAGCTTATTTAGTACAAATTATCATATTTCTTTAGTTTAATGAAACATGTCAAATCTTCTAGATCTTCACCTTATGCAAACATTACATTTTCTATCTGGTAGGTAATTTTGTAATGAGGGTACGAAGTGTAGGTTTGTGGGCGACTGTTCATATTCAGTCGTGATAGCTTAAACCCACGCACACAATATTTTGTTAATATTTGTCAACGTCTGAACGGCCCATATCGACCCCGAGTAAGATCAAACAGGATCTGACATAATATGATGGGTGTTCAGGAGGTGTGCCAAGATAGACCAGGAAAGATACACGCTTAGAGAAAATGTAGAACTTGTGTTGACCATGCAGCAGATGTATTCTGGTCACTTCATTGTCCACTAGATGACACATACTCTGATTCCACAAATGACCCAACATAATATCACGTCACCCCATGGAACTAGGCTGGGTTGATTGTCTCTGACCACTTAGCTCAGTTGCTTGAGGCATCCATCTAGAGTTTGGGGTCACTGATTTAAATTCCAGTCTGGCACTGGTGTATTTTCCCTTTCCTATTACACAATCAAGCTGTTAGAAACAACAGCTTAACTCTCTTTACTTTAAACAAGCAGGGAGATATACAGATGTCTGGTACCAATTACCCAGGTAATATAAATCTTCTTGTCAGTACATATTACCTTGCTCTTACCTACAAAGACGATCTATATGACCGGTACCTGCTGTATTTGTACAGGTAGATTAACCGGACATTAGACCCTATACAGATAGATTAACCACGCACAGGACCCTATACCGGTAGATTACCCAGACACAGGATCCTTTACAGATAGATTACCCAGACATATGATCCTTTACAGGTAGATTACCTACATGTATCAAGAGGACACTATATACAGGTAGATTACCCAGACATAGGATCCTAAACAGGTAGATTACCTACATGTAGAAATAGGACACCATACAGGTAGATTACCCAGACATAGGATCCTATACATGTAGATTACCTACATGTAGAAATAGGACACTATACAGGTAGATTACCCAGACACAGGATCTTATACAGGTAGATTACCCAAACATATGATCCTTTACAGGAAGATTACCTACATGTAGAAATAGGACACTATACAGGTAGATTACCCAGTCATAGGATACTATATACAGGTAGATTACCCAGGCATAGGATCATATACAGGAAGATTACCCAGACATAGCTATAGGATCCTATACAGGAAGATTACCCAGACATAGGATCCTATACAGGTAGATTACCCAGACATAGGATCCTATACAGGTAGATTACCCAGACATAGGATCCTATACAGGTAGATTACCATAAGTTTAGAAGTGGATGGGAAATTGTCATTGACAGCAGCAAGTACAAAACTATAATAACATAGGCAAACTTTAACCTGTGTTTGTAATATCAATACCGTACTAGTTCTCTCACCCTCACTGATCATGTTATAACTGTACAAAACAACTGGATATATTTCATGCAGTGATCAAAATTTTCTAGCAGGCATTACTGTTTTGTTTCTAATGAGCAGTTACATTTCAGTAAATATAAGCAATCATTTTGATTTATTTTTTAAGTGACATGCACTTCCAAACATATGATAAATATCAATGGCCGGTACTCTAGTTTAAATATAAGTAGTATTCATCAACAGTCAACAAGTACAATATATGCTTTATTTTTACATTTGACAAAAGTTTATTTAACAGGACTGATACGTCGCATCAGACAACATTACACAGCAATGTCATCTGTGTCAAAATTAAATCACAAATCAGTGTTACTCTCAGACTGTTCATTTTACTTTGAAATAAGAAAAGGAACAGACAGGCAGACAATGGACGCCGCACCACGGCATAAGCTACAGTAACCTGCAGGCCCTAAAGGTGAGCTAAAAATAAAATCACAAATCCGTGTCACTCTCAGATTGTTCATATTACTGTGAAAGTAAGTAAAGGATTACACGTATTTGTGAAATGCTGCAGAATAATGTTAACTTCATTTTCACCATAAAGCCTTTTGATTGTGAAAACTATGATTCGAAGTTGAGCTTGAGCGATCAGGTTTATATCTATAGATTGTATAGAACACTTGCCATGTCAGTGATTGGTTGTCCAATATAAGGCAATATGTGGTCAGACCTTTGTCTATAATTGTGTAACTTTTCATTGCCTGTTGGCCATGTCTATCTTTGAAGTCGCCCTGTCAGCCATATCTATATACCCATCAGGTGTGGGCACCTTTTAAAGTTTACCTGCCTGTGTTATTACCACATGTATACTGTGTATACACATTCCTATATCCCAAATGTACACAGGACAGATAAGCTTAACTTTTAAACTTGACACTAAAGACCTCAGGGGATCTGACAGCATTTAACTTCACCTAGTATACTGATGTGTATCACCTCATACCATATCAGGACTCTTCCTTACTGATCTAGATCTGTCCCTCATACAACAAGGATCACTTAATATCAGGACTCTACCTTACTGATCTATCCCTCATACAACAAGGATCACTTAATATCAGGACACTACCTTACTTATCTGTCCCTCATACAACAAGGATCACTTAATTTCAGGACACTACCTTACTTATCTGTCCCTCATACAACAAGGGTCACTTAATTTCAGGACACTACCTTACTTATCTGTCCCTCATACAACAAGGATCACTTAATTTCAGGACACTACCTTACTTATCTGTCCCTCATACAACAAGGATCACTTAATATCAGGACTCTACCTTACTGATCTATCCCTCATACAACAAGGATCACTTAATATCAGGTCACTACCTTACTGATCTGTCCCTCATACAACAATTAAGGATCACTTAATATCAGGACACTACCTTTCTTATCGGTCCCTCATACAACAAGGATCACTTAATATCAGGACTCTACCTTACTGATCT